TGTACTGTCTCTTTCATCATATCCTTTTAAGGGATGGGAATTAATTGTTCCTTTGAAGTCTTTTCATGGTTGTAGTTTTACCTTTAGGAATTGAGGGAAAAGTGTCTGTTAGTAGAGCTGTCTGCCTATTAGCATAAATCGCATAAGTGGACACCAAAGAAATATAGGGGTGATATCTGCTTACAGGAGAGTTCATAAGCAGGTGTTTACTGCACTTTTTTTGGCCAAATGGAGATTTGAATAAACAGATCCCCACTGTTCTGTTACCTTGTCAACGGAGATATTTTTGTTGATTTGCAAATTAAAGACAAATTTCATTGCCAAGAATCAATTAGTATGTATGGGGTGTCAGCTATCATGAGAGGATAAACAAAAGAACAATCTAATTTTCGCTTTCAAAAGTGTCTGCAACCGTTGACAAGGGAGTGTCAGCTGACTGGAATGGGTAAAAACAGAGTCTGACTAAGAGGTGAAAAAAGTGTCTGTAAAAAGAACTTACTACATACAAGATTGTTCATTAGCAGAGAGTTGATTGTACAAATAAAACCTTCTACTGGTATTGTACAGTTCATGCTTCCTGTCCTAAAGATCTGGACATTATCATTATGTGCTTTGTAACCAGCACCCAAGATATTTATATATATGTATCCTCTAGTCATACTTAAAACTTTTACTGTGTGCTGTTTGACCAGCTCTTATGTAACCTTTTGCACTCAGTTGTTCAAAAGGTAGAAAAAACTAACCAACTGAATGACCTGCTATCTGATCAATAGCATAGCCTGTATTGCTATCACCAGCAGTTAGCAATTTATGGGATAAATTGTGCTGTCTAGCTTGAAACAATGGCACCAGGTCATCAGTATTTTGTTATGAAAAAACAAATACTTTATAATTTATTGTATAACATATGAAGAATTCCTCTGATATTGAATGTGGATATTATTCTTTAAATCATGTAGCCATTGTTTTCCAGTTAACCCTTTGCAACCCAACATCAGTATGCATATTCTCCATACTGTTCTCTATACATCTCCTAAGGGGCTAACAAGGAGAATTTGTCTAAGAATCAAGAGTTTCTTTTTTGGTGATCATTCCCTTTATACTTGTAACCTTAATGTGTGATTCAGGGGTGATATTGTAAGGAGAAATAGAATACTGGTCACTCTAAGGGGTTCTAAGATCCATTTCTGTTATTGCATGGCAAGTGATGTCTTTGTTTCAGGGTTCTTATTTTGAAGAAAAAAAATGGTTCATATCATTCTGGTTTTTAGTGATAGTACTGTTTGTTTGTTTTGTTTTGTTTTTTTACATGAACCTTTCTGTACAGGTGTTGACTTCAAGGTTAAAACTTTGACTGTGGATGGAAACAAAGCAAAACTAGCAATTTGGGTAAGAACTGCTGTTGATGGATGATGACACCACTGTAATTCATGATACTTGAGTGACAGCTAAGGTTTACTGTCGAATTACTTTATAATTAATTTGATAATTTGTTTTGTGAGTTTAATGGTTATAACATCACTTTTCTGTTTTAGGACACAGCAGGGCAGGAACATTTCAGAACACTGACTCCCAGCTACTACTGGGGAGCACATGGAGTTATTTTAGGTACTAGAAATAAAATGATTTTCACCTCCTAATTACTTGCTGTCATCACTCTTCAAAAAAAATTGTCTTGTTGATTTTGTATCATGAGAGAAGGTGACAAAATTGTGGCACTGATATTGATACACAGTAGTTTTCAGCCTAATAGAAACTTAAGCATTTCTTAACTTTCAGTTGGTGTCAAATCACCTCTGAAAATTAATAAATGCTGAAATAGTTTGCATTAAGTTTCCCCTGATTTCCTATGCTAACAACATCAATGGCACATACCATAGTTCCTCAGATAAGTTCCCAGGCACTCATTTAAAATTCTGGTGGAAAGGACAGGCACTTATTGGAAGGAGGGTACTTATTTTATTTAAGTTAGCCCAATAATAGGGAAAAAATATGGATGAGACTGTTCATGATAACGTTCAAGAAAATCTTGTTTTTTTCCCTTTAGTTTATGATACAAGCAGCAGAGAGACGTTTGAGAAATTGGAAGAATGGCTAAATGAAATAGAAATGTATTCCACAAAAAAAGACATCATAAAAATGCTTGTTGACAACAAAATAGACAAGGTACAGTGAAACCTTTTTGTTTTTATATTAGACCAGATTATTATTACCCAATTTTTATTATTAAAAACTGGAGTCTTCTCCCTCAATTTGAACCTAGAGATAAAATGAATATCTTACTAACCTTGGTGGTCTATACTGTAAGTTATGGAACCTTTTTTTTTTTTTTCAATCAGACTTAGACGTAGCATCATTTCTTAGGCTGTTGTGTTTGATTAATACTCCTATCTTCCAATATTCCTAAACTTTAAAAATCTCTTGTGGGTACATGTATTTGCTTGGTACAGGATTAACTGTAATTGCATACAGTAAGGTTTTGTGCATGCTTGATGTACTAGAAATTCAGATTTTCATACTGTGCTTTTTAGGAGGGTTGTGAAGTTGATAGAAAACAGGGATTACAATTTGCAAGAAGACATTCCATGTTATTTATTGAAGCAAGGTTAGTGTCAGCTTGAGTTATAAATATTTATTCCCCTGGAATCAAGGATCAAATGGTTTTTTTTTTGAACAGCCACCTATGTAATGGCACAAGATGGTTTGGTGAAACAACTATGAAGACAATTGTTCAGGGACTTGAAGAATGACAAAAAAATTTTAAAAAGTTGTTATTTTATGTTCAAATGTTTATTCTTTTTATGAAAAAAAGCCGTAATTTTAATTAGAGTATGTTATTAAAATTGTACAGAAAGGTAGTAAAGAGATTATTTTAACCCTTTAACTTCCAAGATCTAATTGTTAATTCTCCCCTCTGGCTGTTACACATTTCCTTGTAAATTAGTTGGGAGAATTTGGTGTCATACCATAATTATAACTTCTACCTGATAAGTTTGAGTATTCTCATTACCTGTTTGCTGGATAATGTATGGAGATTATAGGGAGAAGTTAAATGTTAATCATTTCTGGGAATTAAAGGGTTAATGAGTTTCTAGCCGGTGATTAAAATGGTATCCTGTCTTTCAACAAAATAATTGTACATTGTGTCATCTAAGTTTTATTTTTGATGAACAAATCTTGCTTCTTTTTTTTTGTAGTGCAAGAACAAGAGAGGGGGTTCAACTTGCTTTTGAGGAACTAGTAGAGAAGGTATTTATACAACCAGGCAATTAAAATGTTTTACATTGTTATATTATGGAGGACGTAGAGGCTGTAACCTTTTAACTCCCATTGGCTTCCAGCCATCATGGGTTATGAGCTATTACATCATGCTCTACAAATATGGTAAGGGTGATCATAAAAAAGTAAAGTTTACAAAATAAAGTTGGGAAGATTATTTTTTGGGTGTTTTTAGATCTAATCTTAACAGCAGTCTAGTGTAGCATGCAAGAGGTGGGCCCAAGGCAGTCTTTTTACTATGATTGATAATTTGCATATCCCCAGGGCATTTTATTAATATATGCAAATGGCTTTGCACAATCCTCTGAAGTGAGCCTAAATTTATTTCTGTTAATTGTTTGTCTGAGGTCACCAAATGAGGCGAGAGATTTAACCAAGAGGTATGTTTCAATATAGAAGCGTCTCTAAATTATTGAATTGTTTAAGTGTAGTTTTTTAAGAGGAAAACCATGAACTGCAAATGCACAACTTGTTCATCTCGCAGAAATCTGCCATGACTTAAAATTGGAAGTCACTGCCATCTTTACATACAGGTTATCATCCAAAATGTGTGGTCTATGCTAGTTTGTAGTGAAAAAATTTTAAAAATATTGATTGCAGCCATCGTAACAAGAATATTAATGCTACATTTATTTTATTTTTGCATCATGCAAAAAAAATTAACAACTACCTCTGGCTCAAGATTGATTGTAGCACTTTAATTTTGAGTCATGCCCCTTTTTTATAAGATCCTAAATTGTATTTTTTCCTTCAACTTTAACTTTGACTTAAAGGTTTTGAATGCACAAGTGGAAGTTGGGGAAAATATAATTATTAACAGATTTGAAATAATGCTTAACATGGTATAGTTGCATTTTTAGACTTACACTGGTGGTCCTCTTAGCATTAACATGACAAGGGTCTCTAAAAATTGAGTTGAACAAGTTAAGGTTTGTGGATTGGTTCCCACAGAGATGTTTCTGATAATTTTCTTTCATTTTGCAGCAAATTTGATGACATTTGTGAGGAAACTGCAGTGGAAAGCAATGAATTGGTAAGTTTATTCGGACCAAAATGTGAATTATCCAGAGAGAGAGGGAGAGTTTTAGTTTCCTTCATTCATGACAGACACAGAATTTTCTTTCAATTATTTTACAGCGTGACCTTTAAGTTGGTGTTTCAAAATTCATTTTATAATCTTATAGACTGTAGAGAAGCAATGCATTCATACTACTTCTGTCTCAACTTCCATGTGGATTCACTTACATTTAAGTTTACATCACTTTCCTTGCAATATCTACAACAAACATAATCGCAAGCGATGAATTTCAGCTTGAGATCTTTGCAGAATGCAAGCTTTTGACCGGGAGATATGTTTTGCAATGCTGGATCAAGAGTGATAAATTTATTATGTGAGCTTTTCCTTCAAGAAAGAGAAACTAGTTATATATTAATTATGTACATAAGCTCAATATGTGCAACATATGATAAGTCAGAATACAATAATAATTTTTTTTTTCTCGTGTATATGTGTGTGTGTAATATTAATGTATGGTAACTTAATGCATGTAGATTTTAGGTCAATTTGCTTAATATATTTTAAGACTGAAGTTGCGCGGTGAAAACTTAATATATTTATTAATTTTTCTTTTCAATTAATTCTTAAAATTGGATTAGATTTTGGCTGTGTGGAGATTTAGGACAGAAGTTAACCCCTTGCACTTTAACATCAGTATGCATATTCTCCATATTGTTCCTTATACAATTTATAGGGTGCTGACAAGGAGAATTTGTTTAACAATCAAGAGCTTCTTCAGCTAGTAATCATTTTTATTGCTATGGAAGCAAAGCCATTATGTTGTCTTGTTGAGCTGAGTGAGGGTAACAATAGAATACGAATGACCTCTTCATCCACAACAGAGTCTGCCGAGTTTTACCTGATATTCCTCGCAATGATAAAATTGAAAAAAATCTGCTATATTTATCAATTTAATATTGATTAGTTCCAAGAAAACTGATATTTGAAATATTCACTAATCTATAACTATTCAATTAAAAAGTGATAAACTTCCATTGCAAACGTCTATACATAAGTTACAAATGGTGCACGTGTCCTCAAGAAAAGAAGTCAAGTCTTTCTTTCTGCATCATCACACAACACCTGGTTCTTTCAATGCTATCAAAAAAATTGTTCTATATTAGTAGCCGTATGCATATGTTGGTTATTTAATATATCTATATGTTGGTGTATTAACTGCCTATTTTCTTTATTATTTTGACCTTTATTTAATGTTTGATTCAGGGGTGATATATTATGAAGAGAAATCAGATACTAGTCCCTCTCAGGTGTAAAAGGGTTAACCCTTTCACTCCCAAGATCTAATTAGTAATTCTCCATACTATCTGCCATACAATTCTTATGATGTTAGTTCAGAGAATTTGGTGTTGGATCAACAAATAATCCCATAATTGATATTCTTCTCTATTCTCATCACCTACCTGCTTGATATTGTATTGATATTGTAAGGAGAAATTCTCTCTTGGTCACTTGTGGGAGTGAAAGGGTTGACACAGTCTCAGTTCTGGAGGAAATTGTAGTAACACTGTTGCAACTCTTCTAAATGTAGAGTATTGTTGTACATGTAGTTATTTCTCATGGGGTGTCTTTCCTGAATGGAAATTTCATCTTGTATCTTCCAGATGTAAAAAAGTGAAGTTCTTAACAAAAAACGTTTTGTACTTTTTGTTTTGTTGTAGGCATCCTCACTTGATGTGATGAAATCTGCAGCAAGGAAGTTCATTGATTTTGTGAACAATGGTCCCTCACCTTACCATGGTATGTTTTATCCCTTTAGCTTCAGAGTGTGGTGAACTTCTTAAATTTGTTTACTGTCTCTTCATCTTTTTAAACCAGTGTTTAAATGTATTAGGAATTAGTTTTACAGTATATACACAACTTGAGACACTTAACTGCCATTTCAACATGAACCTCCTTACAATATCAAGACATGATCCAGTCCAAGGGTAAACAACAACAACAATCTTAGTGACAAATGTGATTCAAACCTTGGGAAACAAGGGATTCACTGAAAATCTCATCATTTGTCTCTTGATATAAAATATTGGTAAAATCAAGCCATCAGTTAAAGATCACAATATTATCATTGTTATACTGCTATTCTTTGTAAGGTGAGAGGTTAAGTGGTGAAATGAAAGTGTTCCATGACAGTGACGTGCTATGAAAAACGAGCAAAATATGTTGTATGCGTCAATACCAGTTGACCATCTAGCTGCATGAATTGGGGTGCATAAGGAAACAGACTCAATACCTGATAATGACAGCAGAATCACCACAGCTGCATGTTGCATTCATTAACTGATAGAGCCTGACTCTTTATAAACAAAGTTGTTTTGATGGGAAAGCTGATATGTTTTGTTTCAGTTGTCGATGAGTGTAGAAAGGTGTTATCAGCAGCAGGATTTAAACAGCTCAAGGAAAAAGAGCACTGGGATATCAAGCCTTTGTATGAGGTGAGAAATGAGATTTGGGGTTTTTATTAAACTTTTGGTAAAGTTGTTGTTTGGACATGACCCAGAATCTCATAATGGTTTCCAGAAATAAAAACTCTGCTGTCTGGGAAATCACATAGTGCACTTAAAATTGGCCACACCTGTTTTCTTTGAAATGAGTGAGGGACCCATCTTTATTTCTGTCGAAGGAGGAGGGAAAAATATGTTGGAGATAAAAATTTCTAAAAGCCCCCCCCCCCAACCTCTTCAAGCCATGTAAATAGCAAGCGACCCTCCTCCTTTATCAAAAATTTACGTGATGACCCCCCCTCCCCCTGTCTCCTCATATCTCCTTCCATTTGGCTATTAATTATTAAAATCTGTCACATACAACTATAAGATGATTAATTTGCATAACACCCACCTGAGGCAATGTACCCCTTTTTAAAATGTATCTTAAAGTACTGACCTCCCCCCAGACTCCCTCCTCCCAAAGAAGCATGAAAATTTGGTGAATAATCAGAATTTTTCAGACCCAGAAAAAAATTAAGTATGAAAAGAGAAATGAGAAGTGTTCAAAAAAATTGGGATGAAGTCAGAAGTTTTAACCCAAGGAAAGCAAGTTAAGCTAAATATCTGGAAGTAAATGGTAAACAAGTAACAAGCCAGATTCATCTTGAGTATTGCAAACTTTATTTATGATCTGTTTTTAAGACCTTGGCGGTCCCCAGCTAGCAATGCACTCCATCCGAGAAATGTGCTGCTCCTCTATTGTACATCAAGAGACACTGCTATTCAAGGTGACAATTTCTATGCATAGTAAGGCATTCATAAGCTCGCGTTACATGATATGTCACGTAACGCTATCTTACCCCGGGGCGAGGTTGCACGTGATGGTTTCCGTCATGTCGCCCAATAGTCGTGAAATTATAAAGCACACAGCATCGCCAATCTACTCGTTCTCTAATGGTAGCCGGGAAACGGTGTGTTCTCTGGTCCTCCAGGCTAACAAGAAAAATGCCCCCAAGGAGCTAGGTGCACAATCATCGCACTGTATGACCTTTTGGCGTGGTCTAAATACATTACCTTCATTAACTATTTTGTTATTGTTAAGAAGGTCACAAATAGACAAAATAGGAATTGATTTGTATGTTACGCGCTTGCCTTTTACTGACATGTCGTAAGCGACAATCGACATTTGTTTACCGGGTTTTGATCATCACCAAGAGCCCATTATTAATGAGCTCCTGTCATCACTGAGTGTTTGGACGGTTGCAAATCTACCATGGGGTTGACCAGTGAGCAAAGTGATTCTCCTTAGCAATTAATTGAGAATGTTTATTTTTATTTTTATATTTTGCAGGGTTCCTTTGAGACACTTCCAACAGTACTGGATTCCGTAGTTGGAGCTGACTAAAGTCAAGCTACCGGCATTCCTGAGCTTCTTTTGCATGAATCCTCTCCCCAAACTCCGTTTAAATGATTTTTGCTTGGAAAGCAATGTAGGTTCAACTCAGCGAAGCAAACAAGATACTTAGTCAAAAGAAAAGGAACATAATCCCAGCACAATCAATGTAAAAATTGTGTAACAAGGGAAGGGGTAGAAGAGGGGAGCACGTAAACAAGAGATAGTATTCAAACAGTGTATCCTGAAAACTTTCTCATTTATCCATTGCCCATTATAATCAGGCAGGACGTATACAGGCATAAAACGGTGGTTCCTGGAACTGTGTGCCTTGTTTTGTATTTACGGTCTAAAAACAAGGATGACGAAAAGCATGTGACAAGCAAATAGAAATTAGCACGCTCGGCGCAATAAACGTTTGCACTACTCTTCTGACTCGATCCACCTGCTGAATTTCTAACTAAAAAGTTTCTTGAAGCTGTGAGTATATATTGATAACATTCATCGTGTTTGTTTTGTGTTAAGTTGCAAATGCAAAGGGTGTCTACACATTAAAGACTGAAAAGACTGGCAAAGTTTAGTTTGACGGCGACTTCTTTCCGCCAGTACTAGTCGCTTTCACAAAAGAATTTTTTTATTTTGATAGAATGGTACCCTCTCTTTTCTTCCTTGGGCCTGTTTTTTATTTGGTAATTTGTTGATGTCAGTTTGAGTGAAACTAGATGAAACCGGCACGAGCAAGTCACTTAGTTCATCTTGTGCTTCATGGCTTCCAGTTGTTGTGATTTCCATAGCTTAATTAGCTCACCGTATTTCCTCGAATATAAGCGCCCGTGCGCTTATTTAAAATTTCGGGCAAATAGAGGGAGGCTTATTGGAAGAAAGGCGCTTAGTAAGTGCGGCGATAGGACAAAAATTAAATGAACAGACAACACACATAAAGGAACTCTGCAAGCATTTGATAAAATATTTCCTTTCAAAGGATAACGACGGGCTATATGCCCTTGTAAACAGCAGTCATTTCATTCCCCATTTGAGACTTCTAGCTGCAAACCTTGAACAGCATTTTTCTCGAAAGATCATCTCTCAGGTCAACAAATGCGAGTTTTTAATCAGACTGTCCTCATGACTTTCGAGTATTCGGCAAGTTTTCCTATCGCCGTTCTGAATTCGAAGCAGCAAGAAGTTATTTCAAACTGGCATTAAACATGTTCAACGTGTTTCAGCCAGTGGTAATGTTCAATTATATAATTATCCACTATCCATTAGGCTGAAAGAACTCGGGCCGGAGCATGTTGATGTCGCCATTTCTTGTAATAACCTGAGTCGGGTACACCATAACAAGGGTAACCTATCGAAAGCAAGACATTATTATAATTGTTCAAGGGCCATATTTTTGAAAAAGCTTGGACTTGACCATGTTCATATGGTTACTTCTTACAGCAACCTCTGTCAGGTGCACCGCCGGTGAGCTCGGTAACCTGGGTCGAGTGCACCACAACCAGGGTCACCTAAAGAAGGCAAGAGATTACTATAATCGTGCACGGGCCATTTTCTTTTGAAAAAGCTTGGACTTGACCATGTTCATGTGGCAACTACTTACAGCAGTCTGAGTCAGGTACACAGGTATCATCGTGCATTCGTCATTCTACATAAAACGGAGCTCGGATCTGGGTATGTTGACGTTGCAAATTTTCATAATAACCCGAACGCCCACACTAAGAGAATCTAGAAGACTGGGTGACCTGAATCTTGGAAAAGCCTGATTACGGTGACTGCGCGCTGGCATCTCGAACCTGACAAGATTTACCTCGCATGCAATATTCCGAAGATTAACCCTGCTTTGATGTAGAGGAGCTGCGAAAGCGTATTGGTTTTCTGTTGAATTACGTTCTGCCCTCGACAAATTCATGGCTGCCGAGGATTTGGTTGCCTCAGCGTGAAGTCAGTCACAAACGGAAAATGTCAGTTTGCGCACAGGCATCCTAAGCTCACGTCTCTAGGAAAAAGGGAAAGGTTATTCTCGGACACCTAAGAGTTTATTCATGAAAGCGTCACGCGTTGTGTTACGCGGCGGCGTTTACGGTGGCGGCCCCAGTCCCATGGAACGGCCTTCCTTTGCCAATAAGGCAGGATAAAAACATTGATTCTTTTAAAAGTTTACTTAGGACTTATTTGTTTTCCAAGGCATTTTGTTGAGATTTTTAAGGTATATTTTTAGAACACATGTATGTATTTGTATATATAGTTTTATTAATTTATTAATATTTATTATTATTATTATTATTATTATTATTATTATTGTAATGCGCTTTTGATTATAAACGTTTACCGAAAACGCGCACCACAGATAATAAATGTTTTTGTAGAAGGCTACGCGATAGGACCTGTTAAGAATTTGAACCCACTATGAGGAATAATGTGGGGAACTAAATACGGTCGATCTACAATGCTAAATATCCGGAAATATGAAAATTTTACAGGTTAAGTCTATATAACTTACCCACTCCTTTGTGTCCACACAGTTATTCCTGTCATAAGCACTTAGAACACTTAAAACAGCGACAATTATAAAACAGAAGAATTTGATATTCTGTTGTGATAGAAACATGAAACATGAAATTCGAAAACGGATTAACAAGAAACTTTAAAATAAATATTCGTTATATAAAGTTCACATTGTGTGCTTATTTCACATATTTGATACCCACCACTAAACAAAATCACGCCAAAACAGATCAATTAAAAGACGGTGGAAGCTAACTGATATCAAAACTTAGAAGTGAAAATTTTAAGTCGATGAAGTATAAGTCATTCAAGACATACATGTACATAAATCTACGAAAGACATTGAACAGCACTTGTATAGTTCAACTCCTTTAGCTCTTGAGTTAAAATAATGTATAAAGTAATTAATTTGTTTCCCCTAATTTTGACGCAACTTTTGTTTCATCAATCTTCGCATCATCATCCTGAATTTCATCCACGATAACTATAGATCTTATGTCGAGGTGCGTTGAAAGATTTGAAAATTTCTTTGAAGTGGCGTCTACTGTCTCACTTTAAGAGCTAGAAATTAGTAATTACTAGCCAGGCGAGCTACATGACGTCGTTTCGATTGCGGCTCAGAGCACCGTATCGATCTGTTCGTCCTAACGATACTTTTATTAACTTACAATTAGGCTGTGGGGTGTCACAAAGGATGATCATTTTGAAAAACAACTCGTTGACGCGAAATCCATGCCTCTGTGCTAAATTATTCAAGAATCTCTTGAGACCAAAGCCCTTCATTTCTTTGTGCTGTTTACCTACCGTCAAGTCACGAAATCAAATTGAGTTAATTTGATTGATTTCGGACAAAATGTTAAAGTCCTTAAAACCACTAAATCCTTGCTATGATATCAACACACAGCTGTTTTTCTTACTTATTATCACGGAATGTACCTGTAAAAAAAATCATTACCGAAACTAACGAAATGACCGAAACCTATTAGAGTTTGGAGATTCTAGAGAATGCGAGTGTATTGAATTGAAAACGGCAAAAAATAATAAATTACTAGAAGAAAGGTGCCGGGAAGTGCCTACTTTAAGCTTTCAAATATTCTAGTAAGACAACGAAGGTCTCGATACGGTCACCTAATCTGTCATTCGAGACACAAGGGAATTTTCCCATCAAAAGCTTTCGTTTTGGGCTTGCTTTGCCATCCACGCTGTTATTCCTGTTACAAGCACTTAGAACACTCAAAACAGCCGTAATTATAGAACAGAAGAATTTGACATTCTGTTGTTATATGAACATGAAATTCGAGAATGGAGTAACAAGAAACTTTAAAATAACGTTCATTATCTAAAGTTCACATTATGGGCCTTTTCTCGTATTTGATACCCCGGCACCAATTACCAAAATCACGCCAAAACAGATCAATTGAGAGACAGCGGAAGCTAACTTATTTCAAAACTTATTAGTGAAAAATTTCAATCAATTTATTTAGTGGAGGTCATTCAATACATACATGTACATAAACATACGAAAGTTCTCGAAAAACTCAAGAAACATGAAGATTTTCATCGTTAGTTCTCGCCAGAGTGTTTGCAAAAAAATAAGGCCCGGACATTGAGACACTGAACTGCACTTGTATGGTTCAAATCTTTTAGCTCTTGAGTTAAAATAATGAGTAAAGTAATCAATGTATTTCCCCTAGTTTCGATGCAACCTTTGTTTCATCAATCTCCGAGTCATCTTTCTGTATTTCATTCTCGATAACTGGATCTTACGTCGAGTTGCGTCGAAAGATCTGAAAATTTCTTTCACGTTGCGTCTACCGTCTCATTTTAAGAGCTAGAAATCAATAATTGCTAGCCAGGCGAGCTACATGACGGGGTTTCGATTGCGGCTCAGAGAACCGCAAACTCAGAGAACTGTTACTCATAACAATACTTGTAAAAACTTACCCTTAGGCAGTGGGGTGTCACAACGGATGATCATTTTGACAAAACAACTTGTTGACGCGTAATAAATGTCTCTGTGCTGAATTATTCAAGAATCTCTTAAAACGGTGGGTATCATTCATTATTTTTCCTTTTTTGTTGTAAGTTCAATTTATAGTATTTTTCAGACGAATCTTGATCCCGAAGACTCAAACGTGTCAGTTGAGACCAAACCCTTCATTTCTTTGTATTGTTTACGTGCCGTCAAGTTACGAAATCTAATTGATTTAATTTTACTGATTTAGGCCTAGGACAAAATGTTAAAGTCCTTACAACCACTAAATCCTTGCTATGACATCAGTGCACAACTGTACTTCTTACTTATTATCATGGAATGTATCTTAAGCTACTGACTTGGAGGAGACTTCATTGTTAATCCAGAAGGTCACATTGGAATTCTACTCTTCGTGGTTTGACAAATTTAATTCGATCACTAGAAAGTATTTTACACTGAAAAGAACAAAGCAAATTAGAAGAAACTATATATACCATGTTGAGGTCCAGGTGTAGACAGCATTTACTCGTTAAAAAACATTTGATCACGATAAACTCTCAACAGAGCCAAAACTTCGAGCCAATTTGATCTTCGTTTACCATTTACTCTCCAAATACGATCTCTGATGATGCGTGCAACACTCTGTGACATTTATTTTGTACCTTTGGAGTTTCCTGTTCACTGTTCTCAAAAGTGCAAGTTATCATAAATTTGGTAGTAAGGAAACCAAAAGTTTCACTACGGTCCACTTATCTATAGCTATCCAGTCCAGACGCCTTTTCAGTAATACGATGCATTCGAAACAAAAGAAGGGAATTTTCATTTTCCGAATGCTTTCGCTTTCCATTGTTTGAGACACCTGTAATCGAGGAAAACATAACCGAAACTACCGAAATATCCGAAACCAAGTAATTTTTAGAGATTCTAGATAATACGAGTGTACTGAGTTGAAAACGGTTAAAAGTATTAAATTACTGGAAGAAACCGCCTACTTAAAGCTTTCAAATACTACAATGAGGGAACGAAGGTTTTGATACGGTCACGGGAATTTTCCCTTTAAAAACTTTCGTTTTGGGCTTGCTTCGCCATCCACACTGGTATTCCTGTCATAAGCACTTAGAACACTTAAAACAGCGATAATTGTAGAACAGAAGAATTGGATATTCTGTTGCTATAGAAACATGAAATTCAAAAACGGATTAACAACAAGAAACTTTAATATAATACTCGTTATCTAAAGTTCACATTATGAGCCCTATTTAGTATTTGATACCCACCACTTACGAAAATCACACCAAAACAGTTTCAATTAAGAGATAATGGAAGCTAACTAATTTTAAAACTTATCACTGAAACATTTCGGATTTTCACCATCAGGTACCCCAGGAGTATTGGCGAAGAAGTAAGACCCTGACATTGACACATTGAATTACACTTGTATGGTTCAATTCCTTTAGCTCTTGATTTAAATAATGCGTAGAGTACATATATGTTATTTTCCGGCTGGGAGGTCCGTATGGTGAAAAACTGTGACCGAGGTCTTGAAAATACTGCCCGAGGCCGTAGGCCGAGGGTAGCATTTTCAAGACCGAGGTCACAGTTTTTCACCATACGGACCAACCCTTAGCCGGTAAATAACATATTTATTGTTTTTAAACTTGACGAAATTCTTTCCGAAAGAACGCGAAGATTTATGGCTGTAAATACGGCAAGATCTTCCATAAACTGAACAATTTTTAAGTGAGTAAATGGTAGTTGAAATAGAGGTGATGCAAATTTAAGAGAGATGCCTCAGCGAAACATTTTCATTTCCGTAACGATAAAGGTGATTTAAAAGGCTTCCAAACAAACTTTGAAACATTATTTTTACAAGTATCTGTCACAATCTGACACCTGTCAATTAGAGAGCGCGCAAGAAAAAAAAAGCATAAAAAAAAGCGTAGGAACATTTGAAAACCAACAGAACTGGTTTGGCAAGGACTGTCACGACAATATTTTCTTCAAAACCAGTCAATGATCTAACGGAAATTATTATTCACTCTCATCGACCATTCATTCATGTACGAAGATTTACCTCTGTTCATTAAGTAAACGGCGAGGAAAGTAGTTATGAGTAAATTCAATTTTTTTATTTTGAAGTTGTGAGAGTTTGCTCGTTTGTTTGCTGTAATGGCGTGTTTAACTCTGATCTTTCCTTCACAAAAACTAAATTCGAACGGCACACTCCAACGAGACACAAGGGAATTTAATGCGGCCTTTTCTTAAAAAATTCCTTCAAAGTTCTGTTGTGCAATTTACGGTACAAATGTCCAAATTGAACGGAATTGGAAAGACTCACCGGGAGCGTATATTTGTCGTAGAACTTAAATTAAAACTTCGCTCGCTCTTTCACTATGAACAAATTGCTCGAGAAAATTCAGATATTAAATGAATGAAAGTTCCATCGTTCAGTTTAACTGTAACCAAATACCTCACGTTCTGGGTACTTTTTGTGAACGATTAAAATTAATTGCAGACGGTTTTTAGGCCGCTTGTCAACCAACGTAATGACACTATTGTTTATACAAATTCATTCTGAAACCAATATTTTTCTGTCAACCAAAGTGATTTGATAGAGAGAAAAGAGAGGATTCATAAGTTATTTATCGGCTTGAGGTAGTGACCGACGTGTTTGCGCAAAAATACTGCCCAGCCGGAAAACGAGGTATATTTATGAAAAATGACAACGAAAGTTGGGATGTACCCGGCGATTCACGAAAGCGTTACCGTGGCCCGTGGGCAGAGATAGGAAAATACTGACCGGGTAAAGAACCAATCAGATTGCAAGATTCGTTACCGTGCCCTCTGAAAAAACAATAAAATAAGTTATTTCCCCTAGTTACGACGCAACCTTTGTTTCATCAAACACGAGTTATATTCCCGAATTTCATCCTCGAGAACTACAGATCTTACGTCGAGTTGCGTCGAAAGATTTGAAAATTTCTTTCACGTGGCGTCCACTGTCTCATTTTAAGAGCTAGAAGTCAATAATTGCTAGTCAGGCGAGCTACGTGACGTCATTTCGATTGGGGCTCAACACGCACGTATCGATCTGTTATTCATAACAATACTTGTAAAACTTGCCCTTAGACGATCGAATATCACAACGTCAACTCGTTGACGCGAAATCCATGTTTCTGTGTTGAATTATTCAAGAATCACTGGAAACGGTGGGTATCATTCATAATTGGTTGTATCTGTTTTAAGTTTAATTTATAGTATGCTTCAGCCGAACCTTGATCCCGAAAACTCAAATGTGTCATTTAAGACCAAAGTCCTGTTTACGTACCGTCAAGTCACGAAATCAAATTGCATTAATTTGACTGGTTTCGGCCTACGACAAAATGTTCAAGTCCTTAGAACCACTCATTCCTTGCTATGATATCAGCGCACAGCTGTACTTCTCACTTACTATCACGTAATCAATGTATCTTATAAGCTACTGACTTCGAGGAGACTTCATTGTTATTCCAGAAGGTCACAGTGGAATTCTATTCCTCGTGGTTTGACAACCATAATTTGATCACTAGAAAGTCTTTGGCGCCGAAAAGAACAAACCAGATGAGAAGAAACTGTATATACTGTATATGTTGAGGTCCAGGTGAAGACAACATTTATACTTGTTAAAAAAACATTTGATCGCGATAAACTATCAACAGAGCCAAAACCTCGAACCAAGTTGACCTTCGTTGACTAGCTACACTCCAAATACGATTTCGGAGGATGCGTGTATAACTGAAATTGTGATACAGAAATAACTGAAACCTATTAATTTCTGGAGATTCTAGATAACACGAGTATGTGGAAACGGTAAAAAGTATTAGAAGATAGGTGCCGGGAAGTGCCTACTTTAAGCTTTCAAATACTACAATAAGGGATCGAAGGTTTCGATACGCTCACCCTTTCTGTCATTCGCGACAGAAGGGAATTTTCGCTTTAAAGTCTTTTGCTTTCCATTGCTTGAGAAATCTCCAATCGAGATCTTTACATCTTCTGGCAGGATGTGCAAGTGCTTGATTTTGTGCCGTTATTTTTCAACTAAACAAAGCAACCGTAAAACAACGCAGAATGATTAATGGTTTGTTTGACCTCATACTTACTTACTTATAGTAAGGATGACACAGCAAAATATTCCTGAAATCACCGCATTACCACACCTGATCAGATACGCATGCTCTCATTACAAATTAAGGGACTTGTCAGAAATTAGCAGGGGGAGGGGGGGGGGAAACAGAGGGGGGGTCACAACTTTTTGAGCCTCAGAAAAGGGAGGGGTCATGAAAAATGGGCAGTTAAAAGGGGGAGGGTCATGCAAATATATGCCCGTGATCATGTAGAGGTTCACCCACAGAAGAAAAAGGAAGTTCTTTATTTGGAAGAGGTGGATGATCATGATGAATGTGAGGTAGATGAAGGGGATGAGGCATTACCCACTTGTTCTAGTGATGAAGACTTTGTATTGGGAGAAATAGGAGAGTCGAGTGATCAGTCGGACTCTTAATGCTGTCATCGAAAATGTATGTATGTAGCATGACAAAGAACAGATTAGAAATATATTTTGAGTTTTCATAATACTGACGCACCCTAGTGTATTGCAAGAACTAGATTTTATCATTTATACAAGAGGGGGAGGGTCATGATATTTTAGGCCAAGCTCAAGGGGAGGGTTAGCAAATTTCACTCCCATTGCAGGGATGGGTCACCTAATTTCCGAACCCAAATTTAAAATTCCCACCCCCCTCCCCCCCCTGCTAATTTCTGACAAGTCCCTAAACTCACACTATGTATTTGCATTGATAATAGATACAGTCGATTACTGCTGATGTTCTTTCGCGAATTCAAATGGGTCCTTGCTTGCAAGCACATCATTTGTTTCTTTATCGATCAATACGGTTGATTAAGCTCCTCTATTAATGGAATTTCTCATCAGAATAAGTTAAATTAAATGCTGAAAAGGTTCATCGACATTTACACAATGGACCCATTGAACAAAAAACAGCAATAACGCAAATACGCAGCACACTTCAGAATTTGAGATAAGCTCGTTACAACGCAACTTTCGATTCTATTCAAGGAAATACGGCATAAAAAAACTTATACTGCAACTCTGCAATTACCAATTAATTGTTAAAATACCAAAATTTGAAACTCAGGAGTGAAAAATTTGTTGTAAGAGCGCATAACTTTTTTATTGTTTCTGATAATAGTCATTGGACCAGTTAATTTCGTCCATGTTTGTTTTCAACCTGGCCACTCAAGAAGTTTACTTTTCATTTTGATTGGCTGGCATTGACTGACTGGCATTAATAGTTGATTTTCATTGGCTGATGGCTTAAAGTGCCTAATTTCTATTGGCTGCTTAACTGTCCGACTTGGCCTTTGCAGTTACAAACACTTGAAATCGGACAGGTGAAAATGGACAGTGGACTTGAAACAGTCAATATTAAGCCACAAATGAAGACTGATAAGAACCACTCATATTCAAACATCTCTAAAAACTGAGAGAACATATAGTCTGAACTCGCTAATATAAATCAATTTGTCTCTACTAAGGCCCTTTCAAACGTGAATATCGTCATGGCGATGGAATACAGCAAAGAGCAGCTCAACTACTACAGGATTTGTTACGTTGTCGCTGATGTATTAACTGATGGTCTGCGAATAATTTTCAAACAAGAATGGGACAATCGCTACGGTGTAACAACGTCCGGGGAATGGAAGGATGAACCAAGAAATGGAGTGGACTTTAAAAACAAGGAATCTGCTCAGAACCAAAAAAAAAATGCGCGTCTCCTTACAACCATGATTGGAGGAAACAGAGTAGAATGGGATTGTACGATGCTTTTCTACGCTATTCTTTTCTCAGATTGTATTGACAACCTCAGCCCAGTTGTCAGATCAAATGTCGATGCCCTCAGAAAGTTTCGAAATGAAGATTTTGCGCACATGTCGGAAGGAAACCTTTCAGACCTGCAGTTTCAAAACATCATTGGCAAAGTTGACACTGCATTTCAAGCGCTCGGTCTTTCCACAATGAAAATTCAAGAGATTAAGAATCAAACGAGCTTTCCCACGGAGGAACTGAAAGATGTCTTGAAAATGGTTGACAATCTTAAGCAGGAGCTTCAGGTCCTTGAAGATCAGTTAAACAATGATATCTCCCCCTTCTGTGTCCTCCCTCCTAAACCCTCACATGACGTAACAAGCCGCGACCGAGAGGTGGCCGAAATAATGCAACAGCTTAGAGAACTTAAAACAGCAAATAAAGACAGGCTAAGTTACCTTTACATCTCCGGAAATCCTGGAAGTGGAAAGTCTCAACTAGCGGGTCTTGTGACTAAACGATTCTACAGAGAAATTAAAGATCTTCCGGATGGTACCTTATTTGTGATGACGATAAATGGTGAAAGTCCAGATACTGTGCTACAATCGTATGTGGCTTTTTCACGGCGTCTTAAGTGTCCCGAGTACGCGGTGACAACCACCCTCCATTCAGAGGACTTGACAACAAATGAGAAAATCACCAATCTTAGGGCATTGATCGGAACGAAAATTGGGCTTTATACATCGTGGCTGCTCGTAGTTGATAATGTCGCGAGTCTATCACATGTGCATGTCCATCTACCCGAAGCCGGAAATGAAGTGTGGGCAAGAGGCCAGTTGCTTATCACAACTCAAGACAGTGGGTCAATTCCTCCAGCAAGTTCCTTCAACAAACACATCTCAATAAGCAACGGAATGAATCTTGATGATGTCAGTTGTTTATTGGAAAAACTCTCAGGAATCACGGACAAAGAGATGGAAATCAAAGTTGCTCAGGCGTTGGACTACCAGCCTCTCGCCTTGGCAAGTGCCGCCACTTATGTCAGAGAAGTTCGACAGACATCTAAGTTTGGCTGGAAAGACTATCTTGCAAAACTTGAAACAGGCCAAAGAAATGTCATGGAGAAATTTCTTGCCGAAGTCAACCCAAGCTATGCAAAGTCCATGACCACAGCAACAACACTGGCCGTAGAAACAGCTATGGAATCCAGAAAAATTATGCATCACGCCTTTAAGTTCCTGTCCCTGTGTGCACCACAACCATTAAGTCTTAATATCATTGAAGACTTTATCACAATCGTGGATAAAGAAATTCAAGACATAGAAATGATTCGTTTGAAGATACAAGGGTGCTCCCTGCTGATGTTTGAAAGGGACGAAACTGACGTTTACATTCGTGTGCATCAGGTTGTACATAATTCCATTAAGACTTTGGCTGCAGCTCATTCGGATGATAAGCACAACGAGGTCGTCAGTGGAGTGATTGGATCATTCAGTCGTTTTGTAGAAAAATATCTACCAAGGGACAACTACGAGTTCTATGCTCTAATAAACAGCAGACATGTTACTCATTTAAAAAATTTAGCTCCAGAAATCGAGAGATATTTTTCTAAGAAGGTTATTTCTCAAGTCGACCAAAGTGGCTTTTTGATCAAGAACCATGCGATGGACCTCCATAGAATGAGTTTGTTTTGCTATATGCATTGTGAATACGAAACTTCAAGACGTTTCATCGATATGGCATTAGACGTATCCATTGTCAACGAGCACGACCCTGGCTTAGATATTGCAGATATCTACGAACGCGCGGGTAAAGTGCACGAAAAGCTGGGCGACCTGAGTAAGACAAAAGATTATCATGATCTTGCACTGGCCACTCGTCTGAAAAAGCTTGGACCTGACCATGTTGACATTGCAAAGTCTTACTTTTACCTGGGTATTTTACACAAAAAGCTGAGTGACCTGAGTCAGGCAAAGGATTATCATGATCGTGCACTGACCATTCGTCTGAAAAAGCTTGGACCTGACCATGTTGACGTTGCAAGTTCTTACAATAGCCTGGGTATTGTACACGAAAAGCTGGGTGACCTGAGTCAGGCAAAGGATTATCATGATCGTGCACTGGCCATTCGTCTGAAAAAGCATGGACCTGACCATGTTGACGTTGCAAGTTCTTACAATAGCCTGGGTATTTTACACAAAAAGCTGGGTGACCTGAGTCAGGCAAAGGATTATCATGATCGTGCACTGGCCATTCGTCTGAAAAAGCTTGGACCTGACCATGTTGACGTTGCAAATTCTTTCAATAGCCTGGGTATTGTACACGAAAAGCTGGGTGACCTGAGTCAGGCAAAGGATTATCATGATCGTGCACTGGCCATTCTTCTGAAAAAGCTTGGACCTGACCATGTTGACGTTGCAACTTCTTTCAATAACCTGGGTACTGTACACGAAAAGCTGGGTGACCTGAGTCAGGCAAAGGATTATCATGATCGTGCACTGGCCATTCGTCTGAAGAAGCTTGAACCTGACCATGTTGACGTTGCAAGTTCTTACAATAGCCTGGGTATTTTACACAAAAAGCTGGGTGACCTGAGTCAGGCAAAGGATTATCATGATCGTGCACTGGCCATTCGTCTGAAAAAGCTTGGACCTGACCATGTTGACGTTGCAAGTTCTTACAATAGCCTGGGTATTTTACACAAAAAGCTGGGTGACCTGAGTCAGGCAAAGGATTATCATGATCGTGCACTGGCCATTCGTCTGAAAAAGCTTGGACCTGACCATGTTGACGTTGCAAGTTCTTACAATAGCCTGGGTATTTTACACAAAAAGCTGGGTGACCTGAGTCAGGCAAAGGATTATCATGATCGTGCACTGGCCATTCGTCTGAAAAAGCTTGGACCTGACCATGTTGACGTTGCAAGTTCTTACAATAGCCTGGGTATTGTACACGAAAAGCTGGGTGACCTGAGTCAGGCAAAGGATTATCATGATCGTGCACTGGCCATTCTTCTGAAAAAGCTTGGACCTGACCATGTTGACGTTGCAAGTTCTTACAATAGCCTGGGTATTTTACACAAAAAGCTGGGTGACCTGAGTCAGGCAAAGGATTATCATGATCGTGCACTGGCCATTCGTCTGAAAAAGCTTGGACCTGACCATGTTGACGTTGCAAATTCTTACAATAGCCTGGGTACTGTACACGAAAAGCTGGGTGACCTGAGTCAGGCAAAGGATTATCATGATCGTGCACTGGCCATTCGTCTGAAAAAGCTTGGACCTGACCATGTTGACGTTGCAAGTTCTTACAATAGCCTGGGTATTTTACACAAAAAGCTGGGTGACCTGAGTCAGGCAAAGGATTATCATGATCGTGCACTGGCCATTCGTCTGAAAAAGCATGGACCTGACCATGTTGACGTTGCAAGTTCTTACAATAGCCTGGGTATTGTACACGAAAAGCTGGGTGACCTGAGTCAGGCAAAGGATTATCATGATCGTGCACTGGCCATTCTTCTGAAAAAGCTTGGACCTGACCATGTTGACGTTGCAAATTCTTTCAATAACCTGGGTACTGTACACGAAAAGCTGGGTGACCTGAGTCAGGCAAAGGATTATCATGATCGTGCACTGGCCATTCGTCTGAAAAAGCTTGGACCTGACCATGTTCACGTTGCAAATTCTTACAATAGCCTGGGTATTTTACACAAAAAGCTGGGTGACCTGAGTCAGGCAAAGGATTATCATGATCGTGCACTGGCCATTCGTCTGAAAAAGCATGGACCTGACCATGTTGACGTTGCAAGTTCTTACAATAGCCTGGGTATTTTACACAAAAAGCTGGGTGACCTGAGTCAGGCAAAGGATTATCATGATCGTGCACTGGCCATTCTTCTGAAAAAGCTTGGACCTGACCATGTTGACGTTGCAAATTCTTTCAATAACCTGGGTACTGTACACGAAAAGCTGGGTGACCTGAGTCAGGCAAAGGATTATCATGATCGTGCACTGGCCATTCGTCTGAAAAAGCTTGGACCTGACCATGTTCACGTTGCAAATTCTTACAATAGCCTGGGTATTGTACACGAAAAGCTGGGTGACCTGAGTCAGGCAAAGGATTATCATGATCGTGCACTGGCCATTCGTCTGAAAAAGCTTTGACCTGACAATGTTAACGTTGCAACGCGTTGTTGCGTTTTATAAATACTGCTGCAGGTACGTTTTATTCTCCTTCTTTGCCTTCACTGCCGGTCTCGAATTCATTGTCAATAATCTCCTCTGCATCTTCCGTCTCCTCTTTCTCTTCTTCCCATAATGCATTTTCTTCGACTCGGCGCTCTCTTCTTTCCAGATGGGGTATATGTGAACGAGTTATTTACTATCCATGTTTCATGCAGCATTCGGAGTTTGGCTTTGAAAGGCTTGTTTATGCACTTATCTAGGGGCTGCAACACTGACGTCAGGCCACCGGGAATGACAGCAACATCGACAGTTCGTCTCGCACTGTTCGGTTGCCCGTAAATTCGAGGGTTCTTGTGGCTGGCAGCTCAAATCCTCCGTGTTTAAGATGTGGCTTAACTGGTAGTCATGACGTCTCCGGGCCCTCAACACAAAACGATGGAATTCGACGATCTTCTCCTCCATGTCTGCTGGTAGACGCTGAGCCAAAGTTGTTTTCGCTCTCATAGATACAGCGTGGCGACGTTTTCAGTTGTTGTACCACCCTATAGATGCCTTGAACTCCGGATCGGAGCTGAGTTCCTTCGCCTTTAACCGGAGCATTACGCTATTAACTGAGAGACCTGCAGAAAATAGAACTGTTCAGTGTTAAAGGACAAGGTATTTTACGTGCACGTGTTGCATGTTAACATTGATCTTCTGGACTGTTAATCAATTAGCGCAAATTGAAGACAAAACAATTCTTTATCGTACCTTGACTTCTTTGATCGCTAAACCAGTCTGCTAAGCGTTGATCCAGTTTTGGATATTTTGGTTTGTACCGACCCATGGATGCACGTTTGGCAGTCATCTTTAACTCGCCATTAAACAGCATATGCAGTTGGTTTCGCCATTTGCGAACCATTGACTCGGATATTCCGTACTCGCGTGCAATTTCTCGATTGTTTTTCCCTGACTCTGCTTCCTCTACTACTTTCAACTTAAAGTTCAGATCGTAAGAATGACGTCGCGTACTAGGCATGATTTCTGTTTTGAACACAGCAATGCTCACTGAATCGCCGTGAATGAAGTCTTACAACTAGGAGTTCGACCAGCTGAGACATGCTTATAAAGCTTAAACTGGATCAATTAGTATTCATAGCTTTAGAAAGTAACACTGTTTCCTAAGAAGGCAGACTGTATTCACGGTATCTAGATCTCTTTTATCGGTGTGATTTTTTTTTCGCTTTGTTCGTGCAAATGTGTGACTTTTTTGCCTTTTGTTAAAAAAGGTGACATGACTGTAATTAGAAACTTTGAAAACGCTATTGTTTTGAAAGTGAATATAGTGAAAAAGCCCAAAGTTGAGGTTGCGTCTTATAACCGGGTATTTAGGCGAAATTTTCGGTTTAACAACTTGAAAGAAACGAGTTCAAAAATTCAGGGTGCGTCTTATAACCGAGTGCGCCTTATAACCGAGAAAATACGGTAATCTTTATTATTTTCAGCAGAAGCATATTATGATAGTGCTGCTTGCCATCTATGAAAAAAAACCCTGGGATCTGACTATGTTTGGGTTGCTACTACTAATAACCATTGATTAAATCTGGGTCATTTCGCAGAATTTCGCTTTTTCTCTGCTTCTACATTGTTTATCAAGTTACCTTCAACGTATTTCCGGTTACACAAATACAACTTTATAAAAAGTTCAATTAATGCAGTTTCTTATTATACCTGAAGACAGCTGTCTCCCCCCTTTGAAGTACAGATCGTCATTTAAAATGAGTTTCTTAATTTATCTCGGTCTCTGTTTTTCATTCATTGAAAATGGCCTTTTTATCCTGAAACCTGACAAAGGCTGACTCGTCCCCAGTCGTTTCCAATAATGTGCGCGGTACTAAAGTGGGAAAGAAGGGTGATGGTTAGGAGGTCGACGAGGAGTCTTTCTCTCGCTTACTCCTTACCCATCACACTTTGCGCTCTCACACTGCCCGTGTCGGTTACCCGCGCGATTGGAGACGATTCAGGGAAGAGAGGAAATACAAAACAATAGAAACCTTTGTTATTGCTGCCTTCCTAAGGGGCAGGAAGCCGTTTTGTTGGTTTCGATTTCAGTTGGAGTCTTTTGTATGGATCTTGCATGGAGTAATCCCCTCCCTTAAAATGTTTATGCATGCTAAGTCTGCCGGCTTCCTGATTTTCTCTCTCACGAAAGATGCTCGTTGTAAACCTGCTACAAATTCTTAGGCCCTACATGTAATTCTGACGCCGTGACTTCTCAATTCCTATTCTCTCCCCTTCTTCCCAAAGAAAAGCATTCTGGGTAATCTCGTTCTCACAATCGTATTTCTTCTTTCCATGAGGACCCCAGAAACGAGGCTGCTTGAAGGCATATTCTTTGAGGTGACGCAAGTCTATCAAACTTAACATATGGCCGTTTTGATTTCATGGTCAAGGGTGGAAGAATGTCATCACAATGGATTATAAGGGGCCTCTCCTTATCAAATTTATTGTTACAAGCAATTTCAATTGAATGTCCATAGTAATGCAAAATTGCACTGGTTTTGCCTGACGTCACTTTTTGATGGATCCAGAAAACTTCCACCACTCTATTATATTTCTTCTCTTTAACTAAAGTTATTAATGGCTCCTTGTGTTATTACCCTTTGTTCTGACTGGCCGTTGAGATTACTTCGGTTTCGCTTCCACAATGCTCAATCGAAATGTGCTCCTGTTGCATTCAAGCAAACTATTTGTTTTGTTCACTTTCGCTATGGGTCGGGAATTAAAAAATTTCAAAATTGTTCGCTAAACCAAGCCGATTCGACTTATTCTTCAAGCCCAAAGCGGGAAAACGAATGAAAACTCGAATACGTTAAAATAATTTAACTCATATCATTCATCTTTTTATCGCATGATAAAATTGTTTAAAAAGTTTTCTAAGACCTTTGAAGTGTGAAGTTTAGACATGGGGTCCTGACAGGGAATAATACTTGAAATTATTCCCATATGACGATTGGGATACTGAGGAGTGACGTATGTATTTTTTTGTGGGAGGGGAGGCTGCCTTGAGAGATAAGTCGTCAAGGATGCGTTCTCTTATTACGTCTTGATCAGGGACTACCTTTTGATTGAAGTTTACGGACCACCCATGATCCTTTAGGGGTCTTCAAATTGTCAGCGGTCTTGTCCTAGACTTGTTTTGCCCTGTATGTGTGTAGAGTATTGTATGTAAGGTATAGGACATAATATGTATTGAGGACATAATATGTACCCATACATGACATACCTACTGACATTATAAACAAACTCCGCTGTGCAACTGCATGCTCAGAACATGGCCTCGTGCACAAGTTCGTTTTTTCGTCCATTTCAATCCATGCAGATGATCAGTGCCGAATTCCGCCATGGCATAAATATAGTGAGCTGTATGCAAAGTAGATACCTTCGCTCAGGTATGGGTGACTTCGCTGTAATCATTTAGATCACACATAGCTAACCGGTGTTGCAAAGGTATATGGTAGTAAGGCTTTAAACCTTTATACCCAACATCAATATTCATATTCTCTATACTCTCCTATACACATTTTTTTTGTTACTGACAAGGAGAATTCATTTAACAATCAAAGCTACCTCATTCCCTTTATTCTCAAGATCTTAATGAATTGTAAGTGGATGGGAGAGGAGATATGATTTACTTTTTGGAGGTTGAGATCATGTTGGAGGAGTCATTCAGGTTTTTCAAGTTCTTGAAAAAGACCTGTGAACTCTCAAGACCTTGTGCACTGTCTTGGAAACATTTTTATTAATTTTATGACTCTATAAGTAGCATGTATATCACCTGGATCTGCTGAAGCTACTTATTAAAAGTCCCCACATGGGCATTGCTAGAGGGTTAGGGATTGGGGTTACAGCTGGTACAGTAAGGTGAGGTGCATAACTATGAAGACAAAACATTTGATGTACCCAATTTCTGTAAATTGCAAGTGCTTTATGTAGCCAGTGCCATTAGAAGTACTGCACATTCCTTACCCTTATTTTTGATTTTTGGTTCTTTTTAAATCATAAACTTAATATACATTCCTTTTTGTGGCTATTGCCTCCTATAGGGGGTGAAGCCACATATGTCGTGGAGATGATGACATATGAGGAGGTTTGATCTGGACATCAAGGAAACTTTAAAGAAAGTTTTATCAATTAGAAGAGAGAGCATTTTACCATCTCAATCAGCAACTAATGGCCAAAAGAGCCACTAAATTTGCAAGGCAAGCAAGGTCCAAAATACAATACCTTGAGTTTAACAGGGTAATCCCATTTGATTGAATGATGGAACAGGGCAATGGCAGAATATACAATAAGGCTGAATGCCTCGTTGGATAAACAAAAGTCTCACTTTAATGGAATTGCAATGAAATAAGAAAATGATTGATAATTAACAAGCAAAATTAAAAGAAGTATAGTAAAAACATTATCAGAGCCAAGAGGATAGACTAATGGAGGAACAGTGAAGTTCTTGAGATAGCTATCATTACTATTACTATTGTTATCATCATTTTTATTATTATTATTATTGGTATGATTATCTTTTACCATTTAGTTCTTTGTTGAGTGTCAATTGGTGGCTATATTCTTCAGTCATCTTCCTCTTGTGGAACAAGGCACTCATAAATATGTGGGATGTGGCAGGTTTTCTGTTTTCCATGTGAGACTAATCTTCTATTACACTACCTTCTGGCATAATTATACAACTTGTAGTTCTTTTCAATGCTATAAAAATTGTGCCATGTCAGTAGCCACATGCAGTCTTAAAATTGCCTATTTTTTAGGTAGCTGTCACCTTGCTGCCAAGTTACCAGTTGTACATGACAATGGCTTTAGCTGTGAGTGGCCTGAAAAGCACAGATTTAAAATGGCAAAGTTTCTTAAAGTAATGGAATGGATCATCAAAGACAATCTATTAGGGTCTGTCAAAATCTTTCAACCAATGGAACCACCTTATGAAGTTGTGACACGTGTTCACAACTGTGACTATGTAGATGGTTTTATCTCAGGAAACATTCCTCCAAAAGAAATGAGGAAAACTGGCTTTCACTGGTCAGAGGGCCTTGTGAGAAGATGTTTACTTGAAGTAGGTAGGAATTTGTGTTAAAATTAAGTATGTGCATGGATTAGGGTGCTGAAGTAACAAACAGAGTTTTGCAGGGGAAGACTTGCCCCTGATCCAGAGACCTTCACCATTATGATAGTGAATGCTATGTTTGACCAAAATGAAACTCCTTATATCCTCAGCACAGTTAGTATTACTCTTCCCCCCTCCCACATTCCAGTAACAGATCTAGGGGGAAGGTCGAGGGATTTTTGACTTCTTGTCTGAAACCAACAGTCTTGCAGCAAAAGAATCACATGATAGAAGTGTTTGAAATTAACTTCTCTTGTGAGGAGAGACAGCCCGCAGAATAGTTCAGTATTCTAATTTGAATTAATTTTGAATTTGCCATTGCCTTATATGTGTTTTGATAAGTTTGTCAAATACATATTAATATTAGTAAAAAAAAATAATTTGACCTTTTTACTAAAAAAAAATAGGTGGCACCATGCTTGCTGCCAGGCTAGCAATGGAGTATGGACTAGCATGCAGTACTGCAGGTGGAACACACCATGCTTTTCCCAGCCATGGTTCAGGTTTCTGCATGTTGAATGATCTTGCTGTCACTGCTAAGGACATGATTGATAGTCAAGTTGTTGATAAAATCCTCATTGTTGACCTGGATGTTCACCAGGTAATTTAGTAGAAGGTATTGACCCTCTACCTCCCATGAGTGACCAAGACATAATTTCTCCTTACAATTCCTATACAATATTAAGCAGACAAGAGATGAGAGTGAAGAAAATATCAACAAGGGAATTAGTAGTTGATCCAATGCCAAATTCTCCAAACTAACATTATAAGAACTGTATGGAAGACAGTAAGGAGATTTATCAATAAGATCTTGGGAATGAAATGGTTAACATGTGAATTCTCCTCACAGTTTCCATATTTTATTTGCTGAGAAGCAGATAAGAGTTAACAAATAGATCAACTGGAGGTTTGTTTTCTGGATAGAACACCAAAATTATAGTAATAATTTACTCAGAACGTTATGTCAGTCAGAATGGAGAACTATGTATCAGCTCTTAGAAATGAAAAAGATAAAGACAGCTGTGTAGTAATTTCACAGAGCCTGGCATTCAGTAAATCAAAGTGAGGCCTGTATATATGTCAATTTAGGCTTGAAAGTTAATCCACTGAATGATGCTATCCTCTACAGGGAGACGGCACAGCCTTTATCTTCAAAGACAATGATTGCATATTTACATTTTCTATGCATTGCGAGAAAAACTTTCCACTCAGGAAACAACAAAGTGATTTAGATGTTGGTTTAGACTGTGGCTTGAATGATGAGCAGTATCTGAGGGTGGTAATGGATTATTTACCATGGCTCATGGACACTTTTAAACCTGATCTGGTACTGTATGATGCTGGAGTGGACCCACATCAAGATGATGTGCTTGGTAAACTGTGTCTCACAGATCAAGGTACTGGAGGGGGACAGGGGAGGTTGAGGGTGGAAACCACAGGGGTTAGAGGTGGGTGAAGAACAAGAGATGTGCTCCGGAGAAAAGGGTTAGGAAGTGGTAACTTAAAAGGGTGTGAAAGGACCAAAAAAAAGCCAAGTTACGAACATTCTTTAATTATTTATCTGCACTGTGTCGCCATGAAAAGTGGGTGACATAGGTGTGGGAGATGCAAGAGAGTGGTGCAGGGAAGTTCTTACCCCCCTCTCCGCCCTTACATCCTTACCCATGGTACAAAGGATCTGGTAATAAAGGGGCAAGGTCATGATTCGTTTATCTTACAAACTTAGAAATTTCTTAAATTATCAAAATGAAAATGGCCCGATAAAAAAAGATTCACTCACTAATGAATCATCACTCTACAGGGTTGTTGGATCGTGACGTAGCCGTAATAGAAATGGCTCTTAACAGAGGGATCCCATGTGCGACTGTCATTGGTGGAGGGTATGATGACGACATAGAAGTTCTTGGAAGGCGTCACTCAATCATTCATAGAGCAGCAGTCAAGGTGAGAGTTGACACATGATCCAAGCATGAGTTCATAGGGCAGTTTTCAATCGAATGTCGAAAAACAAAACCAAGGTAATCACAACAGACAGTCACATCAAAGGTTTGCATGGTTTGAATCTACTTTACGCGTGAAACGAATTGACTTCCGCTTGTATCAAAACGACTTGTATCGAAACGACTTTGTATCGAAACAACCGGATACCGTTTGCATTATCGTTAGCCAACGAAAACTCAAAAGTAAAACCAAGCAAGTTGTCAAACGCGCGGGAAAACGCGGGCGACCATGTCACCATTGGTTTCCATTTTGCGTGTGATTGGTTTAGAGAATGGCACGAGTCTCTTTTTTAGACCAATCAAAAACCAAAACTAAAAAGCAAAACCAAAGCAAAGCAAAACAAGAAGACTTAAAACTTCAGGCATCGATGGAATTTGGATCCGTACCTTCTAGACATTAGGAAGGTGCCAGAACCAACTGAGCGACGAAGCCTCATGTTGGGAGCGAGGCAACTTTTGCACCTTGACTTCATGTTGACTTCCTCACTGGTAGTCGAAACGTCAATCCTTAACAACAGAGCTTTCACTACCCTTAATTGCGCAGTGACATATTACGCCGGACTAGCTAATATGCCCTATTCTCGCCTAATAACCCTCATCCAATACAGTGCGACCAACTTTTACGCTTTACCCTCGCCTAATTATGCTCAAATGACACAGTACGACCAGCTTACACGCCATAATCTCGCCCAAGTTCAATCCACACCACTTTGATTTCAAGCTCTCTAACAGCCTTGGCGTGTATATTGAATCTTATACCAGCTTTGCTTGGTTAAATTTTCTCTAAGGTTTGGAACGACAAGAAACCCTAAACAGAACGAAAATCAAGTTGAACCGGAAGAATTAAACAGAAGTACTCAAGACCATGTCAAGTTGCTCTCAGTCGAAGAAAGCAATATCCAAATGGATTCCTTAACCTCCGGGTACAACTCAGCCAGGAATGGGGCCAGTAATTCACGAACAAACAAGATTTCAAGAATTACTTTTATTTTGGTAACTGAGAAGAGAGAAAAACTGACGAAAAAGGTTAACGTAAGACTTGACAACCATTGCTTTTGTGTATGAATTTTTCCACCCGAATCTGCAGACCACTTCCTTGGATTTTAACTTATGCCTCTGTTACGTCTCATGACTAAAGTAATGCCATCCACCATGTCTCTCATGTACTTCATACTTCATTTAATAATGTGTGTTTCGGTGGAATGCTGATAGAAAGGACATTTTGGGATGCCTATCATACAGAAAATGATTTTCCGCTTATGGTCAATCATGGACATTTCCCGCCATCTTGGAAATGAACGATATAACTTTTTTGAAACATTGCTGGTAAATTTTTAATCGCTTTTTTAAGAAAAGAAAAAATATGTATATATATATATATTCCTATGCAAGAAGTATATATATATATATATATATTCCTATGCAAGAAGTCAGAGAAGGGCTCGGTTCTTGTGAGCGGGAAAAAAATTGAAAGGGACATATTTAATCACGTACTCAGGACCTACCGTGTGACTGTAACTGAAGTGTAGGGACCTTACAAGTGCTTGGCCGTGAAAAGTCTGGGTACAAGACTAGTATATATTTTTGGGGGGTTATTTCTTAGTTGATAGGCCTATACCCGTAAGGGCATTCAAGCCACTCAGTCAATCTACTAGCCCACAACTTCTTGGAAGGGGGAGGGGTGGTCAAAGATGAAATAAATTATTCTTTGCTGTTACATTTTCTAGCACAGTGTGATGTTCTAATCCAAGATAAAAAAAAACTTTCTCTTGCCCTCAAAGTTGTATTTATAAAGGTAATAAGACCGAGTGGAGTCCAGTTCGGTCTGTAATCATACGAGTGATTAACAAAACCGGACGACCGCGAAGCCGTCCGATCTGTTCATTACTTGAGCAATAGTGAAAATAAGGCCTGTACCAGTAGAGCACTGCACCCGTATCGCAAAGGTCGTGGGTTCAAATCCCTTACCGGCCTGAATTTTTTTAGGCCTTAATTTTACTACTGCTCAAGCAATGTTCATTACTGCGAAGATCGCTTTCATATTCACGTCTTTATCCGTAGTTCACCTATATGATCTTCATACATTTACAGTCATTTATTCATCACTTCACGGATTTATAAATGAAATAATGAAATGGTGGGCGTGGCATAGTAATCACTATTATCCTGTGAATGTTATAGGGAAATCACATCAAAAAGTTCTGGGGACGGTCTCGGAAAGTAACCGAAAATATTTTCCCAAAACTTTAGGATCTCCTCTCTTTGAATAAGGCCTTGTAGCTGAGAGAATTTTAAACACTTAACTCTAGCCGTCTTTTACGGAGAGAGCTCTAAATTAAGTTCCATTGGTTAAATTATGTTAAATCGAGGATTTTCCCAGACAGTTCCTAAAACTGTTTGACGGGTTTTTGAGCGCTCTGAAGATAACCGGTCGGAGAATATTATAGGAAAAACACTGTTTCCAGCCACCTAAAGCTAATGAGAGCTGGTAACACTATTGCATAACATTCAGAGTCAGTAGAATTAGTATCGTAAAGAGGTCCAATAGTTGTTAAAATATGTTGACGGATTGGTAACATCAACCGTGACATTACTTGAAATCATTTTAAGTTTGAACAAATCCCCATAAACTTCTTTGAAATTTTTGGTTTGTGATAACTTTTAAGTAGGAAGTAATAATAGAAATAACGAAGAACACTAAACAGATGAACTGAAAATCCTTCTCTCGAGCTGAATATAATTTAAGTATTAACAATGTTTCAGTGCTATCTTGTGCAATTTACGACCTCAACTCAAGCTTTCTCTACTATCTCTTTTTCAACCACATCAAAATGAGGAGGTCTCTAAAATAATAAGGACCCCTTCCCCCTTCTCCTAGGAGAGTAAGAACCCGGAGGCCCAGTGAAACATTAGGCCAAACCGAGCTTTCCTCTCTGACCGAAAAACCAATAGCATTTACCTCGCTGAGAACATATGGGTTCATAGCTCAGCGGCTGGCAGGATGTGTGTGGGAAGCATGGTTTCGAGTCCCATCGAAGCGTAAATCTCTTAAGACTTCTTATAGCAGTAGCTTTCGACCTTACTTAAACTTCAAAATCATCAATTAGGCTTGCATATCTAAGCATCGTACAAGATTATTTCAATATAAGGGACTGATGAACTTAATGCATCATATATCGGTTCTCAGTTTCACCCTACATATTAAAGCAGAAGGCGTATTTGTCCTCACGTGCTGCTTTCTGAGCTAGCACTTTACGTGAGATAAAATTCGTCTTATATACATTTAACAACCACTCGTTTCTTTACGGATCGAAGCAGAAGTGGGGAAAATTCCTTATGATTAAGAAACAAAAGATAATACTATTGATTGATGACTTCCATTTTACAATACAACATTACAGTTACCTGCGACAACGGAGAAGAATAACAAGTGTGCCATATTGGTTACCATCTTGTCGTCATGTCTTGTGACGCAGAGGCTGAACAAGCTGACTCCCTATGAGTACTGTAGCTTTTTGCGGAGGCCATCATCGAAACGACGGTATCCTTGCCTAAATTTTTGGTTAAAATCGAGATGGGAGGCATGAACAGGCGTAGAACTTTCAAAAATGACCAGCGCTTTCTTTAGCGTGTGCAGGTGGGAGAAAAATCATGAAAAACAAGTTCAAAATTTGCAATTCAGATCGGAAAGAAGTCTCTCTTTGACCTTTCGGGATCGCGTGAAAACCAACCAGGGAGAAATTTTCTTTATCAATAAAACAGGTCAAAATATTTTTATTTTCCTGAAGTGATCACACTTAAGAATGGTTGTAAGATTTTAAACCAAAGCTTTCTTAACTGATATCAAAAAACGGCTCCTCGGTAGTTTCTCAATCTTGTTCCCGGTCTAAGAAGACAAATAAAGAATTGGATTCGAGCTTACCTAGTTCAAACACTGTAAGAACTGTGTAGTTTGTAAAAGATAGCTAGCTTATCGTCTTCTTAAGTATGTATGCCCTTCTCCTTGCTAGTGTTCCTCATTTGAGAGTATCTTTGAGGTAGACTAGGAATTTTGCCCTGTGTACATATTTTTCTTTGTCGCTTGAATTTTCGTCTCAGGCCGAAAGTTCACTAAAAAGGCGTCTCCAGCGTTAAAAGAAAGGATCAGAATCAATGAACATGTTGCATTTCGCTTTAGCTCAATGATAGACCATCGGGGCGCCGAAGTACCAATTGCGACCCTTCTACAAAATTCAAACTTATCGATGGATAGATAAAGCAATATGTACTTGGACTATAGAATCGTACTTTTTAAAGTTTATTATTCGATTCCATGAATTTCTTTTTGAATAAACCAAGCAGTGTTTGAAATGAAATAAACTATATTTAACGCCTAACTAATATCTGGGAGACACAGGTTCGAATCCCGTCAAAGTCTGAATTTTTCAGGCTTCTTTGCTGCAATTTCTTCAACCCTATGAAACCTAGGAGGTAATCACTGGTATGAAATTTTCCTTACGATATTAGCCCTGAATCAAAGAATAAAGGAAATGATAACCAAAACGAATTCCCCTCGTTAGCACCTTAGGAATGTATAGAGAACAGAATGGAGGATAGACATATTGATGTTGAGTACTGGGTGAATTGCAGCTCACCCTTTAATCTGAATGCAGTTTTTTATTTCACTCCCAGGTCACCGACATTATGGGCCGGTTATTTATTCGAGGTTTAACTCAGACCACGGTTTTTACACAATCAGTGGGCCTCAGACTTTGTCTATAAGAGGGTTGATTTAATTACATAAACAGAGATTATTCAATGAAAAGTGCGCACGAACGAGTTGTGATACATTGCAACGAATGAATAAAAATCGTTCAAGCACTTTCCATAGTATGATGTTTTTATTTCATCCATACAGATATTTTTTCCTATTAACCGACACATTTCAAAGATTGGAAGCCATTTTGTTGCCCTATACTGTGAAGTTCTATCGTTCGTGTCTCAAATTGGACGACCAATGTATTTTCACTCTCGTTCGTTCAGTATGCATGAAATAAATGTTAGCTCTCGGCCTTCTTGACGCTGCTAACAATAATAAATGTTCACATGAAAGGTTCAGCTAAATTGAGGATTGTTAAGGACAGCAAAACTTTGTTTAAATAATCAGATCATATATTTGAGACGACTTTTTATGAGTGAGATTTAATCAACAGGCGTTCTAGTGAGTATTAGGCACCAGTGACTGTCATAATCTAAGTAAAAATTGTTTGAAGCGCATTTGTCAAATTTCAAATTACAATTGCATTGCTGGATAAACAAGCGGCTCATTGAGACTTTGAAACATAATTAAGTATTCTTAGCTTCTAGAAACTTTTCCAGTCTACCCTAGCCACCCACAAAATCCTAACGAAAAGAATGTTTATTGCTGTTGTTGTCGTTTTTTTTTTCGTATTGGGATAGCTGATTTGTCTGAATAACTTAAAATTTATCGCGAAGTTTTAAGCAACGATTGATAACAATAAACCAATAGAGTAATGTAAGTGAGCCGAATTAATTTCACGACCATCTAAATTGTCCACACTTCCGCGAACTTTATACTAATTTCTTATCATCAGTCAGAACTGGCCTGCCAGATCCGGCGGTCAATTTACAATAATACCTATACTTCCTAGAACTGCTAAGCTAGTTGAGTCACTCCGTCAACGTTACGTTTTATTCTGAACGAATTTTGATTTATAAAAAAGATTGACTATCGAAGAGAAAGAAAGTTCGTGCTTAAATTGATGTGTCTGACTGGAGGCAGCGACAAATGAAAACAAGTACCCTTAACTCTTAGTCGTGAGTAGAGGAGCGCATTTCAATAGTCCATTTCACAGTTGTGTGCTTGGTTGCCAAGCCTTTGAACAGGAGTGAGTTGTTATGATACACACTTTGCTGCTTTTCAAATGCAAATTACTCTGTTATCATGCGAACTTGATACTGGTGTCTAGCACAACGAGGTCACCTTCAGCCTCACTCCAAAGCAAAGGCTTGGCAACTAAGTACACAACTGTAAAATGGCCTATTGAGTGTCCTAAAACCAAAAAAAAGGAAACAAAACTACCAATCACAACAAAGGAAAATATCACGAGCAGTCAATGAGACTCAAAGTAGCGCAAACAGGTTGAAGCGCGGGAAAACGCGGTTGACCATAACTTGCGATTGGTTCTAGTTTTGAATCTGATTGGTTGAGAAAGTGGAGCGAGATTTCTGCGCAAATCACACAGCGAAGTAAAGCAAAACCAAAGCAATTGAAAATTTCTCTTAGAGTTAACGTTCTAAAAAACCAAAAGGTACTCTCTCGCATTAATATTAACTAAGATAGCTACATCTGAGAGGCAAAAATCCAAAAAGCATGTACACCGCAAATTCTCTGCCATGAGAACGTAAGGAACAAGCCTTCTTCGTTACATTCACGCACAAGTTAGAGAACACACAATTCAGTATGTTATCTCTCAGCACCGTTTGAACAGCACATTTGTAGAGCTTACTTTCCACGCAACAATTTTTGCTAGTAGAGAGAGTTGCTCCAATAGCAACAGCTTCGTGTAACTAGCGATACACTTTCCGAACTGTTATTCCACATCTCTCTACCGTACTCTTGGCTGTAGATTCTGTCCTCCTAGCTTGCAGAAATCTCTGGTGAAGGGAATGCAGTTCAAGTACTCACAGCCATTGCAACCGGAATCCTGATTGATGTAAAACACCAAAAATCCTACCACGAACAACGTAATGACCAATACTAAACTCACGATTATCTGGATCCGCTTTCGCCTTCGGTCAAACTGGCCGAACGACACATACGGAAGGAAGATAAAAGCCAGCAGAAGCCCAAACAAGAAACCAATCATGTGGGCGAAGTTGTCGACGTAAGGCAGTAGGCCTATTATTAAGAGAAGCAAAACTAGTCCACACAGTTTAAAGAGAGCTGTGAAAGGCCGCGCTATGATCTGCCAGCTCTGTAAAAGCTCAACAAACAGACAGGCGATGATTCCAAAGATGGAGCCTGATGGGCCAACCTGCAGATGAAATAAAAAATAATTTGAAGAATAACTGGATATGAACATGAACAGAAAAAGAAACTTGCAGGGAAAGATGAATAAAGAGGTCAGCGGAATGATTAAAACGCAGACAGATTGGTAGACGGACTACGGAAAAAAGGAAGGACGGAATGGTTTCACTCGTATTTATTTCTTTTAAGTACTGGGGAAATACTATTAGGAAACAACACAGACAGATAATCAAACGGACAATAGGCAGACAGGTAACTCTTAACAGTGACTGTAAATATTCGCGAGTGTTAACGCTGCGTTTCATTTTCCAGCTCGTTCGCTAGACCCGTCTGATCGAGTAAGAGCCTGGAGCGGTTTACAATTGAAATTGAGAAAAAAGTTACCCGTAAAGTGCTGATAAAATTCATAACAACAACAAAAGTCAATTACCTCAGCTTGATATGGTAAAAGAATTGCACTGTACAAATATCCACCTATACCGCTAAAGATATAAATGATTGACAAGCGGAGCCAGCCTGCCATTTTTTCCATATCGCGCATTATAGTGATGTGAAAGACTAGGGTGCACGCAAGATGGATCAACCTGCAACAAATGATCGAGTTCATTGCGATTATTAATAAATTAATTTGCAGAAATTACGGAGCTTAAGGTTACTGTTAACAATATCTGGTCAAAATTTTCTCTTTGGTTAGAGGAAGCAGTTATGTCTAATTAGCCAGAAAAAGAAAATAATAAATTAATTTAAAAAACTTAAAAAACAAGAGCGAGATACGGCTGAAAAAATGTTTTATGGGAACTTGCACTGAAGAGTACCGGCCTCCAACAGAGTGATGACGTTTAACGCGGGCTTTCGTCGCATTTTGTTAACATCGCGTCTTGCATTGCACAACAAAAGGGAATTTCTCGCACATTTCGCAAAACGCCGAGAAATAAGAGTCTTCACGCAAGATGGATCACTCTTCCTCCGATGGATCACCCCACGCGAATTTCAAAGGAGTTCTTCGTCATGAGACTTGCCAGGGAGCTTCGATATAGCGTTTCATAATTGATGGGCGGCAAAACCGGATTGACACGCACTTAAACGAGGTGCGAAACCTGTGATTATCTTTAGAGGACAAAAACTCGAGGTTTGGGGGGGGGGTAGAGTAATGTGGCAAATAAGGGTGGGGGGCTGAAGATGGATGAGAAATGTAGCTAGTGGCTACGAGATGGCTTCGATGATCAATCAGAATGACTCACTATACGTCTCACGGAAATTTACAATCCAGAAGATTCTACACCCAGTTGTATAAATGGGTACCAGTGAACTGTCAGAGAAGGCTGATGGAATGCCGAGGAAGGGGGGGGGGAGGGGGGAGGGGGGGAGGGAGGAGGAGAAAGTAAACCGGAATGTAATGGCAACCCATTAGTTATACTCCGAGTCGTTGCATGCTAAGCTCCGGCTAGTGCTTCAGTAGAGGCAGGGTTACCAGTGAGAGAAGACGTTCCCACTATAGAGGCGCTCGATAAGAGAGGTTTCATAAGATAATAACAGAGAACCGTTACATTTAATGTGATTAGCTTACCCTGCATGAGCAAATATTGCCATCCATAGGCGATACACTTGGTCAGGTGTTTCCTTCCGATGGAAATTCAACATTCCACAAGTGTCCCTCAAACAGTCCACCTGGGAAAAAAAAACTTGTTATGATAAAGTGCAAGGACAAATGTCTACAACTTTTAACACATTAGGAGTTCAGTTGCCCGGAAAACTGCGAATAATAATAGTTTACAGAGCTCGTGGATCTCACTTTCTCATTTTGAATCTTGTCTCAATAATACACCTACACTGCTTTGGTTTTGTTTCACCACGCTCTGTAACGAATAGCAGGTTCAGTTGCAAAACTTAATTCCTTGGAAAATTTTTAACTCATGATCTCTCGCACTTCAGGCCGATGAATTGAAATCACTTCGAGTTCTAATTAGGATATTTCTTTCAGACTGGCCGTTGTCGATACTTTTACTCTGATGCTAGAGTCATCCATCGAAAGCGCTCCACAGGATCGATTTTCGTGCCTACGTCTATGCTGAATGGGCTTTAGGTTCGCGTCAAGTAACACGAAAATTCAGTTCTGTAAAAACTCGGACAATATACTCTTGAGTAACGAGGCCTATTCCTCCATACGTTTGTGTTTACCAGATTCTTTTTCAAGCACGCCTTTACCATCAGTTACCTGGGAACAAAGCGTAAGATTCTCGTGAAATCTGCCCCGGAAAAAGTCACACTCGTCCCGGCTGACAATTCGACAGATGGCTTCGTTGCCCATACAACAAGGGCGACCATGGATTTCACACGTCATATGTGGGTATTCGCCGGGTGACAGATTAGACTTTTCTTTCTTACAAACCTGTTGTAGAATAAATAGTCGCTTTATGGAAGACTGTTGGTTTAACACTAAAACTAAAAGAAAGAAACCGGCTCACGAGCCAGATGGAACATCATGCCCAGGCGCACCCCAGGTTGAGATGCAAGTCTGCCTCAGGTAACCCACCTTTCCCCTCCGCCGTTTAAAAAACGAGGGGACAAAACTTGTAAGGGACAAAATTTGCTTGTGTGGATGACTTGGCAAGGACTCTTACAAGGGAAGTTGAGGAAGGTTTAAGAAAAATTAAAATTCCAACAAGTTTTTCTTTGCTAAGGTCAAAAGTGAGCAATTTAGTCCTTGAAATTACATTTTCCAAGCAAAACTTGAAAATTTGTAACATTTTAAAATTTGCAGCCATGAAAATTTCTAGTTGAAATACACAAGTTAATACATAGGGCCAGTACTTACGGGCCAATTGGTGATATCTTTATCCCATTCATCAGGAACAACGGACGGAGGATCTAGACACGTGCTGTAAAACAATAACAAGCCAAACAATTAACAGAAAACTCTTTATCGACACTTGGCCCTATCGACATGTTCTCATTTACTTGGAGACAACCCTTCCTCTGAACTTTACGGAGTGTTCATAATGAGTTGTGAGTTCTAACAGCTGTCCCCCCCTCACCAGTCTCTCCGCTGACCTGAAACAGACTGGCTCCGAGTAGGCTCGTGTGGGCGAGCCAAAGTGTTTAAATGAGAAAAAAGTTGTCCCGCCTGACAAGGTTACCCTAACTGCCAAGGCGAGACAACTGGGCTGGGCCCTTATTCCCGCAGTAGTTACACGTACAAAATAATTTTAGGCTTCAGATACTCACTCCGGGTCTTGTCCACAAACAACTCTTGTATTGTTATTGGATTTGGAATACTTGTAAAAATAGGCAAAGGTTCTCTGAGGGAAAAAGTCAAACGAAAGAGAAATATTTAAGAGGAGCGAAAGAGACCATTACACATGCACTACAAGAGTTCCAGAATCCACCTCTGAAGGAGGAGCGTAAATGGATGCTGGCAAACTTAAATGGGAACCTAACAAAAGGCTTTCAGGGAATGTGTGATAGATTGCCATCCAATTCAGGGATGGTGGCAGTTTGAAAAATAAATTTCATGTTGCTGTTTGTTTGTTCAGTAATACATCACAAATGACATCAAAATGTGGTGTGTACATAAACATGGCACACAACACACAGCAGTGAGTATCACTGATGTTCTCACCACATTTTGACATCTCCCGTGATTTATTACTGTACAGAAACACAGCAACATGGAATCTATTTCTTTTATATCATAGAAGAGCAAAATGTTGCTAATAGTAACATCATCATAGATCACAAGTAAGAACCAATCTAAATGTATGAACAATTCAGCTTTTCACATAAAGTGCTAATTAATTCATACTACAGAAACAAGAGAAGCTCCAGTAGCTATGTTTGCAAGTTGGTCTTTCATGCAGACTTTAACCCCTTTACTACCATGGGTGACCAAGACAGAATTTCTCCCTAAAATATCAATAAAATATCAACCAGATAAGTGATGAGAACAAAAAAAATATCAATTTGGGGATAATTAGTTGATTCAATACTAAATTCTCTGAACTAACATTATAAGAATTGTATGGTTGATGGTAGGGAGAACTACAAATTTGATCTAGGAGTTGAAGGGTTAAGGGAGACATAACTTACCGAACACTCTTTCTGCGATGTTGTTATACAACCAGAATCATCAGATTTCACACAACAACCGGCCTCACTCTCATTTCTTTTCTCCTCTGACAACTTTTCTTGCAGCCTCTTATCCCATCGCATACATGGCGCAAACTTTGCTCCCATTTTGATCAAACCTGCCTGTTAAACAACATTTAATGACAACTATTTACAAGGCAAAATCTTTGCAGTACTGTATAAAATATAATAAATGAAGACATTCATGAAGACTTTACTGATTAATAGTGTGAATTTTTTTGCACTAGTTTATTTTGATCTATCTTAGCATCCAAAGAAACAATAAAGAGGATGAAAATGTAGAAAGAAAAAAAGGATAATGGAATGACATAACTAAACACCAAGCCTTAAGTAGACTGTATAGTACAAAGTATTGTAAATAAATTATCTTCCAATGCCATTTATGAACTTTTTGCATGTCATATATGAATTTCGTAGTGGGCCTCCTTCACCACCGAGCGTCTGTAGCTCAGTGGAGAGCATCTGAAGGTCTGCTGGGGTTCAATTCCTCATGAGGACTCAGAATCTTTTTTTTTGTCCCATGCTTGTGATAAGATGAAAAACCTCTCTCTATAGTTCTTTACTGAGCTAAAACATAATCATTTTTCACTGCCACAGCTGCAGTTGTTTGGTTGCATCACCTCACCCTTTGACCCTTACAAGTGATTAACATCTACTTTCTCATCACAATATCACCCCAGAAGTCACAAGAATAAGGGAAATGATCACCAACTATTGAGGCTCAAGATTTTTCAACAAATTCTCCTTGTCAGCACCTTCGGAAATGTACAGAGAACAGTATGGAGAATATGTACACTAATGTAAGAGTGTAAAGCTGGAAATGAGGCAAAAGCGAAATTTAAAAAGAAGGGGGAAATGTTCAAAATTTTTTATTTCTACTTGACAAAACTATAAAAAAAATTGAAGCTACCTATAGAAGGATGAGATCTCATAATGACTCAGATAATATTTATACCTGATCAGGACCAATCCAGAAGTTGTCAGGAATAATTCTTGCCACATATTCTGGTACAAGCGTTCCCATCTGACTTCTGTCGATCTGTGATAAATATTCAACGTCTTACCAATTACACAGGCACTGAAGGAGGATGATTTTTAAAATAATACATGATTCATTACTCTGTTCTGAGTGCATTTGGGAACATATTGGGGGTATTGCGCCAGTTCTAGCAGAAAATATTGCTCATTACCATCTGTTATTCCTGCATACCATATTTAGTGGTTCAAACTTTTTTCAGGTTGTGGAAGTTTTGAGACCAGTTTGATATTTAATTTTCCTTTTTCTCACAATCCTTACCAAACTAAGCATGAAGACAACTAAACAAGTGAAAACCAAGAGAAATTTATCACCACAAAATATTCATCTATCAAAACTGTTCCATGAAAAAACACATTTTTAAACAAACTGACCAGTCTTTTTTCTTCTGTCTCTGTAAATCCAATGGGAGCAAATCCATAAACTGATAACCCAACAATAAGTACAATCACTTGTACAAATGAGATCCAATAGGTGAAATAAGGCCTGGAGGAGATAAAATTACAATGTATGGTTGAAATGCCAGCTGAGGTTATAGATATGCTGTCTAGAGCACTGAGAAGGAGCCTTCACTAAGCCTGCTTCTACCTAAAGCAATGATATTATCTTTATTTAAACACAAATCAGCTGGCTAAAGTGCATTCTCATCTGGGTGTATGATAGCTCTTACCCACAATGATTTCACTTACTGAAAATTTGTCTACAAGCCTAATTTGCACTAAAACTTTCATGAATCTGTGCCTCTTTCTTGTTGTTTTATGAGAGCCTATTTTGAGCAGTGTTAGGAATGGTGTGGGGCAGTCGATCTTGTTTAAGAAAATTTGGTTCATGAGCTATTTGAAGTCAAAATCTTCCAATATTCAGATTCCTCTAAACTTAAAATGAAAAATAAATACAATCAACCATAGTTAAATGCTACTAAGGATCACCAGCTTTTGGGGAGTGGGGATGGGGGTTGGGTAATTCTGGACAGCACACTAATTATTACACACCAAGCACAGTCAGCAGAATTAAATTTGGAAGCTGAACAAAAAAGACCAGAGAAGTTTCAAATTTGTGTTGTAAGCATGGTGTGTACAAAGGCAATGAAGATTACTGAGATACAAATAACTTTAAACAGTAGTAACCTGCTGGGAAAACTTTTTTCAACCAGTTACCATTTCAATTCTGTCACGAATTTGTTCCTATAAATGCAACATTTCCTACCTGTGATCTGACAGGTTTTCAATCTGCTTTTTAACAGTGCTTGTCAAACGTTTACGCTTTATTGTTCTGTTTAACCATCTACCAACCATTCCCTTCCCATATTGACGACGGTTAGCATTTATAGCACGGGGTCGCTGTGAAATCCTTTGTCCTCGAGTGCTGCGAACTGGTGGCCTTTGGAGAACAAAAGTCAATCTTAAGAATTGAGCCACAATTGAACTGAAAGCTCATAGGCATTTATTTTGTAATCATTGACCTCAAAAAACTCACTTAGGAGGCCCTTCAACTTCATCTTTAGCTTCTTTTGCTGGAACAGCAGGCCTCTCTTCCTCTTGAATTTCTGGTAAAAATCCTGGTCTTTCAACTCTTTGTCTTGGCCTCTCCGACGAAAAGTCAAAGAACACTTCGTCATCAATGGAGGGGCGATCAAATCTCTAGGATTAATTATGCAAACTATTAATTCTAATAATGGCATTTGTTATAAAAACCCTTGGTCATCATGTACGTGCAACAAACATAAACCTTTAATTCCCAGAGTTGATGAACATGTAACTTCTCCTAACAATATTATTAGACTGAATGCTATTCAGCAAATGCAATGAGAATGGCAAAATGATTCAGACTGTTATACTGATATTTCTCTTCCCAACATCCATACAATACCAAGTAGACAAGTGACAAGAAAAAAGAGAAATACCAATTAGGGATTTACTGATTCACAACAAATTTCTCCAGACTGACACGATAAGAATTGTATGGCAGACAGTAAGGAGAACTACTATTGAGGTCTGAGAGTTGAAGAGTTGATGTAAAAGGTTAATGTGGACTACAGTCTGGGGCAGCACTCGTTCAAGGTAAGAAAATGTAAATAAATAACAAAGAAAAATAAAGAACACTACTCTATCACTTAATGAAAATGAAAAGTGTATTGTATATGATATGGGATAGGGCTGTGCAAAGTTTCAGGAGAAAGGCGATGAGTGGTATATCTGGTTTTAGTAAGTCTAAATCAAGCCCTAATAATCCTTGGTCCTAAGTCAACCCTCTTTCTGAAAACTCTAGGAATCAAAAAGTCCCTCTGGGGTTAGAGGCTCATTAAAATATCTTACAGTATGGTCTAGCTCACCAGGGCTCAGTGGAAGAGTATTTGAGTGCCAAATCTGAAGGCATGCGGCCCAATTTTTCATAGGGACTCAGAATTCACACTTGTGATGTGACAAAAAAATCTCACTTTATCTTACAGTATCCTAAAGGGATACCCCATCCTCTGGGGATTATTACATATTCATCAAGTTATCTTCTTTTGGAACCGAGCAACGTATAAAATTTTCTTCAGAGAGTATAGACTCACAGTAACAGGAACTGCACTGTCAACTTCATCCATTTCTGACTGCGACATGACAGCTGGTGAGAAGCTCCGCCCAGCCTCAAGCAATGTGCTGACTGGTTGAGATTTTCGTCTGGGGGATTTAAAGCTCTGCAAAGAATAAATAAATCCTACATCAATAATCTTTAGCTGATGGAATGGGGAGAAATCCAGTCCAAAGAACTAAAAACTGCTTAAGTGTTATTCAACAAACTGACATGCTCAAATGACAATTAGCCAATGCACTTCTGTCATGTTGGCCTACAAAAATACACAGCGATAAAACAGTCAGTTGCTCACTGCATAGTCAGCTTTGTGTTGGCCAAACTTATCATTGGCTGAGGCGATACTTGGATCTCATTAGTTATCACTCCATTCCTAAAAGCACAAACCAAGACTACACAGCTTCAAGTTTGGTTTTAAGGAGGATTGATTCAAGAATACACCATTGTTTAACTCTTTAACTCCCATAAGTGACCAAGACACAATTTCTCTTTACAATATCAATGCAATACCAAGCAAACAAGTAATGAGAATAAAGACAAATATTAGTTAGGGGATTGTTAGTTGATCCTATTCCTAATTCTCCAAACTAACATCACAAGAACTGTATGGTAGACAGTAAGGAGAATTGCTGATGAGATCTTGGGAGTTAAATGGTTAGGAAAAATTTTGGAATGGATTCTCCTATGAATTTGAAGATATCACACTAGATAACAGCAAGGTGAATGACCCATGCAATATTATTTTTTTAGAGCCAAAATGTCTTCAACTTCAGTTAATAAACCAACCCTTGGTCTTAAAACTCTCTCTAATGTTGTTATACTTCTCAGTTCTATTCCTTCCAATCATAAGCTGTTAGCATATCATACATTTACTAACACCTTGCTATATATACAATAACAACTGCACTTAACTTAATTGTTGTTCACTCATTTGTTTTGATCTAATTGACAAATTGCCATTCTTTCTGTTTTCATATGGATTTGTTTTACATTTTTTTCAAGTACAGTATATCTAATGATGACTTCTGCTCAGATTGTCAAAATGTCAGTCACCACTATTGACAACATTCCTCCTGAGGACTACACTTACACCCATAATAAAAATACACACTAAAATATTAGCCCTGGGTTCAAACCATAGACGGTGGTATATCTTAACATAATTTGAATAGAATTTCTTTACTTGAAAGAATGCCTACATGTTAACAGAAAGTTGTGTCATGTTGTAAATTTTTAGCGTTTAAATATCCTTGAATAAGCTCATAGATGCACAATGGATCAAAAGTGTTTTTCAAGTCATATCTGATATACATCATGTTTGCATCAACAACATTGTTATTTTACCTAGAAAAGATGTTGAAATGATAAGGAGTATTTGCACTCCTTTTTATTCTTATACTCTGCTCTAATCATCTAATCTAATCTATTTATCAAATGTTCGAAAGTTCACAATGAAACCAAAGCAAAGAAGCATTAAAAAAAAAGAAGTTTACCCCAGTATCCTCTTTCATTTTCTTCATCCTCTTCCACGCCATTGTTGCCACTGACTCACGTCGACTCAATGTTCGCACAAGATCAGGATCAGGTTGAAGTGCACTCTGATAGCTACTGATGCTTCCTGTACCACTGGGCACTTTGAGTGACCGACGAGGAACAGCATCCACAGCATCCCCTGATTCCTCATTAAGAGCACCATACCGTTTATGGTAGTGCCGCATTTTTCTCTGAGTCCACTTCCTTCGTAGTTGGTCATGTTGTTCGTCACAATCTCCCAAGCCAAAAAAGTCCTCAGTACCTTTAATGATTTTTCTGTGGAAGGTAATTAAGATAAACCAAATGTAATTTTTTCCATCACTGTAAATGGAATGGTAAAGGTGATAACAAGGTAATTAATGAATCAAGTTACAGGTCTATATTTTTGAGCAAGGGCTCTTTTTATGAAGTCCAGGTAACTAAACAGGCCCATAAAGCTGATCTGTTTTCATTCAAGATGATGGTTTTAAAAGTATTGAAAGTTGCACAATAAACCTATTAGCTAAAGAAGCAGAATAGAATGGTTAGGTTGCCACAACCTGCTTCTTTACTCTTTGTATCTTTATTTCAAAATATGGCTTTGGGCCTGTTTAGTTACGTGGACTTTTGAGAAATGGACCTCAGGACTAACAGGTGAAGGGGAGGAGGGGTACTAGGGTACACTGCATTATTTGGCTCAAGAGGTATGGGCTGAACATCTTGAAATAGCCTGGACAGGTATGGTTTTCAAGGTCTTGAATCCTAACCTGGGTATGTCAATCAACCTACCCAGTTTCTTGAACAGGGTGTCTCTCCAGACCAATAAACTTGAACAGGAAGTGAATCTTGGTCATTCATGGTCTTTATATTATATACATATACTATACCAACAATTTCTTTAATTTTATATTTAAATATTTTGTATAATTAAGCAGAAAGTGACTCCCATTATTTCACTATGCAACAATATATAAAAATATTTTTCCTTGAACAGGATAGGAAAATTATAGCTTATGTCTTAAACAGAGTCACACAGGGTACATCCAGTCCAAACTTTCATTTTCTGTACCCTAACTCCTCTTCTTTACCATGCTTTAGTACAGGGGGTAACCAGGGAGGGGAAGAGAGGGAGGGTCCTGATCCTGTTTTATGCTTGTCACGTATACCAAGAACAGCATTTTACATGTTATGAATATGAAAGAGAAAACTGACTTCAAATCTATCTTCTTGTGCACCAAGTCTAAGAGAAATCTTAACGTTTTCATGAGAGGACAGAATAAATTAAGCGGTCACATATAATTCAGGACACAAATCACGCCTTGCACTGGTTCATAAATTCCTGAAACTTGCTTGCCATTCTGTAAAATTCTCTCATCATGTATTATTTTTGGCCTGAATCATGAGTCACGTATGAAAACCTTCTTACGTTTTCTAGCAAAGAAAACTAGACACAAGCCTCAATACAAAGCACTCTGGAGTGTTAATATTTCCCAAGAACACAACACAAGGCCAGAAAATAAATGTTTCAATTTAGAAATCAGCAAGTTAGGCTGTGGAAAATCAGCCAAGTTCATACGCAACACCTGCCAAGCTCAACAGATATTCCTGCTAGCTGAGCATGTCAATATTTACTGCTAATGACTTCCACTGTTAATTTGCATTATATCAATTTTACAATCAATTTCATTGAATAAAGCATTTTATATTATGAGGGAAATGATGTAATTAACTAATACAGCAGAAATAAACAGAGAAGAATGAAAGGAACATCATAAGAAAGTTCTCAGATGCTGCAAAATAACTCTAAAGCCTTAACACATACTCCAAAGAAGATCAACATCTCATCATCACTTTATGCATAGCTGAACATGTTATACAAATAGTAGACTGTAATCGTAGAACAATTACTGCAGCAATTAGCCCGAGTTCACGGAAAAATGTCATTTGATAATTAGCTACTATTTAGCACCCCCTGAGACCCGATGAAGAATGCTCTTATCACGTACTCTCCTCGCATAATAAAAAAAAAAAACAAAACACTAGGAGCAGTTCAAAAAAACCTTTTACTGATTGAAATCTGAACCTCAAATCTTTGCTAAAAGCAAAATCCTACCTCTTTCCCCGCTTGAGAGTGTTAGATATACTCGCTATACTTGGCCTGGCTGACATTCTAGGAATGCTTATACTATCTAAACTGGGTCTTGCAGACGCTGGCTCTTGGAAATACTGAATAAATTCTGGATAACATTCTTCTTTATCCAAATCATTGAAGTTTACGTGCTGTTGGGTGTAAAAGACACCCGAACTAATCGAACCACGAGAGCCGCCAGAGGAAGCCATTTTACCAAGTAAATACACTGACTTGGAGCTTATAAATTTCGCTGTGTTCAATATTCCCACAGATATTAGTTTTCTCGAGCTTAAATCAATGTATGCGTTGATATTGGATGGCAAAAGTATACACAGGCCGAAAACATGACAGCGCGAACAAAAACAAAGATGATGACAAAATTACATTGAAAATAATAGTTTAAGTTATAAACAAATCTAACATCTTGTTCGTTAATGTGAATACATCTTGTTCGTTAATGTGAATACATCTTGTTCGTTAATGTGAATACATCTTGTTCGTTAATGTGAATACAACTTTTCGTTTGATCAATAATAGCAATGTTTTCGGCACAAAATCATGTAACCGGAAATGAGAAAGAGCCTAAATATAAGAACAGTGTTCCATATATGTTAATGCATGCTATATCTCAGTTCCTCGAACAATACGAAGAACATTCAGCAGATACAAATAAAAATATCAGCAGTGAATTTCATACGCACTTTTTGAGTGTCTTTACCCGGGTCAGCTTGCTAGGATTCGTCTCACTCTCTGCTACAGCCGGGAGGAAAAGTTCGGATTCCGCTGGACTTGGTAATGCACTGCCGTCTTCCGTTTTGCTAGTCTGTCTGGTAACACATCGAGTCAACAGCCTTCAAATTCAAACAAGCAACAGCATAAGGTTTATCATCCATAATTTGCCAAGAACAGGTTTTACTTCCTGTTAACTAAAATTATTAAAATAGATTCAATCGCTGCTTTCAACATCTCTTAATTCAATTTGTACTTTGGATGGGCCATAAGCGTCCAAGGTGACGCTCTTCAACAAAGCACAATATTTATTTCTGGTAAGCTAATATGTGTTTGATGGAGATCAAAACAAGTTAAGACGTGAATTTCAAACCCGGTTAATGGTAACAGCCTGAAATAATTACCCCTGATTTCCTCGATCGTGTTTCGTTCCTTCGCTATCGCCCTTGTTCTCTCCTTCGTATTCCGGACCACGCTCAAGGTCCGAATGCCTTCGACTGTAAAACGGGTTACAAAACGCTGTTCTTTCATTCTCCTCGCTATCTTGCCTCTGAATCGTTGTAGGTTGGTAGGCACCTGCCATGGCTGGCTTTGCAGCCCAAACGAATCAAGACAAAGATGTAGTTTTATCGATTTTTCTGTCGTTCGAAGCAAGAAAAATGCTTACTTTTCAGCAGTTACAACTTTGAGAGGTCTGGTTCCGAATAAACCTGCCTATCCGCGCCTGCAAATATCACAATACAAAAGGGAGTGGCAGCTAGGGGGAACACCCCTGATCGACGAAATAATCTGTGACATAGGAAAGCAGATTTCAAGATAAATGCTATAGCGACTTTCTTAAAATGCATATAGAATTTCTGCTGAGTAGTGGTCGCAGTTTCTCAAAGGGAAACCTTTTCAGCTCTACTGACGTGTGATCGCTTTCAGATTCCTGTGTCACTCCCAAAATTATTTAATATCATTCCTCTACCAATTTAGGATCTTCTTGCCGGTGATATTGACCTAATTTCAGATTTTCCTCACGAAACTTCGAGGGGAGATTCCAGGAGGAATATGACGAAAAAATCATACAATTTTAATAAAATCAACTAAGACATACTGAAAGTCTGGAAAGAACAATGAAGACTTAATGAAAACATTTGTAGGTATATTTTAGAGTAATCGGTTTAGTGATTAAGAAACAAATATTAATATTTCAATGAATATTCGATTGATTACTGCAAAAACGTTTTTCTCCTGGTATGAGAGGAACAGGTCACATCAGTATAAAAAAGACATGGTTGTCCATCAAATCGTACATCCAACCTGATTGTCACGCGACTCTCGACTCATTCTGGCTATCTGCCCACGGAATACAATCGTGTTAGGATGCTAACAGAAAATGACTGAGTCGCGTGATAAGATAAAATCACGAAAGGCCCTTAGCAGCTCGACTGTCCCTTTACCTCGCAATTGATAATAATAATAAAACTTTATTTAAACACGATAAATATTTAAAGTCAGAGGCTTGTGGGGTCGTGTTACAACAAAATGGTTTTTTCTATATAAATTAATATAACATATCTTTTGTATCTTCGCACCTTCATTGCTGTAACTCACGTCTTATTGATCTACCAAAAGACTTCAAAACGCCACAGCAAGAGTGATTTTTCAGATTACGAAATTTCACTACGTCACACCGGCTCTCGTCTACCTACTGTGGCTCTCTGCATCACTGAATGCTAACCTCTTTAAATAAAGACCTGTTCTTACATAAACTGAACGCTATGCTTGGTCGATTCTTACTAATTGAGAGCACACTAAAGAAGGGTTTTTGGACCATGTCCTGTTTAGAGCTGTACCCTCGTGCGTATGAATTATCTTCAGTTGAATGCAGTATCTGTAGTTACTCTTCGAACATTTTGAAATTCTCAGTGGTAATGGGGCTTAAGGATACACGCAAAGGAAGAGAACACCTACAGTTTCCTACGCAGATCATTTTGTAGCCAGCCATTAAAATAAAACCTTAGCCGGAAAAGGTTAAGATTTACTTCAGATCAAGACGAGTATTTAACTTCTTTGTCTAGATACCATAAAATAGCCGGCGAAAACGTTAGCTGCACTCCTACTTGTACACTTCCTCTATTAAAGTCTTCTCAGGCTCACTGGTGGGAAATTCTCTATTAAATTAAAGGAAGCTCGTTGGAAGGGAGAAAATCAAGTTAATGCGATCTCCACAGGGTCAAAATGGAATGAGGTGGGTTAAAAGACATGAGAAGACTGCTTCATGTTTCCATCGCACTTTATTTCAGTCTTTCTTACTAAGTTTGACTATTGTTTCATGGCTTGATCCTTGGCAACAGCTCTCTGTCCTGTGTGATTCTTTGCCAGGAAGTCTGTGAATTCCTGGTATGGTGCCTTGGTAAACACAGTGTCCTTCCACATGTCTGGGGTCAGGTAACAGAAGGTCTTGGAGATGGCGGCAAATGTAGCCTTGGCTGAAAAGGGAGAAAATCATGTTGCTTAAACACATTCCTGCACCCTTTAATCTGTACTGGTTAAAATAGTTGAGTAGAACTTCTCTAGTGTTGTAAACGTTACAATGCCTTGTTAGGTTAGTACTATCTGGAAAATTTTCCACTCAAGAGGACTTTAGGATCATCATTTTCCTTAAAACTAAGCATCTTGATTTGGACAAAACCATGCCTTGTTAGGTTAGTACTATCTGGAAAATTTTCCACTCAAGAGGACTTTAGGATCATCATTTTCCTTAAAACTAAGCATCTTGATTTGGACAAAACCATGAAACTAGAAATTTAACAGCCCTATCTGTCCCAATGATGATACTATTAATTTTTGTTTCGGCCCAGGCATCACATCTAACTCAGAGAATGACTGACACAAATTAACCACAAGAATGCTTCTTAAACAGACATTTCATATACAGCTTTTGCTTAAATTCAAAATCAAATACCAAAATTTCCCAAAGTGGCAGTCTGTCCTCGTGCTGAGGTATAACAATCCTCGATACCAGCCATCTGAAGCAGTTTCTTGGGGACAGGAGCAGACACAATACCAGTTCCCCTTGGTGCCGGAATAAGACGTACTCGTACTGAACCACATTTTCCTGTCACCTTTAATGAAAATGTCGATGAATATTAAACCAATGTTTGAAACAAGTACGGAGAGTAATTTCCAATATTGCATTGGTTTTTCTTTACTTTGCTCTATGCCTTGTCTAAAAGTTTGTATCATCCTTCCAAACAACTGAATGCAAAACTACAACCAATAATAATTTCATGTAGTTTGCTTGTGTTTATTTCAAGTTCTGATTGGCCATTGGCCATGGTGTTTTATCACTGTTTGGTTGTATAATCCTTTGTTGAAATGCACTCTGAATAGAACTTCCTCTAAGTGAAATCATCCATCCAGCTACATGTAGTTGAAGCAAATGGCAGCTGGGTTAAGATGCTGGATGTTTTTCAGGAAGTGACCTAATGCCCCCAGCAAATATTCTGTTAACTAAATGGACCTGAAAGCCATACATATATTTTAGGATGTATATCTACAGAAAAGGAAGGGTCTTTACTCTTAACATGGTCTATTATGTTTTGTTTCCAGATATTTTCTACAGTTTGAATTTTGATCTATTTAACTCTCAATCTTGAATGTAAACATAGTAGACAAAAGACAACTTTGATGGAGGAGGAACAGCCAGGAATTTGAAGAAACAGGCCACAGTTATCTTTAAAATTGGATTGTAGGAGCTGAGAATTTAAACAAGCAATGGCACAGTTTTCTTTGTTTGGTATCAAGTCACAAACTATGGTTTTCGAGAGCAGTTTGAAATGTAGAAAAGAAACACAAACCTTGCAAGGTACAGTATGAGGCTGACCGATCTTGTTACCCCAGTAGCCACGACGTACAGGAATGACAGATAGCTTGGCAAGAATAATTGCACCACGAATAGCTGTGGCTACCTCCTTTGAGCACTTTACACCAAGACCAACATGTCCACTGCTGTCACCAATGGCAACAAAAGCCTTGAAACGTGTACGCTGACCAGCTCTTGTCTGTTTTTGTACTGGCATGATTTTCAGAACCTCGTCTTTCAGGTGAGAACCAAGAAAGAAATCAATAATCTCATGTTCCTGAAAAATTAAGAGGGTAAATTTAAAACCAAGTAGAGGGTTTCTGTAAGAAAACGTACTTAATCAATCAGGTCTTCCAGGGAGGTTGTTGTGTTACAAGGTGACAAATTATTACAATAGGTACAGATGTTGCAAAATTGGCAAATCTTACTTTTTTAAGTCTGCTCAAAAGCTGACATTTAATATCTATGGACTTCAAAACAAAATCAAAATTGGTGTAACAATAGGTGGTGCTATTTGTATCAGAGTCTCGTACATTTCTGCAGAAATTTAACCATACTCCAGCCAGTAATTTGTTAATTACAAAGTCTCACATACCTAAATTTCATTGCGTTATTACAATTCAAATGGCTTTGTCATTCACAAACATGCAATAAGAGAACAGATCCATTCAGATGTATTTCTCATTACCTTAATTGGAAGAGAGAAGAGATAGATCTGCTCTAAAGTTTTGATCTTCATGTCTTTGACCAAGCGGCCTAGCTTGGTTACAGGCACCCACTGAAAAAGAAGAGATGCAACATTTTTAAAGATACAACTTTAGTTTCATCATGATAACTTCAACTGCGAGTACTATGACTCTAATTGACTGTTCAACAAAAGGTGGTAAGTCCTTGAATGCCTTAAGATAAATTTTGTAGAGATTCTGGTCTGTAAAACAAACCTTACCAAAAATTCCAAATGTCTTAATTGCCAAGAGATTTAATTCTATCAAAAAAGGCTTTGCATCTTGCTAGCACATAATGAGATATGTAAATGGTAAATCTCAGGAGAACATTACAATTATCCAAGATTACTGTAGGTTGCTTTAACCCTTTAACTCCCATGAGTGACCAAGACAGAATTTCCCCTTACAATATCAATAAAATATCAAGCAGACAAGTGATGAGAATAAAGAAAAATTACAATTAGGGGATTATTAGTTGATCCGATACCAAATTCTCTAAACTTACATCTTAAGAATTGTATGGCAGACAGTAAGGAGAATCATTTAGAGATCTAGGGAGTTAAAGTACTCTGATATATACTGAGAAAGCTGAAAATCTACAACTAATTGTGACTTGGCCTGTATTACAGATGTAATCCTCTTTACTCACTTAGAGTTCTCACTATCTCCTTGAATTACTAAGCTTTTTTACTGATTTAAGCAGTTGTGATTGGTTTGGCTGGTTTGCTTACACTCATTTGAAAGGCTCTATACTGCCTATTGTCCATTCTGGTTTGATCAAAACTGTGACAAACTTCTCAAACATGATTGGTAACCATCAGCTTGATTTGAGCACTAATAGGACAGAATAATGTCACGCTTGTTATAAGATGTCATAAGACATGGTACTATACCCATGGCACGTGTCATGTGTTCACACTGTTGCTGTGCATTTGGCTGAGTTAACTGTTTTTTTTCATAATCAATTTCATAAAAACATAACCAATGGCTAATTTGTTACTAAAACTTTGTCACAGTTCTGATTAATTTGTAACAAGACTTCAAGTTGTCCAATCGGTGTGCTATCATATCTTGACACTCCTATGATTGTAAAATGAATTGGATTCCACTCGGTCCTGTTACCATTACAAACTCAGTTCAAGGAGGGCATTAGGAGAGCAAAGGGGACTGAGAAGGGATTTTAATTTGATGAGACAGTAACAAATTTTCCTTACCTCCTTATCTTCGGCTTTACCCCTTCCACGACCCCTTCCTCGGCCACGACCACGGCCTCGTCCGCGACCACGGCCACCGAATCCACCACGAAAACCTCCGCGAGCACCACCGGCTGGTTCTGCATCCGCCATTTGCTACAGAGGAAAAAATCACATGATTTCAACGTAACTTCTCAATCCGAACAATTGAAAACACTATAAAGTTATGCACTGCTATGAGTCGTAGTTTGACCGCTCCAACAACATACTGTTAAATTGTTCAGATGCTTATTGTGTTTCATATTAGTTTAGAAATATTAAATGGTAGAAGAAATTGGTGTGGAAGATGGTTGCAATGCGTATCATTTTTAATGGCTAAATCGTTCTAGGACTGAAAGAAAAACTACTTAAAGGAACTCAAAAGTGATTAAAGATCCTCGATCGAACGGGAAGCCTGTTGATGACGACCACAAAGCCACTGATGGAATAGGATTTTATGACACACTCTCCCTCAGACTTACGTGATGTCTTTGTACGACTAAGAAGGCTGCTTAAGGGCCCTCAAGGCTTTTTATAGTGGACCTATTATGGGATAGGAGACCTGCGGGTTTATTTTAAGCTTGGAGGGGGGAGTGGGGTAGAAAAAGAGGTGTCTGTAAGAGGAAGAACTTGCACAGGAATTTAGATGGCAAGCCTTTTTTGCAAACAGCTTTATTCAAACTTTAAAAGTAAAATTGAATTTTAAAAAATGTCTCAGTTCTAATCTGAAACGTTGTGGGAAACCGAAGAAAATTCTTTTGAATGCCTATGGAAAGGAATTTTGAAATTAGGGGGCCCAGAATTGATCTAAACTCAAAGAAATAATCCATGAAACTCCATACCCATTTTGTCAGTAGAATTTTGACTCACAGACAAGGTACAGGCTTCAATGGGATTCCAACCCAAGCCTCCCAGATCCTCAGTAGTTGAGCCTTACTACCATTTTTTCTTTGGATCTTAACAGCAGTTTCTTGCAACTCACCTGCGAGGTATTTCATCCATGGGTCATAATAGACCATATTTTGTTTTGATTATAAAATGCAGTTTTCATTAATGATCCCTGGGAGAACGGACCAGCAGGAGGTTGAAGTTCCCCTCTCCTTTACAAAGAAAAGAATCTTAACGAGGGAGATATGCCCCTGATTCCAGTGAATTCATTCCACCATCCATACACCTTTGACAGAAGGGATTTTGAAGGAGACAAGTAACGGTCTAGGTCTCTCAAATATGAGACCTTTTTCAATTCAGTCCTAACACGCATCACAGTCCTTTTCATCAGCAAGACAGTTATGAATAAAGGTAATGTACTAATAGGCATCCAGTTCGCAGCTTTCATGCCTTAATGAACAATTTCATTAACCCTTTAACCCCCATGAGTGACCAAGACAGAATTTCTCCTTACAATATCAATACAATATCAAGCAGACAAGTGACAAGAATAAAGAAAAATAACAATAAGATTATTAGTTGATCCAATACCAAATTCTCCAAACTAACATCACAAGAACTGTATAGCAGACAGTAGGGAGAATTACTAATGAGATCTAAGGAGTTAAAGGGTTAAACAATCACTAAACTTATTGAACCAAATGGCTGTAATTTTTTTTTAAAGATACTACTTAGACAGGCAAATCATCCCATTTTGGCTAGATTAGACACCTTCTTGAAGTTGATGAAATTAGCAAAAAAAAGGGGGGGGGAATGCACTAGGTGAAAAACAGATTTGTTTTAGTATCATATGTACATGATTTGTTCCTAAAGAACTTGTGTAGTATAAAGGTTCTCTTCACTAAGATCATAACATCTGGCAGGTTTTTAAACTGAATATGGTGGGCCCTTTTTCCAGTTTTTTTTTTCTAGATAAGAAAAAACCTTGTTGTCACAGGGTTTAAAATTATGAAACTACCAAATCTGGCCAGACAGTTCTGAGTGACAACAAAATTTATTATGTTTCACAAATGTAAATTTCCAGTTTACTACTCTTTTTAAAATAAAAGCTAATTTAAAGCTCTCTTTAATAATTATGTCTCCCTACAAGATTGTTGAGTTCATGTTTCAGTGAAAGAAATAAGAAAGACCTCCTTTGCAGACAAACAGTATCAGAAGAGTTTGCAAAAGAGGCTGCAACAAACATCTCAACCAAAAATTATTGAAGAAACTGGCTACAATTTAATCAGAAGAGTTGTAAAATAAAACTGGATGGATGCATATGCTATGGTACAGACCCAAAGGCTTTTTTGGGTATTTGCACTTGTCTATTTTTGATTGGCCAAACTGCATCTCAGTTTGAACATCTGTGCTATCTGCAACATGTGTAAACCTTCTCTTTCCATAATAGTTCTTGTTCACCATCAGCTTCTTCATGCCTCTCTAATGTTTTAGGGTACTCAAAGACGATCATCTTATATATTAGTCTCAACACTCTTGCCTCAAAATAAATTGTTGCAAAAACTGTTTTGCTCCTTGCCAAGTTCATGTAAACTGGAGGACTTCCAGCTGGAAAAACCTTCTAGATTGGTTAGCCCAGCTGCTATTGCAAAAGCTCAGCTGAGGTAACTTTATACATTGATCGAAAAGCTAAAGACTTTCCCATCATGATCTGATAAACCCATTAAAGTTGTAAATAACCCTTGCTTATTTGTCCAATCCTCTTGGATGTTTGTATTAATGGGCATGGCACTGATGTGTAGCAGTGCAATTTAGTAGCCTACACCTCCAGTGGGTTCTGGATAATTGTGTTCTTGTCCAGAAGGGTAAACCAGCATCTTGAGCTGAAACCATCCGTTTGTTTCTCTTTTTCATCCTAGGTATAAAAATTTCTGATTGTACAAATTGTAAATGGTTTGCATCAGTCCACCTCCTCAGAGGCAATGCTCATTGCAGTTGAAGTTGATGCACCACTATTCCCTTCACCAGGACCCATCAAAGACTGCATTAAGTCACCTGAAGTAAAAACAAGGCACTACCATGACTATGTAAGCATTGGTTAATCAAATCAAACATTGGGAAGCTATGACACCAATTTTAAAGGTAAGTTTCTGTTCTCATTGGGAGCTGTATTGCTGTTGGAGAGTGTAAACTTCAGATTAGAGTAAAATAAGCAATAACGACGAAACACTCACCTAAAATGCCCCCCATCATTCCTTTGTTGGAGGGCTTTGGTGGAAGTCCAAAGAAAAGTTGTCCAATTCTATCTAAATACTGTGCAATAAACAGAGCCATAAATTACTTAAATTCATACTAATATTATGAATGCAGGATTAGATAAACTTTAACTTTATTTAAGTTACTAACCTCTTTATATACTGGATCTCTTTCAATGGAAGGTTGATATTTTTCACATAGCACTGTAAACTGATTTAGAGTTCCTCTCCTACACAACCAGAAAGAAAAACAAGTTTAAATTTTTTAGAGGAAGCAAATTTGTTCATATCTTACAGTTCTCTTTTTTTCTTAACTATATTTCATTCTGAACTTACTTTTATTGAATTTACATTGAAAAAAAGCAAAACCAAAGTTTAACCCTTCCAATCCATGGAGTGGTAGAGAAGTAATTTCCCCTTACCAAATCAATACTCTTTCAAGCAGATTGGTTATAAGAGTGAAGAAAAAAATCAACAAGGGAATGTTACCCATTTTAAGACCAAATTCTCAAAAACAACATAACAGGAAATTTATTGTGGATGGTAAGGAGACTTACTTTTGAGATCTTGGGACTAAATGGGTTCATAGCAAACTGGAAGGGGGGATTATCCAGTAATGAACTGTGAACTTCAAAACCATGGAGCTAAAGTTTAATATCATTTTCTTTCCCATAAAATGAGGAAAGCTCTTCTGAAATCAAACATTAGGATAAATTATCCAGCAATAAACTATGAACTCCAGAATTATGAAATTAAAGGTGTAATTTTTTTTAAAATTTATATTTTCATAAAATGAGAGAAGCTCTTTTAGAATCAAACATTAGTTTGTGCCTGGTTTATCAAAATAATTAAATTTTTTAAAAATTTTTTTTCCTATATATTATACTTACATATGTACTTACACCATACTTACTTCTTACACGATGCTTACACTACATTAACTTGCACTACTTACAATACATAATTAAATGACTAAGAAAACCATTAATATGGTTCAGACATGAAAACTTTTTCAAACTTTAAAGGTATTTAAAAGCAAACCTTTCTATAACTAGAAGCAAAAACCAGACAAAATTCAGAAGAGGCTTTTGGTATGGAGGACCAATCCCTGAAAAATCTGGATGTTGTGCAGTATATTTAAAGAACACTAGATTAGCTGTACAAGGGTTCTGTAAACAAAGAAATCTGGAAAAAATTAAAGAACACAATATAGTGAATAAATAACTAACAGGGACAAATAGCAATGTCAGAACTATTCATTACCCCATAACATGTGATAATAAAAGTCCTCAGGAACTAGAATTTCATCCTACTGCCAATCTTGAATTAAATACAAAAAGTTTTGTCTCATAAAGGAAGGTGGCCATTGGACTCCTTTCTTATTAAAGGTTTGTGAGTTGTTAACAATTATTCACTAAGATGGAGGTGACAAATGGTAGACATTTTCCTTGTCATTTCATAACTCAGTAAAAATCCACCACTTTCACCAACACTGAGGTAAACAATTATTTTAGTATATACCACACAGAAACCAAAAGCAACTAGTTTCTTTCTGTCAATACACCAGAAAAATGGTCAGAAATTATATTGTTGACACACATTTTTTCTCCTTAGGTGCTCAGAGGTACATGTATATAGTACATTCTAATCACTTCCAAACCAGCCGATCAGCGCCTGCCAAAAGCACTATTCATTTGTGTGGTATATAGTAATGGAAGCTATTTCCACCTTTGATTTAAGTGTCTACTGTCTTTGTGATCTTCAGGGTTCATGTATTATCTAAGGTGGTGATAAAATTTGCCACAGGCCTGGTGTTCATAATTATGTATAACACATTCTGTCAAAATGATAACGTGTGAGTACTTCAGTCAGTGGCAACAGCCCTTTCAAAAGCTACCCATCTGTAGGAGATCAGAAGACTGCTCTTTTAAAAAGTATCTTCCATTTTATCAAACACTGAGGGCAATGAAAGTCTACCTTTATCCCTACCCACTAAAATCAAGAAACTTAGGATACATCACAAGGCTCTCAACAAGTTTGAAATTATAGAGCAAACAAAAAAATGGCAGGTGGCTTGGTTGTCTTGGATGCTTTATTGTCTCATCAGATTGCCTGCCAGACTGCTTAGAACTACTCAGATAAAATGTCCCAAGCATTCCACAAAGTTTGCATGAAACTTCAAGAAAATGTGACCCTCCACGGGAAAACGGACACTAAAGCTTTTCCGTTTAAGCTGCAAAACCGTTTACTATCCATTTATATCCGTTTAAACTATCCGTTTATATCCGTTTAAAAAAATTCATCCGTTTAACGTTTAAAAACGTTTAAGGTTTGCTCATCCGTTTAAAAAATTTTGCATCCGTTTAACGCTTTTGCCAAAACGTTTAAGCGGTTTGCTCATCCGTTTAAAAAATTTGCATCCGTTTATGCTTTTTAAAAAACGTTTAAGCATCCTCATCCGTTTAAAAAAAATTTGCATCCGTTTAAAAAAATTCCCGCAAAAACATTTAAAAACATTTAAATGGTTTGCTTACCCGTTTTTAAAAAAAAAGCTACCCGTTTAAAGTTCCATGGAAAGCTTTGGACTGTTTGCCTATCATTCTGTTATAGGCAGTTCGAAGTATCAATCTTACATTCGCTCGATACTCGCCAGTTCTTGAAATACAGAAAGACCGTATCTTATTTTGGTTTTATCTTTTGTGTGATCATAGTAAGCGAGTTTCCGTCGCATCCTTTGACAAACAAGTTAAATCGGCTACTCTCTTTCTGTTTATATCATCTTGATTCATCTTGGTTTTATTGACAATCATTTTAACGGCCCCGCTTGGTGCGTGACACCAATTCGACCTTTTATTTGCAATGGAACTTTATTGCGTTATTTGACCTTGAAACGTCTCGGCTTCAGACAAGGTGGCGGCATTGCATATGCAAATTTGTTTCGCGAAACTTCCGAACAGGAAAAAATGAAGTTCATTTTCAATACTAATAAGAATAAACAAACGAGAAGATTATGAGTTTCTCGCGGAAGCCGTTCAGGATATTCGGCAGTGAAACTATTCTCAGTAAATTGCGCTTATTTAATGAACGTCACATGAAAGCAGAAGTAATTAACCCAGACATAAAATGCGCAAGTATATGCTAGTTATTACTTTTCAAATTATCATGCTCAATATTTTCTCTTTAAAGGATAATTATCCGTTGTCACTATGAAAGCTTTTCCACAGAAGATCTCGCCGGCTCAACCACAGCCGTTAAACATTAATTTTAAGCTCATCGTTTGTCGATTTTGGTCAACCGTTTCTCGGTTTAAGCTATCCGTTTTTGGACTTTGGTCAACTGTTTAACGTTTCGGGCTGACCGTTTTTATTTTTGGTCAACCGTTTAACAGTGTGAGCCATCCGTTTTTGAACTTTGGTCAACCGTTTAACATTTCGTGCTATCCGTTTTTTTTTTGGTCAACCGTTTGAAGGCCTAAGCTATCCGTTTTTGGACTTTGGTCAACCGTTTAAATTTTTTGCCATCCGTTTAAGCGGTTATGGCATCCGTTTAAACGGATAAAAAATGATTTTTAATCCGTTTTCAACCGTTTTTCGAGACCGTTTAACGGAAAAGCGTTAGTGTCCGTTTTCCTGTGGAGGGTCACAAATTCTTAAGTTGGAATTGATTCACATGTTTAAATCTGTTCCTGGAATATTGTGCATGCTATTTCACTAAAAACCGGGAAATTGCTGCTGTTCTAAATTTCTTTTATGTCACTTCAATAATTGCACAATTTTTCATCAGTACTTATAGTAAAATGAGGTTATAGTAACTGTCTAAAGATGACAGACTAGCCAATTCATTTGGCTACTGGCTCTTATTGACAGTTCTGATAAATTACGATTTTTGGATTCTAGACATGGTTTAGGTAGAAGTATTGAAACATACTGTAATACTGCTTGTGTGACAAATAAGTCCGACTCTCCAGGAAAGCCCAGTGTTGTAGCACTTTCCACCAGCATTGCTGCACATTGTTGTCCATCAGAGGTAAACAGAAAGTGGTATTGTGAATCACCAAAGTTTTTCTCTGTTAAAAGTAAGGAAAAGGCAATATTAAGCACAGACAGTTCTAAATGTCTCCTTTTAAAAGAAAGAAATAACAGGAAAACCTATCAGGCTTGCACTAGACTATTTCCCAGAGCAACAGGATTGTTATTTGGTTATATTATTGATAATAAAGGATAAGAAATCAGAACATAGGAAATTTAGGGTTGATACCACATCTAGGCAGGTGATCTAAACTTACCATACAAAAACAAAAACAACATAAACATGACTTCATTTAATCTTGAATTTACAGAGTAGCTAAATAGCTAACATATTTGACAATATTTAAATAAAAAATGAGGCCTTGGTTTTCTGAAGGTTGGAGAACTCTATCCACCGGATAAATCTCTTTCCTGTAGATAACATTATGTATTTTGCTGGATAGAGATTTATCTGTCGGATGGTGCTATCTGCCCTTTATACAACTGGGCCCAGTGCCACCACACCCTCTCCTACTACTCCATGTCCATTACACATGTTTACTGCAAAACCTGATAATTTCAAATCAAACCCACCTTTCCAAAGACTAAGTGCACACATAAGGTGTAACTCAGGATGTCCATACTTGAGGGATGGATCTGTGTCAGATGTCCATCTGAGAACAAAAACAAAAGTAATGTTAGCAAAGAAATAAACTGAGTAAAACTTTACATTATCTTACGGTAATTAGCTTCAAGGATTGACCCTTTAACTCCCAAGATCTGATTTGTTCATTCTCCCCTCGAGCTGCTACTCATTTCCTTGTAAATCAATTACAAGAATTTAGTGTTAGATCAAGAGAATAACTTCTAACTGATAATTTGTAGTTCTCTCAATACCTGTTTGCAGGATAATGTATGGATATTATAGGGAGAAGTTTCACATTAATCATTTCTGGGAATTAAAGGATTAACAACAAAATTTGAAGCAGCAGTGGAATGATTCAAAACAGCAAGCACCATATGCATTTCTGCCACCATTTAGCTGGTACATTTAAAAGACCTAGTGATGTTGCAAGTCGCACAGATATTTTGACTGCCTGAGACTCTCCTTTTGATCCCTTCCTGGTATTTGCCTCTTACTTTATCAAGTAAGCCATTCACTTCAAAACTCTCTATTAATCCTGTCTAACCTCCATAATGATATGCCATTGTTTAATGAAAACATTTTAAAAAGAAAGAAATACAGTCAGATTTTGATTATCCCAACTTCTGAGGATTGGGCTAAATAGTTAGGACAATGGAATAGCATCAATGTTGTTTTGTCCCTCCAACTATGTTTAACAATTCCTAAAACATTTACTGGGTGACGAAAGTGGAACAAATTCAGTTCCAACAGGAATTTCATTTTATACACTTTGTTTGTAGGAAAAAATTGCTTCTGATCTGAAATGTGACTAGAGGTTATTAGTATTCATAAAAATTGGAACTAGAGGAGTTGATGCAGGTAGTTGAAAACTCTGGATAGTCAAGGTCCAGATAATCAAGGTTTGACCATATCTTCCAGTTTAAAATGGATTTCAGTTTCAAATAATTTCAAACTAATGTATTTTGTGTTTTCTATGATATCAATTTTATGTAACATTCTGATACTTTTAATAAAAATCAGATCAGTCACAGGATTAAAACCAAAACTTCTGATTACCATAAATATAGCCGTTGATTTCTACTTACTTTATTGCCTCTGTCACAAATTCCTGTCTATCTGGTGAACCATGTTCATAAAGTTCAAACAAACTTTTAATTTTACCCAAGGCATCTTCTCCAACAGGTACCTTTGCAGTACGGAAACACTCCAACATGAGCAAGGCTAAATCAGTACCACTCCTTTCCTGGATGCATTAAGAAATAAAAGAGAGTTAGTAAGTATCTTGTATAAATGTATCCTGTTACAGTAAAAATGCTTTCCACATACAAATAGAGCAACTACTGCTGAGAATAAATTCACAAATTAATCTAACCATGTAAATACTGATTACCTAAAAAGGTAATATTAGAGAAATTGAATTTGACACATCACAAGGTAAAAGTCAACCTTTAGAAACCAGTAATGAGAATTTTTTTTTGAGAAAATTACCTGTTTGTGTTTGAGAAGTAGGCATGCCCCGTTATGAACTATCTCTAAAGCTTCATCATAACTCTTCTGTGATTTATACCTAGAAAATAGATCATAAATATTTAATTAGGATTAACCTTGCTAAAAAGGTTTTTAAATACATGTGGAAATTGCTAGGGCAGGAGTTATGTGAGAAGCCTTTTAAAACATTCATAAAAATAACCCTGAGAAGGAGCTACTTAGGAACAAAGATAGAGAGAAGATGAACAGATGAAATGATGAAGAAGCAGTCTTTGACATTATTTTCATCTTAATAATAATTTATTTATCTTTATTCGTCTATTTATTCATTGGAGGCCAAGTGGCTGCTGGACTCTAGGTCAAGAGGTTCAGGTTCAAGACCTGACCAGGTCAATGTGTTGTTTTCTTATGCTAAACACTTTACTTTCACAGTCCCTCTCTTCACCTAGGAGAATAAATGGGTACTGGTGAATTGTCAGCGAAGCCTGATGAAATGCTGGGAGGTAACCTTGCAATGGAGTGGTATCCCATTCAGGGGGCAGTAGTGATACTCCTAGTTGCTTCAGGATGAGGAAACTAGGATACGCTCCCACTGGGGGAGGCCATTTGGCTTGAGTAAAGGCTTAGCTCATCATCTGTTCATTAATAAATCTGGCACTTATTTTTTTTGGCTGGAAAATGAAGAGAGCTGGTATTGCATGGGAGAACTGGGAAGAAAAAGCTACAAATAGATCCACTTAGCTAGACCATGAGAAGGTCTTACACACTGCTGGACATGATGAGACATGAGATGAGATGAGGTCAAAATCATCAAGATCTAGGGTTAGCCAACAGCGAGGGGAAGCTAAGGATGATTTGCTATACCATGCAATGGATTGCTGTGGATTGACCTGTGCAGGGATAGGGGTAGGGATAGGGGTAGGGGTGGTTCTTAAAAAATTCAAAATATATAAAAAAAGTACAAAACTGCAAGATCTTTCAGATTTGATCCTACTAAGATATCAACTTCATGCAGGAAATTTGCAGCCTAAACTTTATATGTACAATATTTTATCAGAGAGGGTCCAAGGGTATTCAGGAAAATTGTTGTTCAATGGAACTGTCATGAACATTTGTTAGTAAAAGTTGAACTATATAATTATCTGCATGTTTTTTGATTGCTTGAGTTGTATTTATAAAAATTATTGACACGGTCTGATGATTTATGGAAACTGAAATCACGATTTCGTAAGTTACCATAAACTGAACTTTCATATTCAGAATCGAAATTTAAAGCTTTGTCCTCGTACTGTCTTTTAAAGGTAAAATTCGCTGGAACAAAACTACATCTTACATTCAATTTGTTTCAGCGAAGTGGAATATGCTTAGCTAAGCACCTATTACACATTGATAAGTCTTGTTTTACCGGCATAGTTATTTTACACAACAACGAAGCGATACAAGTTTTCAAGGCGAAAAAACAACTTCATCTCCCTTCTATAAATTTAATCGCCACGGTACCTTGAGGATATTTCACATATTTTACATAGTTTTGGTTTTAATGGACTATTTCCAATCAATCACAGCCTTACAGCGAGGCTCACATGCACACCTACGGTCTCAGTTCATTTGTGTTTTCCTCAGCTCGCTTTTCGAGTCCTGTCGATTTATCAATTAAAAGACTAAGAAGAAACCTACCTGAAGTATAGCGTTCGTATCAACTGATGAGCTTCGTAATATTCACCATCTTCCATGGACTTGTTTAGTTTCTGAAGTACGCGCTGAGTTCCGCCGCTTCGACTTTTGGCAGCCATATTCTTCCTGTTCCCACAAGCCTGTGCGCCCTTAACTGGGTGAAACACCCCAGGATGAGTAGCGGGCGAAGTGACAAGGAACGCCTGACATAAATTGGTCTCTTGTACATTTTTCCATGGCATTCGAAAATGTTAACAGACACTTTGTGTACCTTAGACACGGGTTATTACGCAGATACTGTAGAGTGGTGTCCTGCTAAAGGTTTTGAAGACTATTTAGTGTGCGGTACTTATCAGCTGCTCGAGAATAAAGAGAAAAACGATGGATCCGCGCTTTGCCCAGAGGAGTATTCAAGCGTTGGCAACAAGAGGATCGGCAATGTACAGCTGTATCGTCTGAATGAATCGCATACAAGGTGGCCTGTTGTGTTCATTTTTTTAATCAGTTATGTCAATTTACTTGTTGTGTATACCCATAAATAAATATATAAATTTTACTTTATTTCACTCTGTAGGTTGGAAAAACTGCAAACTCAGGAAACAAGTGGTATTTTAGATACAAAGTGGTAAGAAGTTTTCACCTGGACTTAATGGTTTATATTTATTTCATTATTTGTTTCACCCATATAATAATAGTCAGGCTATAGTTCAACATTTAAGAAGTCTAGAGTGACAATTTTATCCAGAGCAATTGCATTTTTTTCTTCTTTTGAGTATTTCTTACATTCATTTCTTGTCACTTAACCCTTTGACCCCTTAAAGTGACTATCATCTAATTTCTCCTTACAATATCACCCCTGAATCACATATTGAGGTCATGAGAATAAAGGAAATGATCACCATGCAAAGAAGCTTTTGATTGGTTAACAAATTCTCCTTGTCATCGCCTTAGGAAATGTAAGGAGAACAGTATGGAGAATATGCATACTGATGTTGAGGTGTGAAGGATTAAGGAACTTTTCAATGTTTTTACCCTTTTATCCTTTTTTACCCTTTACAGTGGCTAATTTATGTTTTCAACCCAGTTGTTAACACTAAATTAACTTTTCAATGTTTTCAGGTTAGCAAAGCCATTAAATGGTTCTGCTGTACTTGGTGCTGCTACATCAAATGGAGAACTGAAGATCTATTTCCTCAAAGAAAAGGTATGTATGCTTATACATTAAAGGGTATGTACAACATTGTTATTTGAACACAAGATATCTCCTGGTATTATCACTCCCATATCTAGGTCATGCTGTTTTCATTCAAAAATGATCATAGCCAGGGTGTGAAATTGCGCCTAATACAGGTGCCAATGCGACTAAATTTTTCACTTTGGTGACCAAATCCTGAAAATTAGTTGCCAAATTGGCAACTAGAATGTTTCATCATAACCTTACCTAGAGATATAGCGAATTAAAAAGATTTGCAAAGATAAATCTGTGGCAAACTTCCTTGTTAAGTTTGTTTCCAAAACGCAGCACATGCATCTTGATCAATAGTTAGACACCATCTTGGATTTAGGTGAGCTTGAACATTGCATATAATCCATCCTAGTGTCCACTTTGTAGCATGTTAAATATCTTTTCCCTAACTTAATTTCTAAAACGATGACAGTGTAAAAAAAGGTTTTGTTTGTCCTTGAAAATGGTGACCAAATTTTTTTGAATTGGCTGCCACTTTGAAGAATTTAGGAGCCAAGTAGTCATGCCCTGATAGCCTTTCTACCTGTCTACCCCACAAGATTTTGAACTAGTGTTGATTACCTTTTTTAATGATTTCTTTTAGCTATTAGTTGAGAGCACCAGTTATATTGCAAGTCCAGATAAATTATGTCTTTCAATGGACTGGTCTTTGGAAGATGAAAACAGGTCTGACATATGATAATACTAACTTATGGGTAATGTCAATATTGGTATGAATTATTGTTATTTATTAATTAATTTATTATTATCAATTATTATTATCATCTATACTTAAGCTAAATGGCCCATCCAACCAGAACTAAGCCCAGTCCCTATAACATAACATGACATAACATAGTTTATTTGGTAATGCAGGTTGAGTCCAGCAGCCATAGCTGATGCGGACCTGCATTATATTTATTTATTAAAACAATTTACAATGTCTAAATAAATAATACTTTATTAATTAAATATCTAGAGATAAGTTTAGATTCAATAGTTCTTTAAGAATAAAAATAATTACATTTAAGTCTGTGGTATATTGGATGTGATTAAAATGAAAATAATTATCAATTCATAGAGAAGTTAGTGTACTGAGAATAAACCAGCCTTAGAATGAGATATGTTCAGATTGATTACCAATCTGTTTCCATCACCTAGGTGTGAACTAAATTAAGAAAATAAAGCAGAAGCCACTGGGATTTTTAATACTCTTGCCCCCCACCCCCGGAAGGGATGCTAGTTCATTACAAGGTTAATCCCTAGTATTTTATCAGGCCTCCTGGACAATTCACCCAAAACCTATTTAAACTCCTGTTTGGAGAGAGAACCATAAAAGTAAAGTGTTTTTCCTATTAGAACATAACATAATGACCAGCCAGGTCTTGAACCCAGACCTCTCAACGTGGAGTCAAAACCTTTGGGCTACTGCATGAGACCACTGCATGACCCACAGTTTATTTTCTGGGAGACCCAATTCCATTTCTCATCCAATATGCACATAGGACAGAAAAAAAAAATGAAATCTTAGATTACAGTGACAATGGTTGTTTAATATTATAAAAGTTATTATAAACTGGATATTCATAATCCTTTCATTCTCCATCATCAATAGTTTATTGTACCTTGATACACAACTCATCAGCAATGGCCTAACCCTGTAACCCCTAAGAGTGACTAACATCTAATTTCTCCTTACAATATCACCACTGAATCACACATTATTATCATAAGAATAAGGGAAATGATCACCAACTCAAGAAACTCTCAATTTTTAGACAAATTGTTCATGTCAGCACCTCAATAAATGTACAGAGAACAGTATGGAGAATATGAATTCTGATCTTAGGGTGTAAAGGGTTAATGAAACATAAACTATTGGATGTTCTAAAAAGAGGAGAATTGAAATTCTCCTGCTGTAGTTGTAAGTACCTCTAAAATGTTTATCATCAACCAATGTCAGCCAATTGAATGAACAATTATTCTATTAATGATGGCCAGTCTGTCCCCTTTTCTACTGTAGCCACATTGTTATGAGTGACTCAGGTGGACAGATTACGTTATGCAAATTTTATGAAGGTACCTCTGAGCTTTGCCAAGTTTTGCATTGGTTAGGGCATCAGTATGAGGCTTGGATTACAGCATTTAATGCTTGGAATTCATCCATTGTATATTCAGGTACCATATTTTCATATAAATGAATTTTTAGTAGAATTAGAATTTAATTGAATTCCCATTTACTATCAGGCTCGATTTCCACCGCTCTCTTGTGTCCGGTCTTTCCTCCTACCTTAGAAGTGGAGTTTGGGGGGCAGCCCGCAAGCTTATATTCCTAAACAGTGGCTGGTAATCGAGCCTAATTTACTATTGGTCCAGAGGAATCTCACAAAGTCAGATGGAGGTCCAGTGTTCTAGACTGATGGAATGTTTCATGACATGTCAACTTTTTTTGAGTGAGGTGAAGTACTGAAGATACTTCAATCTGAAAAAGAATGAGGTAGCTCTCAAAGGCATCTGTCATTTTTTGTGAGATAGAGCATTTTTCTGCAATCCTGCTTCTTGTGGAAAATAATCATATGATGTCAACTGCCCCTGTGACATCAGCTATAAGATCCTGTGTTGGTTTCAAGTTCCAGTTCAATAAAATACAATGCAAAACAATACACTTTATTTTGAGAGGGTAGCCCTTGACAGTAATAAAAGTGATTACCTTGTGGCCTTCAATAAAATGGATTAAAAAAGGTAGCCCTCGACAGCAATAAAAGTGATGGCCTTGTGGCCCTCAATAAAATGAATTAAAAATAGAGATTCTAAACTCTCTAATATGGGTTAAAGTGATTAATTTTGAATTGTGTACTGGCCCTGCTAATTAAGGAGGCGATGATTGCCTACTCAGAGGATGGGACACAAGAACAGGCTGCCATAAACCTACATTTACAAGTAAAAGGTGATTTCCAATATGATCACTATTCTGTATTTTAATCAAAGTTGCAGTTAAAAAGTTCATCGGCTCAGTGTTTTGTTCTCTTCATTGAGTTGTCCAGCTCTGATATCTGGCCAGGATAACGATTTACATGATGGTCTGTCCATAGTTTTTTTTTTTTTGTATTATTACAACTATTACTTTTTCAATTCACTGAATGATAGTATTAACCCTTTAACTCCCATGAGTGACCAAGACAGAATTTCTCCTTACAAGATCAATACAATATCAACCAGATGAGTAATGAGAATAAAGAAAAATATCAATTTGTGAATACTTAGTTGATCTAGTACTAAATTCTCCGAACTAACATTGTAAGAATTGTATGGTTGACAGTAAGGAGAATCACAAATTTGATCTGGGAGTTAAAAGGTTAGATGTAAGGTCAAGTGAAGAGGCACAAAGCAAGTAAAGCAAAGCAAGCATGTGAGATGTGTAAAATACATTTTGCTTCAGGGAAGCAAAATTTTTGCTGTGATGTGAATTACCTTTCTTCATTAATAGGATATACTCGGTAAATGGTCACTTTGAACTTGCTGGGCTTTTGAAATTACCTGTGTGGCCTCTTTATCAGTGATTCAATGAGTTTTTTAATTTGTCTTCTCCAGGCATGAGATGGGTGTCAGCAGCATTCAGTGCAATCATGTATATGAACACATCATTGCAACTGGCAGGTAAGAATCAAACATCAAATGGTCTAAGTTTGGTCTCTATTCATTACTTCACTCCCAAAGTCGAGATGTCCATGCTCTACACAGTCTGCTGTATTCCTTTTAATTATAGCTCTGAGAATTTCATGTTAAGTTAAAAGTACAATGTATCCCTAAGTGATAATTCTCAGTAGGTGGTTCTTTCCATCCACAACCATGTGATGGTGATTTTTGAGTTTCATTTGTAGGAAGCTTCCTCTGAAGTAGTTGTGAGTCGCCAGCATAATGATTGTTTAACTTTGACTGTATAAAATACTTTCTTCGTAACGAGTAGTTAATAATGATGAGTCACACCCATATGTGATAAACTCTGAGTGTTGTTTCACAACATTTCTTTCACTCTTAGAAAAAAGGCTTCACATTGATTTCAAAATAATAATTTACAAACTCTCAACTTGTGCAATCAATTGATGTGGACTTCTGTCCTGGTTTGTTATCAAACTAACAGCTATGATGAGAAGATTCATGTTTGGGATGATAGAAACATGACACGCCCATTATGCACATCACATCCTGGTGGAGGAGTGTGGAGGATAAAGTGGCATCCTTACCATGGAAACACAATGTTAACAGCATGCATGTATGAGGGCTTTCATATTCTTCAGTTCAACAACAACACAGGTATGATTATGCAAGGTTTCAATAACTTTTCCATAATGCCACTGACAATGGTGCAATAGGGGATGTGCCTGGAAAAGGGGCTTCAAGGCTCCTTCCCTTCTTAGGAGGTTTGGGGGTAAGCTTCTCCAGAAAAAGATTTGAAATCTAGCAATATGTAACTCACTTGTGTGAAAGCCTACGCAAAACCCAAAGAAGAGAGGCTACTTGCAGACCAAACACACAGTGGTAATACTGGTCTTATGGGCTTGAGATCATATTCTCATGTCTAATCTACAAGGAAAAGTATGGCAGTAAGTAGGGAGAATTGTGAAGTGGAGCTTGGGAGTTAAAGGGTTAAGACCACCAGTAACTGGCTTTTATTGAAACCTCTGCTAATGGATGTTGTTTGTGGAGCCGAATGGTTCTTTTAGGTCTGTTGGTTTGTTATCTGGTTTAACGGATACTTGGTGAGAATGGCAGGATTTTTCACATACCTGAAACAGAACAATCCATTTTTTGGAACTGTAGAGATTTAACTAAGTCTATGCTTTATTTAAGCAGAGCACTGGAATGGCAATCAAGCTTGAAGATATCGTGGCAATAGGATTTGTCAGATCTCTTACTAAATTGAAAACATAATGTGGGACTTCACAGAGTAAAGTTTTTTGAAAAAAAAAAAATGTGTTAATATCAACTTATCAGGCTTTCTTTTCCTTTTTCTAACTACCAGGACATCAAAGCTTGGAAAAAGTGGTTTCTTATAAGGAACAAGCAAGTTTGGCTTATGGTGCTGATTGGTACAGGAAACATATCCAGCTTTCTAGATTCAGTGCACAAGATTGTGAACAAATGGACAGAAATGATGAACACAAAGGGACTGACCTATTACATGAAAGCATTTCTGATACTCAAACTGACATAGTTGCAACTTGTTCATTCTATGACCATGCCTTAAATTTGTGGACAGTGAATAATGCAGTCTCAAGATAGCCCTGGAAATGAAACACAGCAATGTGTTGAGTTCAATCTTCCATCCTTCAGAGAAGGAACAGTGTGGATTTCTGTCTTCTTCATCCCTGATGTCTGACCAGAAGAGGAAACACCAAAGAATTATTCCAATAAAAACTTTTATTTCAAGTCCACTGCACCATCATAGTAATACTAGCTAAAGAATTCTGATGATAGAACATATATCTATACATTCATAATTCAGAAAATTCCCTTATAACATTTTAATTATCATCACTAACCTCAATTTTTTTCAATTGTTAAGAATGTATGTAAAAAGATACCATTACTTATGTAATCATATTTATGAAGATAAATAAAATATTGCATGCAATGAAGACTTGCAGTTGAGTTTCAACTTCATGCATTACTTTGTAGAATTATAAAAAAAACCTAGCCCTATGATAAATTGAAACCCAGCAATTATCTGGAAAATTGTAACAAGCATCAGATCACTGATGAAATTGTACAAAATTTTTCTTATGATACATTTTTGAAAATCTGCTTGATACAACTTGAGTTGATGCACAATGGACAAACTGCATCACATAGATGACAATTTTTTCATGATGTCAGCAACTTCTAAAATCTTAATAATGTTATTAACCTTGTAAAGGTATTGAAAACTGTTCTTTACCTGGAAGAATCTGATTGTAACTGATGATCTTTGGCTGATGTGATCTCAGTAAAATAATTTACCACAAAAATGATTAACAAGACCTGTTTGGTATGAAATGAAACTGTCAATGGAGCATAAAGTTATGCCTCAATCAGTTCATGGAGTGTGTCCCAGCTTAATTACCCCACTAGGCATCAAATTTGAGTCATCTAGAAAATATTGCAGCCACAAACAATTTCATTTGAATCCTTTCACACCCAAAAATGATAAATCTGTCTTAAGAATAGTGGTGCATTTTATGTTATCCAATCTGATTGAGGTGCCTAGTTAAGGTAACACAACATTATCTTACCTAGTTTTAACCCTTCACACCCTAACATCAATATTCATATTCTCCATACTGTTCTCTTTACATTTTCCATAGTTCTGACAAAGAGAATTCTCTTGACAATCAGAAGCTTCTTAAATTGGTGATCATTTGCATTATTCTTATGACCATTATAATTGATTCAAGGGTGATACTGTGAGGAGAAATTTGAAGCAAATCACTCCTAGGGTTAAAGGGTTATAGCTGAAGGGGAGAATAACTCATCAGATCTTGGGAGTTAACATGTTGAGAATTTGATGAAAACACTATACCTGTAAGTGTAAATTTCTACACCCCCCCCCCCCTTCCCTTACAACTATATCATTCAATAACACTATTTCATGTTAAAAAAAAATGCTTATTTCATTATGACCCAGCAAGCTGGGAATGTGAGGAAGACCAGGTTAAGAAACCTGGAACAGTTGAACATTTCCACCTCATGATATGATGTCAGCCATAGTATGAGGTTTAGGTGTGGACCTAAAATTCACTAACTCCTCATTCACGTCATTCTGATCTGTAATTTTAACACTTAATTTATGCATTAAACCTGGATGAAACACGATACTGGAAACTGCTTTCTTTCCTTCAGATTTCATTACTAACCATGTAATTATTATTTCTTATCAACCACTAATAATTTGAGGGGCTCACCTCTAGTTTGTGGTTTGTGCCTATGATATAATTTACAATTCTTAATTATTATTTTACAAAATTTCAATTGTCATGGTTATTTACTTTTAATAAATAGTGCAAATGGAAATTTAACTTGTTTCATGGGAATAGTAAGAACATAACCTTTGCAAAATAGGCTAGCCAGTAAAAATCAGGCAGCAGAGGAAACTGAAATGTTCAGTTCTTTAGGTGTTGCAACATATAACACATTGACAATATTAAAAAAAGAATTATATACATGTTGGGCAAATTGAGATTGTGTCTGCATAGCCTTAACCAGTGCAAAAGTGAGATGGCAGAAATTTCTGTGCTACATGCATGTAGCAATTCAGATTCTCTGGTATCCCACAACTTCTGACATTAATTTTTGGTGGTAATATTTTACAGCTGGTAATATTGACAAATGACCGATAATGATGTCTGCCAGCAGACAAAAATGGCATCTGCTTTCACTATTACCAGGATAATTGAAGCATGACATAGAACTTAAAAAGTAGAAAATTGACAGGAATGAACTATTTTGTTTAGCTAAACAAAGACACACCACAGATCACTAAACAATCTAAGTCACCTGTAATGGAATCTTTGCATCCTCCACAAAAATTCTTATGTCCCACAGAGATGAAACTTTGTTGAGATTGAAAAACAATTATTTTTTTAAGATTGTTTGTGAAACAAGTATGTCATCCCTTTCACTAAATCCAAAATTTCTAGCTCTGCGACTTAAACTATGTTGGGGAATGACAATACTGGTAGCACTTAACCCTTTAAATCCCAGAATTGATCAGCATGTAACTTCTCCCTATTATATCCATACATTATTCAGCAAACAGGTGATGAGAATACTCAAACTTAACAGGCATAAGTTGTTATCTTGATTTAACACCAAATTCTCTCAAATATTTACAAGGGAATGTGCAGAAGCTAAAGGGGAGAATTAACAATCGCATCTTAGGAGTTAAAGGGTTAAGAAAGAAAGGCCTGTCAGTTTTCAAATGATGTGAACTAAAAAGATCTAAAATAAATTCACATTACTTATCAGGGAGAAAAAAAAAGATATTGCCTTGTTGTAAAGGTTCTCCCTCATGTGCCTACCATTGACTGACTTCTAGAATTGTGTACCAAATTAGATTTCTGTAGTTTGCAATTTTTTCCCATGTGTATGTTGAAGAGCAGTAGGAAGCACTGTAATAATATCATTCTTTGCTACTTTTTTCGGTTACGTGTGATTTGGTTGTGCTTGGTGTCTGAGCCCCTCCTGACTGTAGTTGCTATCTGGATGGGTGTGAAGCAGTGCTTACACCTGAAGAGTGACTTGTTGAAGTTGAAATGCTAAGCTGAGAGAAACCACTGTGGCAAGACTCCAGACTTGATAATGATCCCCTGAGAATGAAAATTATGAAACAGCAAATAAGTTTAAAGAAGACACAGAATGTTACAATAAAACGCTGTCACCATAGTCACACAAATCATGTTAAATATATCCCCTCTCTACTAGAAAATAGTTTCAACAAATTTTCTATCATGAATAATTATGAATGGGATTTTTCAGTTCACCTATTGTGCACTTCATACAATTCATATACCAATGTATACTGAATTGATAATTTAACAAAAGGAGTTTAAATGAATGTGAATGTATGAATATCATTTTAAATGAACTGCTGTTTAAGAAATGAATATGGAAGCAATCCTTGCCATCATGAACACTACCCAGGCAGAAGTGAAGAGGAGTTTAAAAAGGAGTTTCTTTACCATGTTTGTACACATTTTTGTGTTGAAACAAAGACTTTCTATGCTTGCAGTGTAATCAACGAAATTTTTGAGAATCAATTCTCAAGGCCTAAGCAGAATGGTTGCAAATAAAATATTAATGGCCATAGACTTCAGCATCCTGACTGCTTGCACAAGACTTGATCTTTTTTCCAGAGTTTTACAAGAATGCATGTCTATAGGAACTGTACTGGACAGTTGCGGGTTTTTTTTTTTTTTTTTTTTTAATCACAGTGAAAAATTCAGTCCTCAGAGCACACTACCTAAAATCTCGAGAGGGAAGAACTTCATGATAGTACATGACTTTAGCTCTGGTATGACGCCCATGAGCCTGGCCTGTTGGTGCTCCAGATTTGTACTTCCACTGAAGAACATACACTCCAGGAATGGAACAAACATGGGTTCCCTTATAGAAAGAAACACAAAGATGTTAGTTGGTAAACAACAAAACCATCTTACAAGCTAGAGCGCCTATCCATTGGGAACTCATCAAAAACTGAAGTTGAACTAAGCAACAATGGGTAGTGCTTCTCCCCCAGGGCTATGATGTAAGCTATCGCAGGGTTCACTAAAGTTTTTGTTCAGGTTTCCCTGATAGTTTGCAAGTTTATCAGGGCAAATGACAAAGGGCTAACACTTGAAAAGTCCATATCAGGGACTCCTACAATGGCCAGTTTACAATAACATTATCAACTCAGTCATCTTGTAATACCCTCCCCCCCCCCCTGTCACAGCACCACTGGTCTTTTAGAAACTTACCCCTTTACAATTTTGAAGAAGGTTAACCCTTGAGCCTTGCAAGATACATACCTGTATAGATTCACCATCATAACAATGCCTTGGCTTTTCAACTACCACTGCATCTACACCAGCAATCACACCAGACTGGTTAAGAGATGCATCACTTCCAAAACTTGATAAGCTTGTGGTACTGACCGCCTCCCGAGGCCGCTTGTGACGAAACACAGTAAACTGGACATCTCCTTTCATGACATCAAAATCCCACGTGATCACTGCCTGAGATTCTTTGATTGTTACCAGGACCTGTTGGGCAGCAGGTGAAGTTGTTAAGTTTACTAGCAGTAATTTTGGTATTTACAGGTTCCGCAGATTGAGTTGATTGCATTTTGTGGAATCTAAAAGCCACTGTCTGCAAGTGTAATGTTTAACATATGCTATTATAATCACTGAAGATTTCAAATTATCTTCAATTATGATCTGGTGTTTGAAAGGATGTTTCAAATGAGAAGGAAAAGGAAATCATTTCCTGGGAAGTCCTAAGAAGACAAGTCACCAGTGGCCAGCTTCCAAAAGAGGCTAATAAAAGATGACAATCATCATCATCATCATCATCATCATCATCTCTCCAATTCTTTCATCTCTCAAATGATCTTGAATTTGCTGGAGTGTAGAAATATATGGGAGGCTGAGGCCCATTATTTAATTAATACAGTTTTTTTCTGACATTCCATCCCTTACTTCATGAGGTGAGCCCTTGCTAACATGTGTTGTTTGGTAGATTTCACTGCTCCAAGATTCCTCTCCTTCACTGAACTCCAGAGATCTGTATAGAGTCTTTGGGACAAGTCCCCCCTCCTTAATTTGGCACTTTAAAGGAAAATAAAGGAACATCTTTTAAAATTACACCTTAATAACTTCTTATTAAAAGTTAGGTAATTCTCAGGGAATTGAGAGTTGATAGCACTTTTTTTTAACCTTCATAGAAAAGGAAGTCACTAAGATATGAAAGGACACCAGTTTACTCATTGAATAGAAGCAAAAGGAAAATATCAAGGAACATTAGAACTGCCCAGAGAAAAACCTTTTGTTCTAGCCGAGCAAAAAATTAGCTACAGAAGAATCTTTAATCTGAGTAATGCTGACGTAAATCAGCTCTACGATGACTGCTCGCAGAATATCAAATGACAACCCTGTTTCATTGTTCCCTTTCTAATATTTCTAACCTCATAAGGTCCACCAAGAAAGTCTGGGATGTATTCTGCTGCAATGTAGTCAGTCAAACCACCAGGGCCCTAAAATAAAAAGAATAGATGAAAACATTGATAACGACAAAAAGAAGTTAACAAAAATGTTACAGAGAGAGATGGAAGAGTACTATGTTTTAAAAATCATGTATTAGAGTTCATTGTATGCTGATTTTTTAAAATAACTCAACCCTTTACTACCTTAGAGTGATAGGCATCAAATTTCTCCCGACAGTATCACCCCTAAATCAAACATTAAGTTCATGAGAATAAGGGAAATCATCAGAAACTCAAGAAGCTCTTGATTGTTAAACAAGTTCTCCTTGCAAGCACCATAGGAAATGTATAAAGAACAGTATGGAGAACTTACATACTGATGTGAGGGTGTAAAGTGTTAAGGTTCCTTTAATTCCCTTAAAAATTTTAGGTCATGTTAATTATGCAGCTTACTTAAACTGATGTTCCAGGGAAAGAAACAGAGTTCCTCAGAGTCATCCAAGTTCATAGTGGTAACAAATGGGTTTTTTCAAAAACTAACATCAGTCATCATCATCATGAGAACAGTCCTTTTCAGGATTACTCTCAAGGGCATAAAAAGACAAGAAAATAAATTGCTTACTATCATTACCTGGTAGTCATTTCCTCCATAAATGAGGAACTTGTTCCTTGTGTTTTCATCAATGAAAGGACTGACCAGTGTCCACAAAACACCAAATATCCTGGGTGCACGTACAATCAGCAGTCTACCCATTGTCTCAGGGTAGTTACATTCAACAACCTCAATCACCTTCAATAAGGCTTTGATCCCTAATAAGAGAAATAATTTCTTGATCAATAAGTTGCCAAACAGTTTTACACTGAGCTAAAGAGGTTGTTTAAATAGGGTCATGTAAGAGGGAGAATTTTGTAACTTCCTAACCTAAAAAATATCTAACTACTTATCACTGTAGTTAAAGTTATAACCTATGCGTAACATAAATGCATCAAGCCCTAACATTTGTCTTCTAATCAGAATCCAAAGCTCTAGATAATTACTCTTAAAAACTTTTTAAGTATTTTCACCTGATTACCTTTGGCAAGAAGTCAACAAAAATAAAGGAAGTAGTTCTGGTGACATTATAACATTAAATCCATCACCTGTGTATTTGTTAAAACTAATCAAAGAACTGTCAACTCACCAGGTCTCCAAAGATGCCTCATGCTTAAGCCTTCCAAATCACAAACACACGTCCATGAGCTGTAACAAAACAAACATTAATCAACAAATATGTCTATTTTGTATGAAATCACTGTGATACAAAACAGCAGCTAAATAATCTTCCTTAAGCCAACTCAACCTATATGTAGAAATGATCCCCCAGAGGACAACAAACCCTATGGAATTTCAATCAAAACCCCCACATGCAAGACGTGAACTAGCCATTTTAAATAAGAAAGTATTCCATAACACTCAGACCAGAAGAATATCTGCATAAAAACAACAAAGGGGCATAGATTTGAGAAAAAAATTAATTGTTCATGAGGAGAGGGAGATAACACCCACAAGGAGCGGAGAATGCAAACAGCCACTGACAAACAGACAGAAATCTAGTATATACCAATTCTATAAGCTTGAGTCTGATGAATTCTGCCCTGTATTACCTGATTGGATGCCCTGTTTGTTTTGTCAGTTCTTCAGTCATTCTTAGTCCTTCTTCATTAATTGAGACAACCTTGTTAAAAATTAAAAGACATTTGTAAAATTAATAGTCAGTTCCTCAATCATTTATTGAATCATAAGAATTTGAAGCTTTGCACATGTTTTTGTTCCAAAACCCAAACACAAGAAAGTTTTAAAATGTATGATCATGAAATTAAATTGTTTGGTTTAATCAGCTAAGTTGATAATGTAAATTGGTTACCATAAAGAGTTTCAAAGCTGATGTTATGAGCATTTGCCTTTTGTCATTTGCTCTGTCAAAGGGCTTATGCTGGAAACATCACCTTTGAAACTCTTTACAGTGACCAATTTACATTATCAACTCAGCTGATAAAACTAAATTATTTTTTAATACTCCCCCACTGATGCAGCACCACAGTTTCCTTTTTAGAAACTTACCCCCTTTATTCATAACTGTTTGCTTTGAGTGTTAATTAACCCTGGGCAGATATGGCTGTGATCACAAGTCCCCACAAAGACTTTGTAGAAAGGATGGCATATCAAGTTATTTTGTAGTAAATGATATGAAAAACTTACATGTTTAAGAAAGCCATCTTCACCAACAGCTTTAAGGAGACCTTTCACGTCCATGGACCCTAGCCGGAGTATGTACAATGGGCGCCCCTCTATATGAATCAGAAATAGGGAAAAATAATAAAATCTCCAGAAAAATCTATTGGCACAAGACAAATGCAAAGTACTGTCAATGTAAAATAATACTTTAGTGATTGATTGAATCTGTTAGTCCTGAATCAATAGACCTTGCAGTTCAATAATATTAATACCAGTAACATTTATAAGTTACAGTGTTCATGTACCTCAATTCATTATACAGCCGTACCTGGTATTCAGAGCTTAATCAATAGAGAGTTTTCTACATATCAGAAACATTATGCCTTTTGTTGGTAATAATAAACATGCAAATATTTTGGCATACTAATACTGGGCTGGAAGCAGGTAAATTAATGCCAAAAAGTGAAAAAAAATTGAAATTAATGATCATGGTACTTGTGGATTTATTATTGTTAACAAGTAATCAGCTAGTTCCTCCTTCCCTCTGAAATGCATGTAAGACACTCAAAAAAATTTCTCAGCCAAAAGTCAGAATTCTCCCTTATTATTTTATTATTTTACACACAGCAGGTAAGAGCAATCCTTTTATGGGTAAAATTTTCAAGAATTCCGAGTGATTTTAGGTAGCAATAAGAGATACTACAGGCAGGAAATGTTATTGGTTACTACCTGAAAAGGAAAACACTGACAGGCTTATGCTTATCTATTTTGATTAACATGACAAATCATTTGATTGGCCATACGAATTCTGTTGCTGCAAGTTTGCTATGAAGGTATACAATCGCGTTAAGTCAGTACTGCTAACTAAGGAATTTGGGGAGAATTTTGAATAACCACATCAATCTTTCATCTAAGGAATTTTTCGTCACAACAAGGTTCTCACCTTTATCTTTGTTATGCCATCCTCCACTGTAGTAGCTCAAGAGAGGTTCAGGAGGCTGCCATATCTCCCTTATGTTGTCTATATTGTGATGGCGTCGCCACGCCAGAGACTCACACAGCATCTCATACACCTTAATGGGACAAAAGGAAGTTTCAAAACAATGCCATACATGCAACCAACATTATTATAGAAAAGCGCATCGAACTGCAAGAACACAATGTTCCATTAGTACCTTGTCTAAATTGAAGTCTCGTGCTCTGAGAAATCTTAAAAGATGAGCATCATTAGGCATCTGTCAACGAAAAACAATAAATTAGCATAACTGAAACATCTAAATACACTGACTCTCCTGTAAAAAGCTCTGAGGAAGTTAATTTAAAAAAATCAAGTACCTTTCCTTGATGTGTAGCACTGAGTTTCTTGCGCAGCTATAAAGAAATAACAAGTAGAACACAGTAATTTAGAAGAGTTTTTTTGTTTTTACTTTAAAAGAAAAAAAGGAAGCACAACCAGATGCAACAAGACTATTACATGATCCTAGTGCTGACTAGTCAACAGCTGTTTCTCTTACAAGTATACTCAATATACCTATAAGCTGGGTAAAAAATAGATTGAAGCAAAGCTTTGGTGGTACAAAAAGTTATGATGCAAGGACCACAACATTTTATTCTACATGCCTGAAACAAGGCCAGTTACCTGAATAAGTTGGTTCTCTTCCTTGGGACTAAGTTTTCCAAGGAACCTCTGAATGTAGTCATCATCAAGCTTGTAGTCTGAAAATGCAAAACAAGCTGACTTAAAAAAATTCTTATCGACAATTTTTTTACTAACAGTCATTTTCCAAATCCACTTAAACCCTTCTGAATGCTTCTATCATTTAATCAGAAAGACTTAACAAGTGCAATGTTGGATCAGTATTTTGAGGTTTTTTCAGCCAAGTATATATTCAATGCAACTTAACTGCAGCAAATAAGAGGAAATCTGGTAAGTTAGAAAAACACTACAGATGCAACTGCTAAGAAAACACAGACTGAAATGGCTTTTAATGACGATTTTGTGAGTTTGGCAAAATTTGTGAAGGGACAAAAACCATGGAGTACCTTCCATAAACATGCAGGTAATGTCTACTACTTTTTCTTGCACTACAGAAAACAGCTTTCTTGTGAAATGAATTGAAAATTGAACATTCAGTCGAAAATTTCACTTTAAATAGCTTTCTAGCAATGAAAATGCCAAAAAATATTTTCTTGCAATGAAATAACCCTAGGTTCATGTTCACATTATTCATCATAATTTTCATCAAATGCAATCTTATATCTGTTTTGTGCCAAGTGCTGCACAAGGCACAATGCAGGACAACAGCATACAAAGTTAATTAATTGATGATCAAGTCCTTTTCATTTTACTAAGCAGGGACAGCTTATCTATGAGCATTAGACACATTTGTCTTCTACCAAAGCAGGTTATTATCAGATCATGAGCCGCTCTTTATTGAGTTTAAGCTGATGCTAGAGCTAGTTCCTGTGGAAAAGTTTCTTTCTTTCATTCTCATCTAGAACTAATTCAGTACAAGATGCAAGTCATACAAGTTTGTAACTCTATAGACAGAATTAGTTCTTGACAAAGTCAATTAATATGCAATTTAGTTCTACAAATATAAATATTCAAGCACATTTTGGAAACATATTGCCAAAAAAAATTAATTGTGTTAATTTTTCAAGGGCCTTAAAAATGGTCTGAAATGAAGAAAACATTTTTCACCTTACCATATATTTTAAAACAAGTCAATAGAATTTATTATCTCATGACAAAGAAGAACTAAACCACATTCTAAAATGGTTCACTGTATTCAGTAAAACAAAATGTTGACGCCACCTTTACTTAAGCTGAACATTTCATAGCTGTGCAACAAAATACATTATAGTTTAGGAAAAGGTGACAGAAAATTTTTGACAAAACCTCGTACTTAATGCTGGATGAAATTGTAAGAATCCTGTAAAATACCTTGCTGGGTTGCCTGGTGTGACTTCATTTGTAAAGCATATGTTCACTGCTCTTTTGGGAAAAGGAATTAAATATAGCAACTGAAGCAAATGAGCCACAAACATGTTCCAATGCTGTCCTTTGTTTAAGTGTTGTATGATTCAGGCCTGTTCGTGTCCACTTCAATTGGATTTCAATTGTATTTATTGTTGACTAAATTAGGATCCTTGACGTCAGAAATTCAAATTAAACTCAGACAGCATGTCCATAAAACCAGATGTTCAAGAATATTACACAAAAACTGTTCTGTAATTGTCATTTTAAATTTCCCTATAAGTTATAAATTTAGAGCTTAATAGCTGCGTACCTATATAAACACGGCTTTTACTTCTGCTATTGCTACATGACTGTATACCTATTTTTTTAATTGCTGGTCCACTTTGTTACTCATGTTTTCACATGCCTTTTCCAATTTCATTCTGACTTTTTGTAAATTTATCATTTATTGTTTTTTCTTTGGTTTAAGTTTGTCTGTTGCAAGACAGAGTGTATTTTTCTTGCATTAAGATTTCTTTAAGCAAAAATTATGAAAATCAACTTGTAAAAATGAATTATATTAATCACATGTAAATTATTTTACAACAAAAATAAAGCCTAAAAGTTTTGAACTTATGCTTTCATGCAAATTTATGAAAGATGAGATAGTTGAAAAAATTTAAATGATACTCTTGGCAAAGTTAAACATTAATAATCCTTATTGGAAGGGGAAACTACTTTGAACTGTGCTTCTGTCAACAACAAAATAAAACTAAAAATTGTTGATCACTCCAGAAATTATTGAAATAAATGTAAATGTAGTAAACGAACAATGTATAACAAGCTTTATGATATTTCTTACTTCATCACCACAAACAAGGTATTCATTAATGGTATAAATTTAAGGTTACATGTTTTCAGTGTTAAATTAATATGTGATTCACAGAATCACATATGATTTACAGTTGGTGGACAGCTTTCCACAAAATATACATTTAGTAAATTAAAACATATCTAGTACCTTTATTCTTTCATGGTTACTGTCGTTATCATCAAAACATAGTTGAATGTATAGGTAAGGAGTATCTCAAATTTGTTGCAGCAAAGCACAAGTCTTTTCCTGTTACCAAGCATGCCATCATTACGTGTTAAACAAGGTCAAAAGGTATGTTTGTTCAGGAAACCACTTTCCATGCAGGCATAAACTGGGCTAAGAGTAGCACAGGAAAGTCACATAGCATTAACTCACTTCCTGCACCCATTGAAATCAACCACCTGCATTGTTCTCCCTCTGATTCTTGATTACAAATTAAAAGATTTGGCAAATACAAATGCCTTCTCCTACAGTAAAGCTGCCTCGTAAAAGAAAAAAAACTTTCTGAAAACCAACCACTAGTCACTATGATATAATCAGAAAATATGAAACAAAAATTTTAAACAGAAAATATGTAACAAAAATTTGAACCAAAAAAATTGGAAAAACAGCAGGGGGATTTCTTAACAAGAATTTAAGATTATCATAGCTTGTAACTCAACCTTGTCAACAAGCCAAATGTACCAGTATCTAAGTAAAAACAATCTTGCTCAAGCTACTTGCCCTTTGACACCACTCATAACAATGAATTGACTCAAATAACCAAGATGAACAATGTACAACTGAACCCGACAACATTTCCATTATAATACCTCACAATATCCTTGCAGTTGTTAAAATGGTATCCAGTAAATGATTTAAGAGTCAAATTTATATCAATCCTGTTAATATTTTTAAGGGATAAATGAAGTCTAACATACTGCATTGATTAGAATAACTTTTTTCCACTCATATCTTTGAGTTGTTTTTGAAACTCATATGTTACATTACCCTAAATAACTCAATTTGCCTTGAAAGACCAATGACGGCCAAAATATATCCCCAGTTAACACTGATGTTGCAAAGAAGTTATTACTATCCTTTTATCATTGTATGTGTGTTTAGCTGGTTGACCCAAATTTGGGGCATTCTTTAGCTTGAGTTATGATCTTATCTTGATTTTATTGAAAGCTATTTCATAGTAATTGTAATTTTAGGTATGATTTTATTTTTAATCCAGTGGATGTTCATGAATCTACATTAATGCATAGTTTTCATTCTATTATTGAAAGAAAAGCTACAGCAGCTATAGTTAACTAACCACATACTCTCTCACCCTGATAAAGAGCCAACCCTCAAAACATCAGCTTTAAAAACTCCTTACAGTGGTCAATTCATGTCACCACCTCAGTTTATAAAAGCAAATAATCTTGTAATACCTTCCACAGACAAGGCACCACTAACAGTTCTTTAGAAAACTATCCCTCTTTACTCTCTCAGTAGTCAGAAGTTGTGTGCTATCATGAGGATAAATTCATTGGCAACCTTCTAATTAGGTGATCTGAATGACTGAGCTGCAAAATGGAGAGCTATAACAGAGTGGGGGGACTGGGCATATAACCACAGTTTTCCATGTTTCCAACTCTTTCTTATTTTTTCCAGATTTAAAGTAGTTTTTCAGTATATTTTACACTCACCTGGTCTGGAGGCAAGTGGTACCACATCAGAAGCTTCTATTGCAGAGCTTGCAATAGGAAGGGCATTACCATCCTCCTCTGTTTGGTCTTCACTACTTACAGCTTCTGCACTCTTTGTTCTCGGGCGTCCACGAGAATTCTCAAAGGGAGCCAGATATGTCACCCCTTCACTAATCAACTCATCAATGTAGTACTGAATCACTTCTTTTCCCTGATGAATGATAACGTAAGAATTTCTGATGTCATAAAACACAACATTTGATAATAATTTTTTTTTCTGGTAAAAGGATCTGTGGATACTGGGACTAACGAGTTTCATGATATTAGTGTTAAACACTTGGTAAAACCCTTGCAGCTTGTGAAGGTGGTGATTTAAGTGAACTAACGAGAGACAGATGGTAATTCAGCTTGTTAACTGCAGCTACTGTTAAATTTCACAACATAAACTACCCCTAAAGTACTACGTAACATAAAATAAGGAATCAGTAAGCCGATGAATGGTAAGTGCTTACAGCACAAGTTCCCAAAATGTGATGTTCATTAACTCAACCTCCTGTAAACTCAAATAACAATAATTTTCTAAATAAACTGAGGTACTGCCTTGCTGAGAAAAGGGGGGAATTAAAGAAAATTTGGTCTTATCATGGTATTGGCCACTGTAGAGAGTTTCTAAAGCTAACAGTTTTTCACCACAGTATGAGGATTAGGTAGCTGCTTAGAAGAGATACAGGGGAGATAAATTTCTACGTAACCTATGGTACTGCCTTGCTGGGGCAAGGGGGGAATTACAAGATAATTTGAATTTATCATGATATTGGCCTCTGTATAGAGTTTCTGAAGCTGGTGTTACAAGCATTAACCCTTCACTGTTCACTCTGACAGGGGGTCAACATTCAAAACATAATTCAGTTTTAGAAGCTCTTTACAGTGGCTAATTAACTTGATCATTTCAGTTGATAAAACAAAATCACCAAGAAGTAAACAGATAGAGGATTACTATGAAGAACCCCAAGATCACCTTCTTGATGTTCTGAAGATACAACTTGATGGCCAACTTCTCAATGGCTGCCTCAAAACCAAAGAATGACTTGATGTCCAAAGTGGCATCCTGCTCAAAACAAGTCCAGTCAGGATTGTCGGGATGAACCTAGAAAGCCAACAATGGTATGAATTAACAAAGGATACATATATGCAAAGACATAACAGATAGCACAAGTGATGCTAGATCAAGAATTCTGAGCTCATTCTCAAACTTATCAGTAAAAGTTGTGATCTTGATCTGACACCAAATTCTCACAATTTATTTATAAGCAGATGTGCAGCTAGAGGGGTGAACAAAGATACTCACTCATTCCAGACCTACTATTATTATCTCATAAATGTAGCACTGAGTAAGACTGTTCCTCTCTGTACAAAATAATTAAACAGATTTTTCTTGTGCATCATTTAGAGTCAATTTTCTATATCTTCAATGTAAATAGGGGATGACTTGGCAAAGTTCTACTTTAAGCAAAAGCATCTTGCATATTAAAAGTTAAGCATAAAAAAGCTTTTATTCAAAATATATATATATATATATATATATATATATATATATATATTATTCAGCTCTATCATTCTGTGTTTTTAGCCCGCATAAAATGAGACAAACACCTCAAAAACAACACACAGTATTACGCATTACAGAAAATCCCTGCCGAGAATGTAACCTTGCAGATTTCATACTCATACGAAATTTTGCCAATTGGAAAATGCTATGTCTAGTTCTTTCCATGCCTAAGTATAACAATTCAATAATAATACTCTTCAAAATATAAAACATCAGCCAATACAAATGAAAAACACCGTTCCCAGATTATTCCTAAAAATTTAAATTTATAATTTAAACTTTTTTAAATTTAAATTATGCCAAAACATGACCCAAACAAATCTTCTTACAAGCCTGCTACACATTACATCACTTTCTTCTGGGTATGCACAAGGCTCCTAGTGTTATTAATAATATTTGGGTAGAAAGCTGATAATCATAATTCAATAAATTATTTATTACTTCCAATCCAAATAAGCAGGTATAATAACATCATATCGGCCCGTGAAAACTTTGGAATAGTCATTTGTGGTTTTACCTGATTGTAATGCAAATTTTCCCGTGGGACAGGAGACAAGTGTTTATCCTTAAATCTATAAAATGTTCGTGCACTACCAAAAGACTTTGGCACTGTTTATTTCATACTCATCTTGCGGTGTTTACTTTGAAGTCATTGGCAAAATCTCAAAGTAGACTATCACAAACGTAAATTGCAAGTTACGTGAATTTAGTGTTAGTTGCTGAGACAATATCAAACTTGGAGAAAAAAAATGAGACTTTAATTTAAAATATGTGGACAGAAACTTCTCGATTTGCCCTCTTCGCCTTCGGGCAGGTGACGAAGGAGCAAATAAACTTACCGAATAGAAGCAGTGTTCTGTGACAGAAACACGAGACGAGAAGCTCTCGTTGAAAGCAGTGATTGTCAAAGTCCTTTCGCGCCGGTCGAGACAGTTCGTTTGATTGAAATACACATACTCCACGCCAATAATCTGCAGCAAAATGAAATTTTGGAAAAATTTAAACCTGCACCAAGATTAAAAAATTATTTCTGAACCACCCTTCCTTCCGATATCATGAAGATGTCGATCGAGCCGTATCACAGTCCTAGATAATTCAGTATCGAGTACCATGTTTTGATGTTTTCGACAGTCACGTCATGATAACAACTGATCAACTGTACAACAAATTTCTATGCACGAGGAAATCAAGCAAGTTACTAGCCAAATTTACATTCGTAAGAGAACTGCGTTCACACAACCCACTGGTGTATTTCCTTTAAGTTAAAGATCTTTCTTGTTTAGCTACAATTCTGGTCAATACTTACTTTCTTTAATAGATACGGAGCATCTACATCGAGTTTGCATCTCCTTTCGATGTTGTGTACCGCGCCGTCTTCGCTCTTATACTCTGACAAAATATCGCTGCCAAGAAATACTGGAATCATTTTGCAAGTAGGAAAACGCTTTTCGTAAGCCTGTAAAAAAAATGAGTGAGAGTTCATAGATTACAGCCGCGAAATTGATTCTCTAACGGTGAAGGTTTATCAGTTGGACAATTAGAGGCATCGTATTTACAACCAGGCGCCGCCGGTCGCTGACTCAACTATTACACAATTAATTCTACTTGAAGGCAATCACCAAGTGAACGTGAGATTACTAGTTTCATTAGCTTCGTATCGATAAAAGAGCTATTAAGTATAATCAGTGTGATCGGATTGCGTAAATAAAAAGAGAGAATGATTCATCGAAAACTTCACCAAATGAATGAAAACGCTAAACTACTCACCGCCATGACTATCTCAAAAGGGTACTTATAAACCCTTACGGGCGACTGGTATTCTTGCACCATTTTAACTGCTAGCGGATGAAGCTAAAACTAAAGAACGAGCTTTCAAACCAAAACTGATTTTACAAGGCACGCCGGTGTTAACACACCACCGACATGTTTGCCTGCGTCTATACAGGAAGATGAAGATCGACAAGGAAACAATTCTGTGGGGTGGTGGGAGTAACAAGTGACGTCACTACTTAGTTACCACGCATTTCAGCAATGGCGGTGAATCCTGGTATCGTCTCGTAACAGTAACATTATCTTTCGTCGACTATTATTTATTTCCGCCACTTTCAAGATATTTGACATCTGCTTGCTTATGCAAGGTAGTGGTCTCAAGCAACCATATTCCCTCGGAAAGTCCTTTGTTTCAATCGAGTGACCATATCACGTGAATAACAGCTTCCGTGCGTGTCACGTTCAAGAAAAGTGTCACAAGATTTCTCTCACAGAAGATTGAATAACTATAGCAACTTATTGCATAAGTAAGTTTGAACCGCAACTTGAAAGAGCCCCATCGGTTTCGGAGTTCAATTCAAACATGAAAGACCTCCAAGAGGAAGGATATCGCCCCGCACCAACGGAAAGTTCGCCTTTGCTACAAAGTGGGGCAACTAGAATGACCTTGACAGGCGCTAGAAAGAGCGACAAGACACTCGATGCAGATAAACTCGTCAGAACTAAGGAAACAACCATGAAGTGTCTCCATAAATACCTGCCAATAACTTCATGGCTTCCGAAGTACTCGTGGGAAAGCCTTCTGAGGGACATCATTGCTGGGTTGACTGTTGGATTGATGGTGGTTCCGCAAGGATTAGCGTATGCTACTATAGCTGGGCTTCCCATACAATACGGTCTTTACACTTCTTATATGGGGTGTTTTGTGTATTGTGTGTTTGGTGGCAGTAAAGATATCACTCTTGGTCCCACAGCTATCATGTCCCTAATGGTCGATCGCTTTGCCAAAGAACAACCTCTCTATGCTATAGCTCTGACTCTTTATTGCGGCATTGTCCAGCTTTTGATGGGTCTTCTGCGACTAGGTTTCTTGGTTCGTTTTATCTCTCTGCCAGTTATAAGTGGCTTTGTGTCTGCTGCAGCTATCATAATTGGCTTTGGCCAGGTGAAATCATTGTTAGGGTTAAAGAAAATACCAAGAGAGTTTGATAAAAATGTGTATGAAACATTTAAGAACATTGGAAAAACAAATCTGTGGGACTTTTTGCTAGGGTCATGCTGTATTGTGATATTATTAATTTTAAAGAAACTGGGTCGAGTCAAGTGGCAGGAAGAGGAGGATATGACCAGATTACAGCGAGGGTGCAGGAACTTCTTGTGGCTGGTTTCCATTGCAAGAAATGCCCTTGTTGTAATTATGGCAGCACTTATTGTGGCAGCAGTAGATTCTTCTGGACACACAGTCCCATTTTCCATGACAGCTGAAGTTCCTTCAGGAATTCCGGATTTTAAGGTTAGTTTCTTATGTTATGCAAACCCTTGAAGCAACATTGGCAGGCAAGTTAACAAACACTCTTTCTGACCCTATGGAAAGTAATTGGTGAGGTATAGTGAGGGAGAGGGAGGGGTTAGCCAAGGGTAAAAGGGAAGTGGCCAAAACTGTTCAAAACTGTTCATCAGCTTTCTGAGGAAAGGCTTTTTATTTGCCTGTAGGTACCTTAAAAAACCACTATGGTATAAACACAAAATGTTTGGTTTACAAAAGGTTTAATTAGGGGTAATAATTTTCAAAATGAACCTGTAACCAGGTGGATTCATAAAGACATAATAATGTAACTCTAGGTAAAAATTATGCATAAAACCTAAAAATTTGAAACCCTGATGTTTTGGCCAAAACCGTGGCCTTCATCAAGGGGAATGATGAGAACATTTTAAAAGTGTTCATTGATAAAGTTCGCACAAAGTTGAAACACTCAAAAAACACTCTTCAGCTAACAAACTGTAGTGGTTATTCATGCTCTACACCTTTTAGATGTTCTTCCAATTGAAATGCAAATTTGCTCTTTGTCTCAGAAATGTATAATGAGTGAGTGTACTTTTCTGCCTGAGCAGAAATTACATGTTTCGTTTCTTTGGATAGGTCATCGTTAAGTTAAGAGTGGAATGTTTTAAGGGTGATCTTTTAAAATCTTAAGCCGAACAAAGTCCATCAGAAATCCACCCATATAGAGAGACATCTGTTGTTTCACTTGCACCACCCAGTCATACACAAGAAGACTATTGTCAAGACTTTAATCTGACCTAGTTCTACTGAATCTTTGCCTCCCCACCAAAGGCCAGACAGATATTTTGTTTAGATCAGGAGGCATCAGGGAGTAAAATTAAAACACAGAGCTACTTAAATTTAAAAAAAAATATGAGCTGGTAGTCTCTTGTGAAATCATTCAATATTTGGTGAAAATAACTTTTTTTTAATTGTTCTTTATGTTGCTCTGTTTAAATAATGTAACTATGAAGTGCACTGATTGGCTCTCTTGAAAGTGATTAGCCACATACAGCTCAGCAGCTCAAGAGTCATAATTGTGAATCAGGAGTTAAATTTCCAACCATTTTTTATTATATAAACAGAAATAAATTATTTTTTTATTCTTTTTTGTACATACTAAAACAATTATTCATTTCATTGTTTTGAAAAAGGTGGATAAATAATTACCTCCTCTTTGTCAAATAATCATTAAATACTTAATCATTGCTAAAGTGCCTTGGCCCAATTTTTAATATTTGCATGGTTAAAGATTTGTTGCGATTAGACGTGTTAGTTTCTTGGATAAGGAAGATGAACTATATCTTCTCTGCACTTGTTAGCAGGGAACGTTAAAGAACCCATGTGCTTCTTGCTAGGAGTAGGGAACACAGCCACCAGTGTTGTGGTCTGACCTTGTCATTGTTTATTCAGGCTCCCATTTTAACCAGTTTTAAGAGCCCAGCTGGACCAGCCTGTTTAAATATTGCAAATGAACAAAGTAATTGAAAGAGGGAAAATCCCAGAGGATCATCAAATAGCCTGAAATGGGCAACAAAATAAATAATAATTTAAGAGGTTTATGAGTACCACCAGTAAACTCTTTCTCTAACTGAACCCCTCCAATTCTTAAACTGTTTAACTTTCATTCTCTTTCTCACAAACCTTGGAGACCTGCTGACAAGGGGAATTAGGATATGTATTCTACTAAAACTTTGGATGAACATGTTTTCAAATCTTGTGAGCACACTGGATGTGTGTCACATGAACCATGTTTAGTGTCTCAGCTGTGATGCATGGTCTCAGTAAAACTGGTGGAAGGGAATCCAAAATTCTAATTGGAAGGGCCAAACTTTTCCTCCATTAGGAGCACTCAGTTGTTATCTAGAATACTTGCAGCATTCATGACTAAGAATATCAGAATTTTGTTGCTTGAACATTGTTAGACTGGAAAAGTACCTTTCTACGGTGTACACATTCATATGTCAACAACAGCAAAAAAAAAAAACTTGTTTCGGCATGTGAAGATGTCAGTTTTCATCATGTTATTCAAGTTGATTAAATAACCCTAAGGGTTGAGTTACGAAAGATGGCCACATGACAAACTTTATACAATGAATTTGGTACAGCACGCGTAAGCAAACTTCCTGTTCATGCAGACAGTGTGAATCCAGAAAATATGGCCACATGACAAGCTACCTACCGTGTGTGCGAAATCACTTTTCTGTGTAGATAATGACTCTAGAAAAATTGGCCTCATGACAGAGTACATGCTGTGAAACTGTGAGAAACTGTGAGAAATAAGAACGACTTTGTTTAAAATGGCAAGATGCAAACTACATGTTAGGCCGGAAACTATGTGTGAAATCTCTTATTTAAGAAGTAAGTAAGATACTCTATAAAAAATAACCACACGAGAAACTACAAGCTGTGAAACTGTGTGTGAAATTATTTTTCCATGCAGAAACTGTGAATTCACAAAAATTTCCACGTGACATTGTGTTGGGGAACCCCGTGTAGAAATTACTCTTCTCTGCAGACAATGAAATCTCAAAATCTTACAGGAATAAACAAAGCAAAAACGTAGAAAAGTGAAGGGAAAGACACTTCGCTTAGTCTGTAGATTTAAATCAGTTCTACTCTCTTCACTCGACCTCATACCGCACAAGTTTCCTCATCATTGATGATATTCAGTAAAAGAGATCTAACAGAAATCAATTGACGTGTTCAAGCCGAGTCATTGGAAGGATGTTTAACTGAATATGTGAATGTTCTGGCGCTAATGCATGTACTGGTTGATACTGGGTATCACTGTTTTTCAATAATAAATGTGTCAGTAACTGCAACAAATTGTTTTTCGAACAAATCGCTCTTAGTTAAATTTCAGGCACATGCTTTAAATTTTATAAACCCTATCTCATAGGGAGTTTATCTTGATTAACGACTGGTTGAAGATAATGAGGCAAAATAGTGGCGAGAATACTTTATCATCATTTTAAACATGGGGAATCCTCAAATTAATAACATTTATGTTACGAAAATGCCAACAGAAATTGCCAACCTGTTCAGATTTCAACTTGGAAAAAATTAATTTAGAAAAGGATTATCTTGACTGCCCCTTCACCCTACAAAAAAATCCGGATAAAACGAAGTTTCCGTCGTGGGAATTCGATCCATCTTATTTTTCACGTATTGTTGGAGATCGGTATAATTATTAAATCTTGATGACAACGCGAACTTTGAACTCCACACTTAAAAAAAAAACGCGACAATTAAAGCGTTAGAGTGTAAAGTACAATAGGCTGTTTTTATTTTTGTTTTTGCGAATTGACTGAGATGTTTTACAAATTAAACCACGCCTGTACTCACCCAACAGCAGTCATTTATTCACCTGTTATCGTTGGAGACATCTGGTCCACTTCGAAAATTGACCTATCATGACTGCTGAGGAACAGTACGTTTACACTCAACCTTGCACGCGTACATCTCACGTGCAGGTCCCTTGAAAGAACCGCACTATACTACCACAACATGTTTTCGATGTTTTTATGCTTAGTTCACGTAAGCGTGTGCAGATACATATATTTCTAACGTACTCGTGTGAAAACGCTGTTTCAAAAGTTTTTTCTGTCAAGACCCTCTCCTGCTATTTTTTTTAATTAATATTAAACAGGAAACGGTTTTCCATTTTTCTGCATTTTTCTTACACCGAAAGAATTCGATGCATTTGCTACACCCTTCTTTCAGTAGTTTTTTATTTTATTCGGATTTTTTGGATTGATGGCTGCATCGCATTTGTAGGACTACTCAAAGCCCTGATCTTTCTTAACAACGCCGGGTATTCTGATCGAGTTGGAAGAAATTATGGAAGAGAGTTGAAAGAAAAGAAAAGTAGATTCAGCTAAGAATTATTTTAAGAACAAACCTCATAAAAATTGCCGACCAATCTCTGAAAAGGCGGTTGGGTCGGGAAAGAGTTCGAATTTAGGAGAAAAAGCGGTTACGTAACTTGGTAGCCGTTCGTATACTAAGAAATGTGAAAACGTGTTTTGGTGAAGCGAAGATAACACAAAAACAAACAAAATGAGTAGACGAAGGAATTAACTTATTTTATAAAAGTGGTCAAATGAAGAAGAAGTACGAATAACGTGGTTTGGTGGTGAGAAGTGATCAGCTGATTTGCAGCCTGTCTTTACGTCGCCAAAAACAAGAGGTGAATCACGTGAAAAGGATGGTTTTCAAACTGCCCATAAAATTATTGCATTATTGTCAGTGATTGCAGAAAGGAAAATTTTCATTCTGCAGAGTTCGTCAGCTCTTGTGCGGTGAAATGGCGGTGGAAAAAACTGGAAAAGAGGTGAGTACTAAAACGCCCACGATCTATTTCAAGGGTGATCTCACATCATACTAGAATTTCGTAGAATGAAAGTTTTCTGTTTTAGAAAAAAGCGTTCTCGAAAAATGCTATGCGATGCTTTCAATTGACCGATGAAAGGTTAGTTGTCGATTTCCAATCGGTTTTTTCCTTCGTTCCTTGAATTCTGCACAACTTGAACTCCTCTCGTTACTAAATATTGGATTTTAATATATGCAAACATTGTCTCTCTGATTGTTTAGTAACGCCGGCAACCATGTGAATACATGAATAGTTCAATTGGACATGGTTGATTGGTGGGTTTTCCCAAATGACCTGCTTGCCGTAGGCTAAAACAAAATGCAGAAATCAAAACTTATACAACTCAGGTGATTACCGAGTTATTTCGCTGTGACCGGTGCCGATGCCGTTCAGTATCACTCCGGTTCGAAAGCCCGTCAGCGTGTCATTTTAACATGAGTTGCTCTGCTTTACAGGGAAAATGCATGGAACACTGTTTTCCATTACCGGTGAAGGCGTTTGTGAAGAAGCGCTTTCCAATCGCGTCTTGGCTGCCAGAATATAATCTTAGGAAGCTACAGTGCGACATGATTGCCGGCTTAACTGTTGGTCTAATGGTAGTTCCTCAAGGTCTTGCTTACGCTCAACTGGCCGGACTGCCACAACAATACGGACTGTATTCGGCGTTCATGGGCTGTTTCCTTTACTGTATTCTAGGCACGAGTAAAGATATTACTTTGGGTCCGACTGCGATTATGTCGCTAATGGTATCCGCCTACGGGAAACCCGAAATACCTAATTACGTTGTCGCTTTAACTTTCTATACTGGAATACTCTTACTCGCTATGGGCCTTCTTCGGTTGGGATTCGTTGTAAATTTTATTTCGATTCCAATCGTGAGTGGGTTTACTTCCGCGGCGACCATAATCATCGCGTTCAGTCAGCTGAAAGATTTGTTTGGATTACAAAAAATTCCTCGTAAATTTACACAGAACGTGTACTACACCTTCAAGAATATCGGTCAGACAAAGAAATGGGATTTAACATTGGGGTTAATATGTATAATGATTCTGATAACCCTGAGGAAGGTTGGACGACTCGAGTGGGTGAGCCGCAAGGACTCGAGCGACTCCAGATGGTTGAAGGCGGCAAAAAAGGCGGTTTGGCTGATTTCAATCAGTAGAAATGCTCTCATTATTTTGATAGCTGCAGTTGTTTCTTCGTCTCTCTATCAGCATGGCCACAAAGATATTTTTACTTTGCCATCGCGCATTAAACCCGGTCTTCCACCTATGCAGGTAATTAAATGTTTGCTTGATATTTTTCATGATCATTTGAAGTGACACCTCATCGATGTAATTGCTCTACCGGTCAAGTATATAATTCGCTTCACAAAAAAATGTTAAACATTTCGTGATATAAGTGAATTTGATTTAAATCTCTACGGATGACTAAGGAACCTACAATGAGAATGTCACATCGACTGAGAGTTTTCGCGTGAATTCTTAAACGGTTGAAACGCTCATGCTCTCGGTCAAATTTTTAAATGGAAGGTAAGCAAAGTCTCTTTCGCGGCCTCTGATTGGGCAAAAGCTTAGGAATTCTTCCAAGCGCGCGAAAAATCCCTTGGAAACGCTAGCGATCGTCTGTTCCAAAAGTGAATTTTTTTCATTCAGAAAATAATTATTTCACATGATCTTGATGTGTTTTGGCTAACTACATGTTTAAGCTAAATGTAAAATACCAAATAGTATGTCCAGAATTATGTCACTAAACTTTGCGTTTGCCTAGCTACTCATTTTAATAGTTGGTACAACTGACTTTTCCCAATTAAAACAAAGTGAAGAGCAAGTAAATAACATAAAGTAACAAGTTATGCTAATTCCAATTTTTTTTTCCACTATCAACCACAGATTCTAATGATTTGAAAAATTTGACCAGGTGAACATCTGTTTATGATTGTTTTGTTTTGTTAGAGAATTTTTTTTCATTGATCTTACATTTAGTACAAGAAAATACAAGAACTGAGAGAAGGAATAATTTCTTTAAAGCATTCATTCACAGTATTTGAAAACAAATTTCCTTTAGTAATCTCTTGCAAGCAACCTTTGAAGTCACACCTTGAAATTTTTATATTCCAATTTGTGGATTAGAAAGTGTTTAAATGTGTCTATTCTTATATTTTTTTTTTTTTTCTAATTGCAACACATATGTACAAAATTGTATTTATTAATAGTCAGAAGCAATGTGACTCTACATCACCATGCAAAGATTGTTCTTAGAATTTTATTCTTCAGTTTTTTTTTTCCTTGCCAATGCTGCATGATGATTGTTTTACTTCCTTTCACCTTTTAAATTTAGTAGCAAAAATCAATTACCTTAGATACACCCACTGGTAATTGCAGTGATGATGTAATAGAAAAAAAGCAATAAGAAAAAAGGAATATTCCAATTTAACAGCATGTAGCATTAGCATATGGAATAAGTATATAAATTGTTTTTTAAATTTTGGACTTTCTTGGAATTTCTTAAAAAAAAACTGATACTCCAAGATATTTGAAGTAATTTATCACTGGAAATTCTGTGAAAATTGTTCAACTCCTGGGCATACAGCCAGTGGGTAGCTTTTATATGTTAATAAATTCCTGTTTGGCCTTTTCCCCTTTTTTTTAATTTTGCTTTTAACCTTTTTTCTATGACAACACCATTGCAACAGGGTGTATGCATATATTAATTTCAAGGTTTTAAGATAGAGTCTTTTAACTTGGAGAATGTACATAATAACTACAAATTCCTTCATCTGAACTTATGAATTTTATTGACTATAGAAAGAAAGTGAGAAAATGGTTTTGAGGTCTCAAATTTGAGAGCTGCTTGAAAATTTTTACTGAGTACAACACTTTTGTGAATCATTATTAGTGAATTGGTATTCGTGATTACTAAATGTCTATGGTATGCAAATGAATTAAAAAAGAGGAGAAAAGGGGTATGATTAATGAGAAACTCATAGACCATCTTGCTTGCAAACATAGACCCTACCACTTCTAAGCAAATTATATTTACATAAAACATCACTAACTCTTTTAAGTATTCCTGAAAGAAGTATGATGATTGAAATTCAGTAAATATGAATAAGGGAGAATAATAAATATCTGTGCTATAACTATGTAATTACATTCAATGAAATAATGGAGATTGAATATTTTGTATATACTGAAGAAGCCTTCCTGAAAAGCCCCATCACTATTGACATCACTTCCCTTTTAACACAATTTAACCCTCTAACTCCTAAGATCTTATAAGTAATTCTCCTTACTGTCTGCCAAATGATTCTCAATATGTTAGCTTGAAGAATTTAGTAACCCCGTAATTGATATTTTTCTTTATTCTCATCACTTGTCTGCATGACATTGTATAGATATGGTGAGGAGAAATTCTGTCTTGGTCACTCATGTGAGTTAAAAGGGTTAAAAAAGGATGGAGATAAAGATGCTGGGTAATTTGTTAAGGGCTATCCTGCAGTTTTTGCAAAAGTGAAAACAGCATTCAATGATGATTCTTTGTACCAGAAGGGGCAGGTGGGGGGAGGGGGGTGAGTGTGGGAGAATCTATGGGGAATAGGAGGGGTATAGAAGGGGTATGGGAGAGGAAAGGGTCAGGGGGTGAAAGTGAGAGGGTTAGGGGTGTGGGTGGGGGTGTAGGTGTGGGAGAATCCATGGGGAATGGGAAGGTTATGGGATAGGAAAGGGCATAAGTGATTCTAGTAACTGGTGAGACAGAAGTTGAAGGTGTGAGAGGTTATTGGTTATTTCAGGGTACTGTCACTAGTACTCTCACAGTTTCAAAATATCAAACTTCATTTTCTTTCCTTAAATTTTACAGGCACCTGCTCTGAGCTTTCAAGTTGGCAATGCCACAAGAAGTACTCTGGAGGTGTTTAAGGACCTGGGACCTGGTCTAGCTGTGGTTCCCCTTATTGGCTTTCTTGAGAGCATTGCAATTGCCAAGGCTTTTGCTCGCAAGAATCGCTACACAGTGGATGCCAGCCAGGAGCTGATTGCCCTTGGTGTTGCCAATTGTCTCAGTTCATTTGTATCCTCCTATCCAGTGACTGGAAGCTTCTCTAGGACTGCTGTGAATGCTCAAAGTGGAGTGGCAACACCTGCAGGAGGTTAGTTTCCAAGTCAATACCAATTTTTCATGGATTTTTTTCTTCTATAATAGCAAGCCACAGGTTTCCGTTGGTAGTAAATCATCAACCTTCTCTTTTATAATTATAACCATAACTTTCAAATTAAGACTTGAACCCAACAGTTAATCTGTCGAGTGTTACTTTTGGTTCAGTATCCTATAAGGGCCTTTCCACACAAGCAAACAAAACAATAATTCTTGAGACAAAATCAAAGGACAAATTTTGCCATGTTTTGCCAAGTTTTGTTTTGTCTGTTGCTTCTGCATTAAGAGTTTCAAAGCCGTCAAACTCTGTCAGCACCTGACCTGTTCAGAAGATCAGCCAGCATAATTTGGCAATGGATTCCACCTCCAATTTCCAGGATTTATCTTAAGTCCTGATTTTATAATCCCTTAGTTTTGTAACAAAAGAAAATTTTTGCCTCTTTAGTCAACTGATTTCACTTCAATTACAAGCTATTCGTAACTTTTACAAAAAATGCTCAACAAGTTTATCACAGTTCTCTTTATTTAATCGATTTTGTCCAGTTGTTACTCAGGACAAATTTTGATGGTGGTGCGTTTGAAGATTTGTCTGCTTCAGCCCAAATTTGTCATGTCATGGCAAACCATCCGCACTTGTAAAATGTTAGTGATGACAAAATATTTGTCTAAATAAACACCTTTTTCACTAGTGCAGAAAGGCCCCTATCTTGAGAATTTTTTCATTCTCCAGGATTTGGCAAATTTCCAAATAATTAAGTGGGAGATATGATGAACAGATGGATAATTCTGAATTCTGGATTGATGGGGTTAGGTCAAGCTCCGGTCATGGCCTTGAGTGAGACTCTTTCTCCTTTTGATGTTCCACCACTGGTTGTTCAAAGGTTGAATAACACTCTCCACTAGGTGAATCTCTATCCAGTGGATACAGTGGCTTGACCAGGGTTGGGTCAAGCTCTGGCCATGGCCTTGAGCAAAACACTTCCTCCCTTCGATATTCCATCCTGGCCCAGGTTGTTCAAAGGTTGAGTAACACTATCCACTGGATAGCATTTTATCTGTTATTGGCTCTTTATACAACTGGACCCTGTAGTATAAATTTTAAAAAAAGGAAAGTCTGGCCTCAACCCAAGCAGCTCATCCAGCCAGAGTTTTATCCTGACTTCTGTATTGTGAAGCTACTTGGAGAGTTGCTTCCTTGCCCCCTTTGGATGGTATAGCTCTCAACTGCAGGTTATCTTGGGTCCTCAGCATGCTAAGCTTTGGGCCACCACCCAAAAAAAAGAATTCTTAAAGGGAACAAGGTGAAATATTGAGTACCTATTCACCTTTGAGTAGCAATATTGTCAGTTACTTATGCCTCAGAAACTGAGATACCTCCTGGCTTCTGTATCCTGGTTAGTCCTGTATGTAGGCTGAAATTGATGACTTTTATACATGTGGTTCCTTTCAGGGATTTTCACAGGTGCCATTGTTCTCTTAGCACTTGGGCTCCTGACAGACTCCTTCAAGTATATTCCAAAAGCATCCCTTGCAGCACTGATCATGTCATCAGTGGTAACCATGATTGAATATCACATTGTGCCAAACATCTGGAAAGTGCGGCGTATAGACTTGGTGCCTTTGGCCATCACCTTCTTTGGCTGCTTTTATGACATTGAAGTTGGAATTTTGGTTGGTATTGCAGTTGCATTGTGCATTCTCCTGTATTATGTGGTCTGGCCCCCCATTACCAGGGTTGCTAGAGGAGACTATGTGCTTCTAAAAATCAATGGAAATCTCAGTTATCCTGGCGTCGAACATCTGACCAATGAGATACAAGAAGTCACAGCCGCTGACCCTACCCCACCTGGAATTGTAATTGATTTTTCAGTGGTCACAAGCATTGACTTCACAGTCTCTCAAGCCCTTCTGACAATTCTGGAAGAGATGGAAAACAAGAGAATTCCTATGTTCTTCTCTGGTGTCCTGGACAGTGTGCGAAATATGATGATCTCCTCTGGGATTGATTCAGGCATTGTTAATCAAGGCACACAAGCTGTCATTGACTCAATTAATTCTTTGGAAATAGTTGAAAATTAAATCAATATTGAAGCATCATTTCTCTCAATCCAGGGTAATGAAGTTTTAGGAAACTATTTTGCTTACAGATTAGGCAAATGAAACACCAAACTTTTGATGGATCCTTTAAATGACAACGGATGATTTATAACACTTTATATGGCAAGCTTTTAGGGGTATCCATTCACCCAAAATATCACTGGAATTACCAGCACATTTATTGGGTGAATGTTTTCTGGGCCATACAAGTTTGCAGTATTGTTAGGAGACATTTTGATACTTTTTGATGATGAAGAGCATACTTCTTTTTCTTATTGTTGGAGCTCAAATGTTCCTTACCTCAGACAAATTTTCAAATATAGGTTCATGGGTTAATCCATTTTTTTTTTTTGTCTTACCAAGAGAAAACAACTGCAAGTCTTCTACTAAGGGCAAGCTGATTAGTTGTGTAAACTATGTAGGTCATATCAATGTGTTTAAAAGGATCACAAGAGTTTAAAAATTTCAAAGTTTGTCATTGTTTTGGAAACGTAGAGGTTTCATTGGTTTAGTTAACTATTAAGTAGGTTAGTCGGAGTGAAATATATTTAGATCATTGTTAAATTTCATTACATAAACCCAGAAAATTATTCATAATGTTATTTAAAGACATAATTTACCAATGATTTTACTTTCAATTCGACACATAAGTTATTTAAAATATATGTCACTGTGCAGAAAGACAGAGTTGGTCTTTAGGTATAAGAAGATAAAACAAGCACCTCAAAAGACAATGTACTGAAAACTTGTCAACAGATACTACAGAAAATTTAGTATGAAAGAAAAAAATAATATCACATATTACAGTCGTTAAAAGGAAAGAATGGTAATAAGCCCTGTACAAAATGTTGATTTGTGAAAAGTCAAATTAAAACAGTGCAATGTATGAGCAATTATTAAATCAATATTCCAACCATGTGAAAAAGGAAGGTTTTGAAGAAAAACAATCTCTATTTCTTGAAAACAGGCAAAAGTTCAATAGTTTTGTAATAATTACTGTGACATTCCTAATTTCTCCTCTCCAAAGTTAGATTAGTTATGAACTTTTCCAAAGGTCAGGCAGGCTAACTAATCAAAAGATGCAAGGCAGAAGAACAGAAATATGGTTAATATTGTTTTAATGATTGCACAATATTTGGTTTGGATTAAAAAAAATATATATTTTTTTAAATTCAAAGCATACTTAAGTATTAAAATGCAGATCTGTGCTCAGTTGTGTTAAATCCATTATATTGTTCATCAAATATATATTAGATTGTGTGAATCATTCCATTTATATTTTTGGTGGGAATAGAGACATATTTTGGTTCAAATAGCTACAAAATAATTTTAGGGATGTACTTTATTAGAAATGTTTTGGTAAAAAATTTTGTACCACAAATTAGTTAATCCTATTTGATGTTGGAATTTATTTGAGACATGAATTGCAGACATAATAATTCATACTGCTCATAAATACTCAATAAATTTATTGAAGGGTTGCAGAAACAGTAGCAATGAAGTATGTCTACTTAGCTAGACAATTGGATAATGTTTTGTGTTGAATGAAATGCAAAGAAAATGTATATTGTAATTTAAGGGCACAGGGTTGAAATAAAGTGAGGACATGACATTTATCTTTTATTCCTCTTTTTCATTCAGCTTACCCTTTGACCCCTACAAGTGACTAACATCTAATTTCTCCTAACAATATCACCCCTGACTTGAATACTAAGGTCACATGAACAAAAGGAAATTTTTACCAACTAAAGAACTTCTTGATTGTTAAACAAATTCTCCTCATCAGTATCTTATGGAGAATATGCATACTAATGTTTGGATGTAAAGGGTTACTAAATTTTCCGGTAACTGATGAATGCACCCCATTGCAAGTTTGCCCCCAATCACTTTTGTGAGTTTGTCCTCGACTTCACCAGTTCACCCCTAGTAACTCAATTCTTTTTTTTAAATTCCTTTCATCATCATGAAACAATTTACATATGGTAGCTTGGGTACACACTGCTAAACATAGTTTGGATACTCAAATCATACAAAATACGACCAAAACAATTTTTTTCACACTTATAAACATGAATAAAGATGAAACTTTTATTGTTTCTTTATGTTTCTTTCATATTTTTTAACTTTTCAGTCAAGTGGCTTGCCTTGTGATTAGTTGATGAAACACTTACAACATTTAAGTGTCTGTCAAGAGTGTTTTTGGGTCAGTGGGAAGTTCAAGGATGAAGCGAGATAGCTTGTTCTTAAAATTTGGTGTGAACAAAAGAACAAAATTGTGTCAAACCCACAATATTAAGACTGGAGTAAAAAAGCGCCCTTTCTTTGATAAAGTGTTTATAACACGGATGGAAATTTGCATGTTGAACGAAGATTGTTATGGTTTTGCTGTGAAAATTATATGTTGGTGGCAAATATATCATGATTTTGATAGGGAATTAATATTTTCTATGGTAGGGAAACAAGTTAAAAGATTTGGGGGGAACTGGTGAAAGTGGGGGTGAACTTGTGCTTTTCAAGGGAGACATTTTTTTTTAAATACAATCCGTTAAGGAGCAAACATTCACCATAAACCAATTTTGCTATGAACTAAACCATCTTCATGGTAATATTTTATACCGACACTTGATGTTGGCATCATGGAAGAGGTGCAATTTACAATATTTTCATTTCAAGGTACAGCTGAAGAATGAGATCAGATTGCAGAAAATGAATTTTAACAACTCACTTCATTCTGATCCAGTCTCATATTTCATATTTTTCATAGCTTAATCAAACAGAACATCACCCAGAAAAGACAATATAAATATATGTACAGCAAACTAATTTCAGACCCGCCCCATGACAAGGATAACTTTTTTACAGTCGGGAGCTTCTTAAATTGGCAATCATTTCTGTTATTCTCATGACCTTTAAATTTGATTGAAGAGTGATACTGTAAGGAGAAATTAGAAGCCAGTCACTCTAATGTGGAAGGACGTTTTTATCTCGTACTGGAACCTCCCCAAGCCCAAAAACAAATATGGTACTCCGTTATGTGCAAACGGAACCATGAAAGGAAGCCTATACCTGCTCTCAGTTCTTCGCGTCTGCTTACGAGTATAATTTTCCACGGGATAAATGCCCATCCGTAAGCTCTTTCTCAAAAGTAGTGCTCGATTCTTAAAAGGTCGCACTACGGTAGTACCTCACCTTTCTTGATACCAACTGTTTCCTCATAGGACGGATAGATTGCGTGACTGTATGCGTCCAGGCCTGGTACGCGTCGGCAAACTTCGTTTCTTTTCGTGCATTCTCGACACTCTCCGGAGAGTTCCATACGATAGCAATCCCCGTATGTAGAGCTGCCGACGTGGCGGACATTTATTGAGAGGCCTGCGTCTGAATCAAACACTCTGCTCGCGAAACCTACTTTCGTGCAGTTGACTGCCCGTTTTATTTTAGGATCTTTTGACCATATGCGAGCAGGATGAACATCTTCAGACTAGCTGGAGATCTCTCACATCTTCTGGCCATTCTAGTGTTATTATGGAAAATATGGAAAACAAGATCGTGCGCCGGTAAGTTAAAGACATCCTTTCAGAAATTGAACAAAACATTTTTCCTGTCCTTTTTCACGATAAATTTCTTGAGGGACATTTATCAGAATATGGCTCAACAAAGGGGTTTGCGTTCGCTAATTTTAACTGCTTTTTAGTTCTATAGTGATGTAAGACGCCAAACCTCTGCAATGAAACACTTGTATACATGTTTGTTGTACCAAGGACTGTTGTCTAATTTTTGTACACGTGTAACAACGGTACGGTGGCTTGTGTTTCATTTTGAGGAGCGATCGTTATAACCAACGTCTATGGAAGTAAAGCTTTACTATTTCACTGATGCAGCTCTGTTGTTCAGGGTAAATTTCTCTTTGATCTTTATTTCGAACACTGAATTAAGATCTCCACGTCCTCAATAAACCCTTTGTACTACGCCTGACTGTTTTCGTGAATAGCAGTCTTGGGATCAGATATCATTTATCATCTGTGGAAAGGCTTCGTTGTCACTCAATCACTCACCAAGAATTTCAGCAGTTTTTCTGGACGATGTTCCACAAAGAGGGACTGTTATTAAACGTATCATGAAACAACTATCCATTTTATCAATTGTCTGAATGAGCCTTTGGCTTCAAATCTTCAATGAACGCTAATTATTTCCCTTAACTTCTAAATGAATAATATTATACTGCAAAATAATTAGATGGTATTAGCAGTTTTTGTGTGTGTTGAAATCATACCCTTTATGAGCCAAAAGCTACCATTTATTTTTCCCTGAAACTAAAGATACCAGGGAATTATCCCCTGTAAATTAAAATTCTAGCTGATACAAAAATTTGTTTCTTTTTTACAATTTTCTCAAATGGAAAAAAGTAGAGTAATTATTATCAATTTATTGTCAAGACAGTGAGGGAGAGAAACAGATGAGGTAGTATTTCTCAGAGCAGAGAATTCAACACGCTAATTTATTGCCAAGTATGCGGATATTTCAAGAAAACTTTGGCTGTAAATATATTTTGATATTTGGAGAAAGTGTAATTCTGGGTCGTCTAAGAACTAATAAGCTGATTTCCTCTTTTGACTGAATTGTGTACAAACATTTAAAAATATTATTGAGAATAATTTAGATAATTGATAAATTTTAGAAGTTTAGAGTTCATTACCTTGCTAGAAAATTAGTGTTGTGTGGTACAGTAATTCTCTTTCTGTAGAACGATAAGAGCAAGGGATTCTTTACAAATGTATTCATGCCAATGAACTATGGTATTGTAACTAACATGGCAGAGGCTTGAATAAAAGCTGGTTACTGGCAGTTACCACTGGCATCTGTTTAGTGTGCAAGGAGGCTCTTGTGCTTGCGTTTTGCCTCACTGCCCCTTTTTCTGGACACAGCTGATTAATACACCATCAGCAGCAGTTTATCGTAAAATTTATTGAAATCCTAAGTGTAGTCCTTTTGCTGCTATGGAGATTTTGGATATTAGATATTTCCATTAACACGTACTTCTTGTATTAAACGCCAAAATACTTTTTCCATCAAATGTTAACTTTTTTCCATTTTTTCAGGTTTGTCAGGCAAGAGTCAAATACTTTTTGCCTTAGTGTTCAGCACACGGTACCTTGATCTGGTTTTGACATTCATCTCAGTATATAACACTGTGATGAAGATCATCTATCTTGTGTGTTCGTTTGGTACTGTTTACCTGATGCTGGTCAAGTTTAAGGCAACATATGACTCCAACCATGACACATTCAGGATCGAGTTCCTGCTTATTCCTGTGGCTGGTCTGGCTTGTTTAGTAAACCATGAGTTCTCAGTTCTGGAGGTAGATTAAGTCAAATAATCAGATAAACTAACAAATTTTGGTATTGTAGAATGTACATTGCCTTAAAGGCTTTTCACTTTGGCAAACCAAAGCCTTTATTCATTCAAATTCACTGACTTTAAAAGAGTAACTTGTCATGTTTGTAATAGACTCACTCAACTATCCACATGGAGAAGAGGTCTTCACATTTCACAAATGTCTTCTTGACTTAACACATCACCAGCAATGACAAAAAAAATTGAACTTATAAAATATATTTGTAGGTCATAGTGATTAACTTTTACTACTCTAGCTATCTACTTCATCTTTTATTTATTTTTTAATTTTTTTTTTATAGTTTTATTCATCTCCTTTTAGCTGGTTTGTTTTTATTAATATTTTGATTATTTTGAGTATATTTTCTTTTTCTTTTTTTTAATCTTTACTGTAATTACTGCAAGTAGACCTAGATTATAAATTAATAACTTAATTTATTGAAAGAATCATTTTAAATTAATGTAATGATGTTTAAAATCTCAGCTTGAAGGTAGCAGAAGAGCTGGATTTTGACAAAATGTCTAGACTTCCAAATTACATGTCCTTTTCAGTGCAAAGTAACTTTGGTAAAACACTTGTGGCTTTAACCCTTTAAACCCTAAGAGTGACCAGCATCTAATTTCTCCTGACAGTAATACTGTTGAATGATTCATTAAGACCATGAGAATAACAGAAATGATCATCAACCTAGGAAGCTTTGATTGATAAACGAATTCTCCTTGTCAACACCAAAGGAAATAAATAAATTAAGAGTATAGAGAATATAGTTACTGATGTCAGGGTGTTAAGGGTTAACTTTAGGCTCTGTCAGATGAGACATTACAATTTAAAACTAGTTACCTCTTACTTTAAATTTAAAATTAATAATTAAGAATAACTACAACAGTAATTCTTGAGAGAGAAAAGGGTAACAAAAAAAAAACCCAAATCCAAACAGCTACACTTCCTCCCATATCAAAACATGATTGAAGTACAAGGAGTTTACAAAGCAAAATCATTCATGCATACATCCTTTGTTTTTTTAAAATTAATTTGGTATTTACATGTATTTGTTTGTTTCAGTACCAGCAATGGCAAAAATTACCACATCCCCCATTCCAAGTTGCTATCGAGGCAAGTTTTTTGACTTGTCTTAAAAATCAGTTTTTCCATTTTTGTTAACAACTAGTATCAAGTAACTGATAACATCGGAACGATGACCTTTTAACTATAACAATAATGACTGATAACATTTCAATAATCACCCATAAAATATTAACTAATCACATTCTAGTAGGACCCTGCACCTATGAGATTCATGTGTAGTGTAAAAAAGAGTGTAAGAGTGCTTTTTCTGTGTGTTCAGTAGGTTATTAGGCTTACCAGCTGTTTTGCTTGGAAAAAGATTAAACCTAAAATCAGAGAAAGCTTATGAAGGAGCTCTAAGGCAAATAGATTTGCAAGATCTTCCGCAAAACTTGGAGTAATTGAGAAATGAAACTTTTTGTGAGATAAGAGTGTTATGCTTGTTCAATTGAAATAGGCTTATGATTAACACCATCAAATATAAAATCACAACTTGAGATGATATTCAAAATTGGATTGGAGTAAAACCTGCTGAAGACTGTAGGGAGTCCAAATGATTTTCTAGTGGCTGTCACATTGGATGACTCATGAAAAAGAAATTTCTTTCATGAAAGGAGGATGTGTGAGATACTTGAGTTCAAGATCATGGGGTCCTACTGAATAACATTTGCACATAACCATCATTTAACAGAACATTCAATACAGTTTTAATAGTCACTGTAATTCCGTTTGTTTTTTAACATTTTGCTGTAAGGGCTAATCCTGGTTTGGTGATTCATGAATTTCAATAACTTTCACTAATAACAACTAAAGGACAATTGAAACTTTCTTCACAATCATTTAATATTTTTCACTTTTAATATCAGGTTCACTTGTGAATTTTTTGCATTTAACCCTTAAACTCCCTTGAGTGAACAAAACAGAATTTCTCCTTACATTATTAATACAGTATCAAACAGGCAAATGATTAGAATAAAGAGAGAGATAAAATAGGGGATTATTAGTTGACCCAAAAGCAAGCTCTCCAAAGTAACATAATTAGATTTGTACAGGTGATGGTAAGGAGAATCACAAATGAGATCTTGGGAGAGGAAGGTTTAACTCAAAAAAAGAATGGTTAATGGTTACTCAATCTGTTAGTTCATCTTGTGTAATTGTCTGGTGAAGGTAGGGCTGTTGTTGGTGATAGTAACTTCTTTGACTGGCTGCACAGGGAGATTTAAGCAGTAGAGTTGTATTCCAATGAAGTGGGATTATTTCACATAAACTTCAGAGATGTTCTCTACTCAGGGTGTGAAAAACATCCAATTGCCATCAACAGGTGTACCTTAACCAGGAAAATAACACCAAAATAAAATGAACTACTGTGTACAAGTGTTTTTAGGGTGCTAGGGTAGATGAAACTATTTTATGTATAGTCATTACAAAGATGATTGAAACACTCATAACTGCCTTAGCTTGAAATCTTTGGGAAATAATATATTTTCCCATTGTACTAATTTCCGCTAATTTCAGTCAGTGGTATAAATGCACAACACTCCTAGAAACCTAGTTTTGTCTTTATAATTATCACTTCATTTTCAGGAGTAGTCTTAATTTTTGTACTTGCTCATCACATTTGAATATTTAGGTTTTCACAGACAAAATGGAGGTTTAGGACAAGAAGAGGCTTTTTGGTGATAAGAAATGCCTCCTTAACAACAATTTCCTTTTCAACTGCTTTTCTTATGCTATCATCAAAGGAACTATATTGTAATTGTGATTTTATTGAAGCAGATTAACTCTCTCTGTAGATCTTGTGGACCTTCTCCATCTACTTGGAGTCAGTAGCCATCTTGCCCCAGTTGTTTATGATATCAAAGACTGGTGAAGCTGAGACCATCACCAGCCACTATTTGTTTGCACTTGGTGCCTACCGTGCTCTGTACATCGTCAATTGGATCTACCGATACTATTTTGAGGGATTCTATGACTTTATTGCCATTGTAGCTGGATGCGTACAAACAGCGCTTTACTGCGACTTCTTCTACTTGTATATTACCAAAGGTAAAGATGAGTATACCTTTTACCGAATTTGATCTTCAGCATTGTTGATCATTTAAGTGTGAAGCACTCTTTTTTCAGCATTAAGAGTTCAACACATACTTTTTCAAGTTGGGAAGAGCAATGCCTTTATATTTCACTTGGGAAATAACTTTTTCTATGCAGGAAGTGTCACTTGCATCAGTATCATTTCTGATTCGAACATCAAGATCATAAAAAAGGAAATGTTCACCAACCCTTCACAATCCCTTGATTCTCAAACAAATTCTCCTTTTCATTACCATAGGAAATGTATAGAGAACAGTGTGGAGAATTAGCAAACTAATATACAGGTGTAAAGGGTTAAGCTGCAGAAAAACCAATCTGAGAACATTTGAAATCAAGAGATTTCCCCCTTACTCTTAAATGTGTTGATATACCTCTTCTACTTGTCTCTTTCCTTTAAGTGAGTGTCACAAAAAAAAAAAGTTTCATGACAACTTAAGTTTCTGCAAAGAGAATGATTGTATGTTGATGATGATAGCATTCACTTGATTTTGCCACTTCTACACAGAGAAATATCCACACTTCCTTTATGCAGGAGACTTGGCAGATTGTATAAGAGACTGGGTGGTTTTTTTTGTTTTTCTGCAAGACTGTATTGTAATCAAGGGTAACTAGCATTTGTGAAGTAGTTGCGATTTATTTTTCTGTGATTGAGTTGACTAATAAGATAATAGTCTTCTTTCATATCCACTTTGATGTTTTCTCAGAGATAACACATTCCTCTATCATATTTCCTCTTTTATAGTTCTTAAAGGAAAGTCTCTGAAGTTACCAGCATAAAATGACAGGAAAGAGACCTTTGGTTCATCCGAGCAAGATGACAATTTGCTAGTAAACTTGCAGAAAACATATCACTGTAATTTTTAGTGTAACATTAATTAATTCCATGAGGTGTCCAAGCTGTTTTTTCATCTGAATATTTTTGTAGTTTCGTGGTTGGTGTTTGAAAACTGTGCAGTTGGAGTGTTTAACTTGAGCTAACAACTATTACATGGAAAGTCTTTATTGCAGTTGTATGTTTAACTCCATTTTTTAGCAAGTGAATAAGTTGCTTTTCAGTGTAATCTTATAAAGAAATCAGAAATGATTAACTTAATTGAGAAAAACAAAGAAAGTATAGTTAACAACAAACACATTGCATAATCTTCATTTGGAATTATTTGCATGCTTACAGAGATTGCTATATCAAGCAGGTTTATGTCATAGAGGACAAATTTATTGTTGCTTAAACCTTTAAGTATCATTATTAATTTTTTTTCATCCATTTTCATTCCTTGCTGGTCTTGAAAATTATTATGCAAACAGTAGTAAGAACCAGTAATTTGGAAACAATCCAATTAAGTTCTTTTGGAACTGGAACATTAAAGACAATTCAAGTTATTCTTTGCATGGAAGCCAATGCGGTCATACAAAGAGGAGCACTTTCATGTCATCCTAATCTGAGAGAATTTCAATCAGCCCAGGAAAATTTGGAGGACCACACCAACTAGCTGTCTACATGTTTTCATTAAAATTATTTTCTGTTGCAGAAATCCATGATAACGCAGTTTTTCTCTTCCTTTATTAATTCAGGAATCACTTTATCTGAAAATAACTGTGTATTTAATTTAGTCGGTAGGGTTTAAGTGTATTTTTTTTAGAGGGTCTTTTTAATACTATCAGTGTTAGATATTAATGTTCTATTAATATGTAATGCTAATAAATAACTTCAAGTGCTTTGGTCCTCCAATGTTTGATTGTCTTTCTTATAATTAAGCAATTACATATAGATTTAAGTTAAAGTTCTTATTTTATGAATGATAAATAGACCTATCTTACATTTCTGTCCACCAGTCCACTTCAGGGTTAATGGGCAGTTAAGATATCTTGGTCTTCATCAATCATGTAACCAAAATTAAACTTAGTGGAGATTATTGGGATAACAATCTCATATTCAATAGAAAAGTTTTCTGTGCAAATTTGTCACAACCTTGCCTTGCTTTATATTCACTGAGATACAGATGAACCTGCCACTAGATAAGCACACTAAAAGATTTCACTAAGTTTGCCCTTTAGACTCCATGGAGTATGGAAGAAATGTAATATGTAAATCTTCTCAAGAGTGGATATAAAGTGACGAGGGTGTATTTTGAGCCAGGTGGAGAAAAAGCTCATCAGATGGATTCCATTTATACCACCTAAACAATGTAGACTTAAAAGTTGGCAAGTGTTAGTGTAAAGTTGCATTTGAATGCTGCTTTACTGTGGTGAGAGCTTTCATCAAATGAAATAAAACTAGAAAAAGCATATTTTTATGCTCTTGGTGTATCTAACCATACCAAACCCAGAGAATTGTTCCCACGGAAATGAGAGTACGTTAAGACAAGCAATGACAAACCAACTAAATATGCATATATCTGGATCCCCCTGCTTCCAGACACCACTCACCTCAACCTACTGAAAATAATGCCTTCTACCGCCGCAGAGAAAGAACTGGGAAGGGTCGTGTCCGAGAATGAATTAAGGATTGTCAGTAATTCATCCATAAAATAAAACTTTTTGAATCATGCTTTGTTTTCGCTACAGTTAAAGAGCTCAGGCTTACGTCTTACTCTCTTCCCCCACGTTTCTCTCTTAACCCTTTCCACCTTAACAACAGTATGCATACTTTCCATGCTGTTCTTTAATCACTTCCTACGATTCCGACATGGAGAATTTGTCTAACTGATCAAGAGCTTTTTTGGTCCGTGATCAGCTCCTCTATTCTCCTGACCTTAATGTGTGATTCAGGGGGTATGGTAAGGAGAAATTATATGTCAGTCACTGTTAGGGGTTAAAGGGTCAAGGCGCGCACTTCTTTTTCTCTCGCTTCTGAATGCGAATACGTGCTTTGGACAGGCTTCAAGAATGGCGGACACCTAATAAGGCGTGGCAACTAAGCAATCTCCGAGAAACTCCTCTAGACAGATGAGTCACGAGACATATCTAGTTTCGATGGTTAACCGTTTCGACACGCTTTCACTTTTCACGATGATCCCTTCCTCATATTTTTGACGGAATAATGCCTCATTCCAAATGACATTTTCCCTGAAAAACATCGACGATGCAGGATTTGGGCTTCGGGAAGGCTCGAAGTTGGAGAGTTTTCTTAACCGGAAATCAGTTGCCGACCATCTCGAAACCAACAACGAGTTAGTGAACGTTTGGGGAAGCTGTGGTCATGTCTTTGTCGCTACTAACGCTGGCCGAAACTTGCACGCTTTTGAATCCATTCCTCGAGCTAAGTGGACACCGGAGAGTGAAAGTCTTCTTTTACAAGGTTAGGGGGTTGAAAAGTTCTTTGTAGACAACGCGTGGTATCATGCCACTATGGGATGTGGCAATGTCATTTTTATTTGAAGTATTCGTTCGAAGTTGTGTATTTTATAAGGCCACCTTGGGTCCTGTACGTTAATTTTGACACCAGGAACGTGTTGTATTTCTTCCGATCGTGAAACTGGAGAGGAATGAAACATTTTCTTTTCTTTATTTTGAAACAATTTCAAATGAACTCTTTAAATTCTCCTCCATCCAAGAAAAATACAACAGAGAAACCAACAAAACTTTCGTTAGGGTTGTATGAGCTATCTCTCGGAGTCAGTGCGGGTCACTTCTCTGACATGTCAACTCGCCAACAGCCAGCTCACTGACATCATCAGTCAACTTGCTGATAGTCATCTTTGGTCAACTTGCCGACATACTTAATTTTAACTTTGTTTTCAAAGGGGACATAAACAGCGCTTTGAACAGCTTTGAGCCAAAAAATGGTAACAAAAATTAGTGTTGGCAAGTTGATTAGTGGTGTCAGAGAGTTGACTAAAGGTGTTGGCGAGTTGAGTTATGGTGTCAGCATGTTGGTTGTCAGGGTGATGAAATATCAGCAAAGTGACCAGTAACCATGGAGTCTTATCAGAGGAATGTTTCCAATGATTAACAGTTCTCCACCCAAATGGAAAATGTGTTTTATAGACCTGTAGCTAAGAATTTTATGTCTAAATGTATGGAAAAGGTGACTCAAACTGTCATTTAGAGTGTTCCAATATTTTTATCTCATCATGCAAAGTTGATTAGTAGTTAATTAGGAGCAACACCAAATCATACCTAAGTGCTGCAAACTGGTTTTGTGCTTTTGCATGCAAATTTCAGCACAAAGAACATACATGCAGATAGTTGCCATGATTGCAGCCACTATGTGCATACATGTGGGTTTTTCAATCCCTATACTCTCCTCCAGACCACTCAGTTGGGCTTACTGCAGTCCCAATTTCCACCTCTATTAAATTTTTCTGGAAGTGGATCTTAGATCGTGTTTGAGGGAGGATTAAGGTTCTTTTCCCAAACAGCAGCTGATAATTTAGCCCAGGCTTACTGTGCCACACAATCCCTTCCCCCTTCCAGGAGAGAGCATAATGCTATAAGGTCACTATAAATGAGCCATGTTGGGGTTCCAGTCTGAAAAAATCACTGGTTTGAAAAACAAAACCAAGGACAAGTTTGAATCCAAAGACATAAAGACCTATCCACTTTACCAGTTAAACCTCAGGAGTGACCAGCATTAAATTTCTCCTCACAATAATACTGCTGAATCCTAGTCCCTCTTGATTGAATTATTTAAGAAAAATTTTTTTTTATTATTTTATTTGATAGACCAAGAATCTCCCATCATAAGTGTGCTGTCTAGCAATGAAAGTCCATCCCTTATATTTATCATTCACCAAAACAGCATCACAGAATGTTGGGAATTCACTCAGTCAAATTACAAATGGATGAAGAAGAATGAATTTCAATTGAGTAACACGAAGGGAGTCGAGATATTTCAAGTTGTACTTCATCCTCTCGTAAACTCTTTCTTCTGGTGTGAAAGGCGATCTGTCTCTGCATCAAATTTAATCAGCTGTTGTGTCTGTGTGAGACAGGTGATCATTTCTGAGAGGCTTGGAAACAATACTGTAGTGTCTGTCGGCCCATTGGTGGCTATTCTTCATGGATGTCCTCCTATGTCACTTCATGTCATTAGCCGAAGTGTTTGCCTTGTTCCTGATTTTCCAGAGGAATTGAGATGTTTTGTACTCTTTTGGACATTTGTTCAGAGATCCTTAAAGGTTTGTTAACTAAGCTTATCTATCAATTGACATTTTTCTTAAGTGTGGGACACAAAAAAATCTGAGTTCCTCGTAAAGATTTAAAGCGTGTTGGTTTTAGTTTGTAGGCTTAAGCTCTATGTATTAAGCAGATCCTCTAACACCAACATATTATTTCTCCATGAGGTATCATTGCCCAATCAAATATCTAGGTCATGAGAATAAAAGAAATGATCACCAACCAAAAAACTCCTGATTGTTTAACAAATTCTCCTTGTACCATAGATAACTTATAGAGAACACTATGGAGAATTCACATACTGGTGTTATTGAAATCATACTAATTTTGTGTTTTTTTTATGGTAGATTTACATATGGAATTATGGTTTTGTTGGAGATGTAGATAAATTTGACTTTAAGGCAATAGTTGCAGAATTACTTTGCCCATGGACCTCAAGCACAAAGGATAACTTACATCATCTGGTTGCGGTCACATCTCATCCTACAACAAATGAACTTCTTGTAATTGACAGTGGTTTGGAGTTATTACTTGTCAAGCTTCAAGACAGTGGTCCAGTTGTAACTTCCCTTGTTAGACTCCAAACAGATTCTTTGATTTTTCATAGTGACAAAATTTTACATCTCTTTGCTTTTGGTCTCATTGTCGGTGTTGTGTGGTTTTCTGGTAAACTTTCACTTTATGATGTTGGTTGTGGAGCTGAAATATGTGCACTTGAAGACTTGAAAGGACAGAAAGTCCATGTTTGGAAATGCTCTCACTTGGTTAATTCCATTGGATTTTGGTCAGTCAATGGAATTTGGAAGCTTCAATCTGGAACAGTACTTGAAATTGCAGATTGCATCAAGTCCTCTGTTAATTCATCACAATGTGCAAGTGGAGAAAACAATTCCTTTGTGACTCAACAAGAGTCAAATGAATCTTTATGCAGTAATGATCCAAGCAAAAGTTTCTTCATAGCAGATGATTCATTGCTAAAAACTGAATTGGACACTTCATCAGAAAATTTTTTGATTCCTGAAATAGCGAAAGATCAACAGAAATGTGAGAGATCATCAGTTGGTTCTGGACAATCTAAGCACATTGGTGAAGAAGGTTTTTCTGGTCCTCTTTTTGCAGTGAGTCATTTGACTAAGTGGAACTTAACTTACAGGGCAGCCAAGCTGGCACTGGACTCAATTGTTTGCTCAGGAATCCTTTCAGGTTCTCCTGTGGCATTTAGTGAGATCCCTGAAGCTTTTCTCCATTTGTTGGTCAGTTCCCATTCTCAGGGCCCTGCAATTGCTCTTCTGTTGCTCTGGGAGCATCCTGTACACAGAGAATTTGTTCTGCTAGAACTTGAACAATACATGAATGATCTAGGCATGGACAAACGTCAGCCAAAAAAGACACTTTTGAATGAGTTGTTGCATCCATATATGAGTGAATTTCTCCTACTCAATAAACAGTGTAAGTCGGTAAATGACCCCAGTGTCATGGAAATAATGCAGTCACCCACCCTACCTACAAACTCTGTTACACAGGAGATATTCAGCTTGCTGGAGACATTTGACAGCAGTCCTCTTGAAATGGTGCCACTTGAAAGGCTTAGCACATTAAGTCGTCAGCATTCACACAAGGTTCTTGAGCATGTGGCAGATTATTTGAAGATTGATTTTGAGGAGGATGAATTCACAGAAAGTCAGTGGCAGCAACGATGGAGAAAAATATACAGGTTTGTAACAGTCATATACAATAGAAATCTTTCTTACTGTTAGCAATGATCTTTAACATAACAACACCAAGACTTTAAAGCCAGCTCTTCTAGTGAATGACAACAGGCATATGTACTAGTACCTCTCTCAACATTTTTTCGTTCTTTTCGATTGCCTCCATGACGTATTTAATACATTAAAAGTTAGAGAGTAACAGTCAAATCTATGGGACTGGAGATGTAAAATACACTGACCTCTAAAACTCAAAACAAGTTAAAAATTGGAAAAAATATAAATCCATTTGCATTGGCACAGGACTTCTCAGAGGAGTTGGAAGTTAAGGGGTTGATTAGGTGGATTTTCTTCACATTCACACATTCACTTAAACATTTGACCCTAAGAGTGATAGAAATCTTATTTCTCCTTTCAATACCACCCCTGAATCCCATATTAATGCCGCTAGAATAAGGGAAATGATCACCAACTTAAGAAGCTCTTGATTGTTAAATGAATTCTCCATGTCAGCACCATAGGAAATCTATAGATTATTATGGAGAATAAGCTAACTGATGTTAGGATGAGAAGGGTTAATGACACATTTTGTATTAATCTTACCAGGATGTCACCCCTAAGCAATATTTTTGTCAAATTTTCCCGCAAATTTTTTTTAGTGTAAATGTAAGACAAGGTGTACAAAATGGATCATTCTGTTGTTTTTAATATGAGGAGTCTGGAGTAGATAGACAGTAGAATGACTTCTAGAAATGTCTCTTTTAGAATTGACTGGAGAAGCGGTAGATGGCAGAGAAGTAAATTAGCTCTCAAGGACCCATATAATGCAATGTTGAACATTCTTCTACGGATGTTTTACGAGTCAAAATCTAATTGGTTGGTGAAATCAGTGGAGAAGGGAATTGGGACAATACGGATGGAAGAATCAGATGACAGATCAGAGGTTTGAAATTTTCATAAGGGTTTATTATTGTGTCTTCTTGAACTGGTATCAGGCCCATTGATAATTATATTCGTTATAGCATTAGAGCCATGCAATCAAGGTCTGAGAATTTCTTTGCTGTGTTTTTTCATTTCAATTTAATTTTTCAGTTAGTTTAACAAACATTTGTGGTTGTTGTTGTTTTTTTGATGTTTTTTTTTGTGACTTCAATTTTCTAAAAGAAAGTAAATCTATAAATCTATAGAAATGGGGGGGGGTGGAGCTTGAAATGAGCTGTCATTCAATTTCAGTTTATTTTTTAAGACCAAGTACAGAGTATAGCAACTCTAAATGCAATCCTACAGGACTGCAACATCAAGAGCAATCCAAGAAGACAACAATGCTAAATGCAATCCTAAAATACTGCTCTGAATTGACAATTTCTCTAAACATCAAAACACCAAACTACTGTAGATCTACATCACGCCTATTTTTTTGAATCGTGTTCCGGTTTACCTTGGTCCTATTTTAACTATTAACACTTTCCTTTTGCTGTTTTCTAGGAGTTTGTCACCCAGTCTGTGTTGGAGTGTCTTCCTGTTTTAAGTATGAGGCACACCAATGCCAAGTCAGTCTTGGCACACTCTCAGCTGTGTTACTCAGCTGGGCAAGAGATACAAGCTCTGCATTTACTTCTAAGTCACCAAATGTGGAAAGAAGCCATTGACTTTATTTCTCATTGTGGAGAGGGTAGTGAAAATCCAATGTTACTTTTTATCATGTTGATAAAGGGCCTTCAGAGCAGGAAGGCACCTAGTAAGATGCTAATAGATGCCCTCAATTTAAAGCCCAAGGATTTGAGCACTGATGAGATTCTGGCAGTACTGAAGGATCAAGCCATTCAAACTAAGGAACCTTTTGCAAAGGGTGTAGGACGGACAACTGTGGGTGAAATGAGGCCTTTTCTCGATGCCCTCTTTTCTTATGAGTTGTGAAACCATAGTTTTCCATATAAGATATCAAACTCAGCAAAATATCACAGATATTGCATTAATGTTTCAGCCTTTTCACTCCCAAAATCTCCTTCCTGTTTTTCATACAACTCCTATGAAGTGAGTTTAGAGAGTCTGGTCTTGGATCAACTAATAATCCCCTAATTGACATTTTTCTTTATTCTCATTACTTGTCTGCTTGATATTCTATTTATATTGTAATGAGAAAATTATGTCTTGATCACTCATGGGAGTTTAAGTATAAAGGGTTGATTAAGAGGTAACCAGCATGTAATTTGCTCAATTTAATCCAACCCAGTGCTGCACATAGACAAACTTGTAAGTGTAAGAGTATTGTTTTGATATAACACCAAATTCCCTTACCTGATTAACAAGGAAATGTGTAGCCACAAGGAGGGAGAATTTAGTGTCAGATCTTAGAGATAAAAGGACTGGTCTTAGACCATCATTACTCCTCCCTTTGCTGTTTTTAGACTTGAGTCATACGGTCTCGTAGGGGTTTTGTGTAAATGTTGGCTGTTATTCATCTCTGGAAAATTGTTTCAAAGTCAAATTTTTGAATTGTTTGTCCATTTTATTTCCTGGATGTGCTCTGACTCGTATGACTTGGATGACTTATAAAACTTACCAGATGATTTCAACGTCATCAGATATGAAACTAGCTAAATATACTAAATGAAGAACAAGAGTATTTGAATTTTTGAAAAATTATTATTTTCATAAAACATGTTATAAGTTTATATTTATATAATTTAATGTTACATACTTGAGATTTTGATAAGGAATGAGAATAAATGGACTTCTATTCTACCATTTAACTTTTTTTTTTCTTTTTTTTTTTTTTTTTTCGTTTTATGCATATGTAAGATTACATTTAAAACCCCTTTCTTTTGTCAAGCGATTTTTTCCGTTCGATGTGAATCATGCAAAGATTTTTGTTGAGGTTATACGGTTTAGCTAGACGTGAAACTAAAAAATGGGCGAATTGTAATACAATGCTTTGATTTGACCACCAGGAAATTCGATATTCCTTTAGTCTCTTCGGTTTTGAAGTTTCTCCTTAACCGATGTTAACAGACTGACATGCTAGAAAAAAACTTTAAACTACGCACCGCTAAAAGGTAAATATGTTAAAAACATCAGTGTTACAAAATGTAGTTAGTTCATGTAACTAAATATGCAAACGAAATATACATACATATATTTATGTATGCGCACGCTCATTGGATTTCTGTGAAATGCGTGAAAGATGTTCTTAGTCTTTCGAGTGTCAAATGCGTGTTTAGTCTTTTACCCAGACTTTCCACAGTCAAACTGAGTGTGACGATTGTTTCTGATCGCTACATGGAAAAGTTCTTTATGTTACATATTATCCGCCCTCGTCTGGTACATGATTGGTTCCGTGAGACGACGATTGCGTCGCTCGCCTTCAGTAAGTCTGATAGCCCGTGTTCGTGAGCGGAATTGCTTACTTGGCGAGCCATTCTTACTTTCTTCGCCCGGAAATGTGTTGCTTTGCTCGTCATCTCCCTCATTGCGATCTTCTTCCGCTAGATTTGAATCTTGAAGATGAAGTGAGAAAAGATCTGTGCCTACTACAGGGGCAGACATCTTGCGATATCCAAGCTTACGAACATCTGTGGAGCAGGTAATCGCGGCGTTCAGCGCGTCCGGAAACTTGTCGCCGACGCTTGTCATTGGCGGACACATTGCCGCTATCTGTGCAAAAGGCAGGATTTGCTTCATTCTATAACGATCAAGGCTGCAATCTTCTCTAGTTTTCAGTGGTAGGCTTTCAAATTCAGGCACGAGTTTGGCCAGTTTCTCGTCAAAGCTGTTACTTTTCCGAATGGCTTTGTTCGTGGGCCGTGGAGCCCTGTTGTCATGTTGGAATCGCCTTTGAATACTCCCCACCAGCTCCCTGGGTGCACGCGGTTTTCTCGAGTCGATGCCGATGAAGACCTCGTCGTCCCCATTTCCACTCGGTTCATGCTCATGCGCGTCTTGTATTTGGCTTACATCCTGGTGATCCTCCTCTTCCATATAAGGCTTGGAGGTTAATTCCTTATAAGAAGAGGATAAATAATCAAACTCAACACAAAATCAGGTTCAGAGTATAAGGCAATTTTCGTTGAGAAATGAAGGAAGAAATGAGCTGATCATTGACTTTCACACAGCAGCATACAGGTTCAAAACCTATTGAGTTCCTAGTCTGCTTTTAGGCTTCTTTCGTGCAACCCAAAGTTACTTGTACTATTTCGTGGATAATGTCTGCATTTCATATACGAAATGCATACGGCACACACTACTTAATATCATTAAAATCTTTACAGCTCGTAAACATTCTAGTCATAATACCTTTTTCGACAACTCTGTCTCCAAAGTAGAGATCCTCTCCCTCAATTCCTCATTATCTGCTTTCTCTTTATTCAACATTGTCTTCACAGAAACAAGCTCCTCTTTGGTTTCGTCGTATTTCTTCTCAAACTGTCGTACATATTCGGTCTGCTGTCTGAGACTCAATTCTTTAGACTCCAATGCTTTTTTATGTCGCTGGTTGATTTCTTCCACCTCTTTCCTAATCTGGTCTACCTCTATGGCGGAGTCTGTCGCGGATTTAGAGAAAAAATCGCGTTCCTCTCTATAAATTTTGGCACTATCTTCAACCTCTTTGCAGTTTTGTCTTAGTTCCACCAAAACACGTTCTTTATGGTTGAGTTTGATTCTAAGGTCAGAAACCTCATCGTGCATCCGCGAGCACTCGCTATGCACGGTTTTCTGGTTTTTCAGCATTTCTTCTTTCTCGGCTACTATTAAATCAAATCGAGCCTTCAGAGCTTCTGTCCACCGTTGTACCTCGTTAAGATCGTTCTCTTTATCCTGCAGCTCACATCGTAACTTTGCATTCTCGAACTGCACTTCGCGCAGTTTCATTTTCAGTGTTTCGCACATCTTCATCTCCTCTGTCTGTGATCGTAGTTGTTGCGACAACTTGTTTGTCTCCTTCCGTTCAATAGCGTAATCTTTGTTGACTTTACTCAATTGCTTCAACACTTCATCTTCTCGCTTTCCAAATTCATCCAGTTGCTTTCTCAGCGTTTCATTTTCCTCGTGCGCTGTTAGCAACTTCATTTGAAGCTGGATGATAAACTGATTTGTTCGCCCCTCACGTTGGACCGCCTCGAACCGCTGCAGGAGATTCTCGCCCGTCTTGTTAGCAGTCGATTGAGCCTCGTTGGCCAAAGCGTCCTCAGTGGCCGAGACCTGTTTTTCCAAACAGTTTATTCTGCGTTGCAACCGGTTTTGTTCCATGAAGGCCTCCTCGAGCTTTTTCTTAAGTTCATTGTTGTCTTTAAGGACCTGATCGTGACGTAAAGTTAATTCGTGTAATTCCTTGGTAAGAATCTTGGAGTAATTACTGAGGATATCTACGTCCAGAAAGGTAGATCCGCCACCTGTCAAGGACAGAACTAATATCAGTTCCATTCCCGAATATGAGGAATCATAGCCCAAGAAAATTCTCTTAACCCTTCAACTCCCATTAGTGACCAAGAAAAGATTTCTCCTTACCAAATCAACATAGTATCAAACAGACAAGCGATGAGAATAAAGAAAAATATCAGTCAGGGGATTATTAATTGATTCAATAGCAAATCCTCAGAACTAACATCATAAGAATTGTATGGCAGACAGTAAGGAGAATTACTGATGAGATCTTAGGAGTGAAAGGGTTAATCGGATAAACCTTTTGGGTTACACCCACTAGAGGAATAGTGACGCCAACCACAGTTACGAAAATTTGCGTCATATCCCCTAATTTGTGTCATTTTGTTTGTGCTTCTGGGACATTCGTTTTCATTGTTGTTAGTTGAGCTTTTTTTTCTTTTGTAGTCGTAAGTAATATTTATTATTTTTATTTTCAGCAAAATGTTTATAATCGCTTGAGCTGTAGTTTCGTTATTTCCTTATTCCGGTCACTTTGCTTTTGTACATAGTTTCCGAGTTTGTCACCTATTGTGTTTAACCTTTTAACCCCTTAGAGTGACTAGCATCAAAATTCTCCTTACAATATCACCACTGAATCACACATTGATGTCATGAGAATAAAGGAAATGATCACCGACTAAGGAAACTCTTGATTATTGGACAAATTCTCCTTGTCAGCACCTTAGTAAATGTACAGATAACAGTATGGAGAATAAAAATACTGATGTTAGGGTGTAAAGGGTTAAATGTGTTGACTTTTCTACGTCCCGAGGTTCATTATGATTCATGTTGTTGGGTGTCTGAATGCAATGTCGCTGTTAGGAAAATTTAACTTGCTTTTTTTACCGCCTTCACCGAAACATCGAACTAGTACAATGTTATAACCAAAGTTGGAGGTTAATGTCTAAACGCTCTTCCCTTTGAAATTTTGGAATTATTCAAAACGAATTGATTGAAATATCAAAACTTTTGCATGTAGTAACTCCTTTAATACACGGCGCTCAAAAAATAAGAAATAGTATTTGTCTGCGAGCGCGAGTAATCACTGAATGGACTGGATAAGATTTTAAACATACCCGAAAAAAGACCACCTGTAGAGTTTCGACAAAGAGGAACATCTTTTTTTGAGAGAGCCCACTAGGGGACATTTCTATTCAAGAGATATTAAAAAGAGTTTTGTTTCGTCTAGCCATAGTCTTAACTTCGCTTAACACATCAAAGAGTAACGAGACGAAATAGATCTATTCAACATGACCGCCATAACAGACGTACTATTTTTTCTTTCGTAACACGAACGAAATAATGTGTCATGTCCAGCTTATAAAGAACACAAAATAAATTAGATTCTAGACTTACCACTGATGATATGGCTCTTAACATCTGACAAGATGGGATTGTCACCTGTGTAAATAAGGATTTGATTGACCGTGATCAGATCTATGGCAAGAAATAAAGTGTTTTTGTATCGTGTTTTGGTGTGTGTGTGTGTCTTGTTATTTATTTAATCATTTATAATTTATCCATTCATCTATTCATCTATTTATTCATTTATTTTAAGAAAACAGTTAGCAAAATAACATATTTTAACGAGTTCTTATCTAAAGTTATTTTATTTCTCCACTTCAACACTTTCGATATGGAAATTACGTCGAAGATTCTACTCTGATCATTTTAAATTCGAGAAGTTTCGAGCTATACGTTTACAAAAAAAAAAAGAACGTTGGCTGCTAAAAGATTTCTGTTAAAAAAATCGTTTAGATTATTCCTCATTGATTACACATCATAAAGGCTAAGGAAGTCTAGGTCAAACTGATAGGGGAAGTGAAACTCGTTGGTCGTCGTTGGTTTATGCTCGTCGTAGTTCGCAGCTAGTTGGAATTTCATGTTGTTGTTTTGCAGAGCCGGAAACTGTCCGGGAATGAACAAAATTTGAATGTAAATGTTACCAAAATCCGAGTTTTCTGAATTTACATTGGAAAACTATCAAATGGCAAACGTTCCTACGTTTCAACAATCAGCTCGTCTCTGATTTAGGAAACTTCCTGTTTGGTGATTATGACGTTAACGCAATTAAAGTGGTTCTATCTTCAGCTTATATCACTGGATTATTCGCTGAAAATTTAAACCTTTGAATTTCCTTCTTACAGCATGTTTGCTAAACCTGACGTTTGAATCGATTAGGCAACCCCTATTAAGTGATTTTGCCATGTCTGCATTCAAGAGGTCCGCCAGTGATTTCTTTACGCGACCAGATCGTTCGGGCTTTATTTACAACATAAAAGTGGTTGGAGAGATAGTAAAAACCAGTTTGGTCGTTTATATCTCTAATGCAACAAAACTACTAACTTTTTGTTGCACTTTCCCCCGTCACCATTTCATACAGGCTTGGGTTGAGAATCTGCAAGGCGTCTATAAAGTGGCAAAATGCCTTCTGTCCCTTCATTTCTAGAATATCTAAGAACCTGCCAGCCTTTGACTCGCTCGTCTTCTCGGCTTGAATCAACTCAAAGTCTGCCTTGTCAAAGGAAGATTTGCTGATTAGGTAGTCGAACAGAAACGTTCGATCCATCTGAAGATGTTGTATGATATGCAAGCGATATTTTGTCAAAATCTCTGCGGAAGTTTCTTCTAGTTCCATCGTAAGATGCCAATATTCGGTTCTCAGTAAATGCTTATGAGGTGAATACTACTCACGATTGATGGATCACTCTCACTAAGGCGATGGTAAGCAGAACCGCACAGATCGTAGCTTTTGCACTTGAAAATGAAATCACGCCTGGGTGCTGATCGTGCTTCTGTACGTATGGATTTGTATGTCTGATGCGCGACTTTCGTTCAATATACATTACCCAATCAGAGAATTCACTTTCACTGAAACACAATATGTGAAGAGGAGCGAATCATTTTAATGAACGAACATATGATCAATGAAGCAAAGAAAATATAAAAAAAGGCTTGTAAATGAACCAAACTATGGTATCGAAACGATACGTTTCGCATCGTGGAATTCATATGAAATGTTTCACACTGTGCAATTTAGTCTGTTTATTTATAAATTTATTCATTTGTGATATTTAGACAAGCCAGCCCAGTTGAGCGTTACAGCTGGTTTAAGTTGGGGCCGATATTAACAATAACATAGTGGAACCACCACACCGGGAACCGCAACTGTTTGTAAGAAGTGTGTGCCTTGACTTCCTATGATAATTTATCACAAATTTTTGTTATGTCTCGTCTCTAATAGGCCACATTCAGATCATAAAGCGTAACAAAAGTGATTTTAAAAAGCTTTCGATCTTTTACCATGTTTTATTTTTTAGGGGAGTCGACAAAAAAATTTTTACTTGAAAAAATACGAGATAGCCTATCATAATTATACAGAAGCAAAGTGCGCGTATCAAGTGCAAAAATAAATTATTCAAACCCTGCAAGTGGCATCTTGCGATCGGTCAAAACAACAGCATACGATGAAAACAATAATATACAATGATACCTTTACATCTTTAAGGAACAAGAAAGTTGAAAGTCCGGCTAAACAGTTCAAGGAATTGTTCAGTCTGGTTTGTTACTTCTTTGCACTGAATTAACCCTCTTCAGCATTGAATTACCTGAAAACTGCATACATCTTAATCAATCAGAACTGAGTGATTTTTTCATGTATCTTATTAAAGGTAAAAAACGTGCACATGGACTCAAATTGCTGGTGAAATACGTTTTCAAACGCATGATTTTTAAAACGAGTCGATGTAAGTTAATTTCGAAACTGAGCATGTGATTCGCAAAAATTCCCGCCATCTTGTTATCTGTAGCTCAGTTGAAAGGCATCCGACAGCGGAATCAAATCTAGTTGGGATTCCATTCCAGACGGCGGACTCTGATTTTTTTATAAGAATCTTTCGACTTTGCCAAGTGGAATCACAGGTCGCCAATATTTGAATGTTCATCACTTGCTCCCGGCTGATGTATTACTGATGTTAAAACCTAATGTATGGAAAATTTCGTAAACTTGGTCTCAGTTTATAGAGAAAAAAATGCAAAATAAACGCCATTTTGCAAATAATTTTGTTCTGTTATCTGATTGAGGTGATCTGAACTGGTTTCTTCGTCTGTCCGACTCACCAAAAATTGAAAATTTTTAAAATATCTTTAACATCTTTGTTTACTTTAAGACCTCTGAAAGCTCCGTATTCCTTGTGTGTCACTGCTTTTCAATAAACCTTCCACAGTTGACAATCTTACGAAATTTTTGCATCTTAGAAGTTCCCATGATGTTGTTGTTTTTAACAAGAATACTTTAACTTCGTAGCGCTTGACGCATTGACAAGATCATAGCGCCCAGGCCAATGGTCTCAGCTCGAACGTGATGTCAAGGAATGACGACACAATGGTTACCATGGAACTAGTCATAAACATATCAGAAAATTTTTGCATCTCGATCGTGTCAAGTGGTTTCTGTACTGAGCTCGGAGTTAAAATGGATTCCTCGCTTTTATTACATGCTTCAAATGAAAAGTTCAGTTACTTAATGAGCAAAGACTTACGCTGCAGCAAAAGGTTTGTAGAACGATTTCTGGTCCGTATAAAACGAATGCTTTGCCAGAGAGCCTATGGTGCTGATCTTCACACTGAGAGCCAACACGAATCCCTTGAAGCCTGACATGCGGGAAGCAAACAAGCAATAAGGTGGGCGTTTCCCGTTTGTCACTTTATTGGTTAATTTCAAGTGTGTCCGATACGCTTCGTTATCGGAAAGAGTACAACAGAAATACGCTGCATCAAGTTTCTTTTTTTCCCTCCTCTTTCGCGAGCGCGAAATCATGATAAGATTCAAAAGTTTTGCTCATCCACTGCACTCATCAAAAATTCGTTTTTAACAGGCTTTTCACAGCGATAGTTTATTAAAAAACCACTGAATTTATGAATGAGTTGTCTCCTAAAAGTATTTATTGTAGTTGACGAAATTCAAGATTATAAACAAGAGAAATAAAAAGCTCGCGAAAAACAAATACTTTCCATTATGGCAAATCTCTCCTCAAATCACTTTAGTGCATTATAACCATGATAAAAACAATCAGTGTAAAATACTTTAATGAAAAAAGGACTAAAGCCTGACTCTATAATTGGAGACGCATTGAAACGTGTTGAATCAACCACAAAATCTCAAATTTCAAAATTCTGAGAATACGAAAGTGTCCACGTCAATTTTGAATGTCAAGTTCAAGGTGTGTGGACGTGAGCGGCCGAATGCATGTGTCACGCGTGCCGCGTGACGCACGAATCACTGAGGAGGGAGAGGAGGAGAAGACAGTAGTTTAAAATATTACATTTGGAAAAAAACGCGTGTCTGCTTGATATTCCATTTATATTGTAATGAGAAAATTGTCTTGATCACTCATGGGAGGTTAAGGATAAAGGGTTGATTAAGAGGTAACCAGCATGTAATTTGCTCAATTTAATCCAACCCAGTGCTGCAAATAGACAAACTTGTAAGTGTAAGCGTATTGTTTTGATATAACACCAAATTCCCTTATCTAATTAACAAGGAAATGTGTAGCCACAAGACGGGAGAATTTAGTGTCAGATCTTAGAGATAAAAGGACTGGTCTTAGACCATTATTACTCCTCCCTTTGCTGTTTTTAGACTTGAGTCATACAGTCTCGTAGGGGTTTTGTGTAAATGTTGGCTGTTATTCAAGTTAAAGTCAAAATTTTTTAATTGTTTGTCCATTCATATGACTTGGATGACTTATAAAACTTACCAGATGATTTCAACGTCATCAGATATGAAACTAGCTAAATATACTAAATGAAGAACAAGAGTATTTGAATTTTTGAAAAATTATTATTTTCATAAAACATGTTATACGTTTATATTTATATAATTTAATGTTACATACTTGAGATTTTGACAAGGAATGAGAATAAATGGACTTCTATTCTACCATTTAACTTTTTTTTTCTTTTTTTTTTTTTTTTTCGTTTTATACATATGTAAGATTACATTTAAAACCCCTTTCTTTTGTCAAGCGATTTTTTCCGTTCGATGTGAATCATGCAAAGATTTTTGTTGAGGTTATACGGTTTAGCTAGACGTGAAACTAAAAAGCGGGCGAATTGTAATGCATTGCTTTGATTTGACCACCAGGAAATTCGATATTCCTTTAGTCTCTTCGGTTTTCAAGTGTCTCCTTAACCGATGTTAACAGACTGACATGCTAGAAAAAAACTTTAAACTACGCACCGCTAAAAGGTAAATATGTTAAAAACATCAGTGTTACAAAATGTAGTTAGTTCATGTAACTAAATATGCAAACGAAATATACATACATATATTTATGTATGCGCACGCTCATTGGATTTCTGTGAAATGCGTGAAAGATGTTCTTAGTCTTTCGAGTGTCAAATGCGTGTTTAGTCTTTTACCCAGACTTCCCACTGTCAAACTGAGTGTGACGATTGTTTCTGATCGCTACATGGAAAAGTTCTTTATGTTACATATTATCCGCCCTCGTCTGGTACATGATTGGTTCCGTGAGACGACGATTGCGTCGCTCGCCTTCAGTAAGTCTGATAGCCCGTGTTCGTGAGCGGAATTGCTTACTTGGCGAGCCATTCTTACTTTCTTCGCTCGGAAATGTGTTGCTTTGCTCGTCATCTCCCTCATTGCGTTCTTCTTCCGCTAGATTTGAATCTTGAAGATGAAGTGAGAAAAGATCTGTGCCTACTACAGGGGCAGACATCTTGCGATATCCAAGCTTACGAACATCGGTGGAGCAGGTAATCGCGGCGTTCAGCGCGTCCGGAAACTTGTCGCCGACGCTTGTCATTGGCGGACACATTGTCGCTATCTGTGCAAAAGGCAGGATTTGCTTCATTCTATAACGATCAAGGCTGCAATCTTCTCTAGTTTTCAGTGGTAGGCTTTCAAATTCAGGCACGAGTTTGGCCAGTTTCTCGTCAAAGCTGTTACTTTTCCGAATGGCTTTGTTCGTGGGCCGTGGAGCCCTGTTGTCATGTTGGAATCGCCTTTGAATACTCCCCACCAGCTCTCTGGGTGCGCGCGCTTTTCTCCAGTCGATGCCGGTGAAGACCTCGTCGTCCCCATTTCCACTCGGTTCATGCTCATGCGCGTCTTGTATTTGGCTTACATCCTGGTGATCCTCCTCTTCCATATAAGGCTTGGAGGTTAATTCCTTATAAGAAGAGGATAAATAATCAAACGCAACACAAAATCAGGTTCAGAGTATAAGGCAATTTTCGTTGAGAAATGAAGGACTGTAGGTTGCAATGTGTTTGATCTATACATATAGATCTTGGCGTTTAGACATCTAAAGAGAATAAAACCGCTCCATGATCCTTTTCGATGGTGGAAACGAAAGAGACGGCCGAAGTTGAGCTGAACGAAATGTCAAGCTTTAACCATTTTGCTCTTAACGACGTGTAAATTATTTAGACTCCTCCCCGAAGTCATTTCTTTTTCGCGTAGGATAAAATTAATTTAATTTTTTCATATAATAATATAAATTATTCTGAATTTGATCGCTTTAACCCTTTGCCCCTTAGAGTGTCTAGCATCTAATTTCTTCTTACAATATCCCCCCTGAATCAAACATTTAGGTCATGAGGATAAAGGAAATGATCACTAACTAAAGAAGTGATTGTTAAACAAATTTTCCTTGTCAGCACCTTCGGAATGTATAGAGAACAGTATGGAGATTATGCATACCGATATCAGGATGTAAAGGGTTAAAAGGAAGAAATGAGCTGATCATTGACTTTCACACAGCAGCATACAGGTTCAAAACCTATTGAGTTCCTAGTCTGCTTTTAGGCTTCTTTCGTGAAACCCAAAGTTACTTGTACTATTTCGTGGATAATGTCTGCATTTCATATACGAAATGTATACAGCACACACTACTTAATATCATTAAAATCTTTACAGCTCGTAAACATTCTAGTCATAATACCTTTTTCGACAACTCTGTCTCCAAAGTAGAGATCCTCTCCCTCAATTCCTCATTATCTGCTTTCTCTTTATTCAACATTGTCTTCACAGAAACAAGCTCCTCTTTGGTTTCGTCGTATTTCTTCTCAAACTGTCGTACATATTCGGTCTGCTGTCTGAGACTCAATTCTTTAGACTCCAATGCTTTTTTATGTCGCTGGTTGATTTCTTCCACCTCTTTCCTAATCTGGTCTACCTCTATGGCGGAGTCTGTCGCGGATTTAGAGAAAAAATCGCGTTCCTCTCTATAAATTTTGGCACTATCTTCAACCTCTTTGCAGTTTTGTCTTAGTTCCACCAAAACACGTTCTTTATGGTTGAGTTTGATTCTAAGGTCAGAAACCTCATCGTGCATCCGCGAGCACTCGCTATGCACGGTTTTCTGGTTTTTCAGCATTTCTTCTTTCTCGGCTACTATTAAATCAAATCGAGCCTTCAGAGCTTCTGTCCACCGTTGTACCTCGTTAAGATCGTTCTCTTTATCCTGCAGCTCACATCGTAACTTTGCATTCTCGAACTGCACTTCGCGCAGTTTCATTTTCAGTGTTTCGCATATCTTCATCTCCTCTGTCTGTGATCGTAGTTGTTGCGACAACTTGTTTGTCTCCTTCCGTTCAATAGCGTAATCTTCGTTGACTTTACTCAATTGCTTCAACACTTCATCTTCTCGCTTTCCAAATTCATCCAGTTGCTTTCTCAGCGTTTCATTTTCCTCGTGCGCTGTTAGCAACTTCATTTGAAGCTGGATGATAAACTGATTTGTTCGCCCCTCACGTTGGACCGCCTCGAACCGCTGCAGGAGATTCTCGCCCGTCTTGTTAGCAGTCGATTGAGCCTCGTTGGCCAAAGCGTCCTCAGTGGCCGAGACCTGTTTTTCCAAACAGTTTATTCTGCGTTGCAACCGGTTTTGTTCCATGAAGGCCTCCTCGAGCTTTTTCTTAAGTTCATTGTTGTCTTTAAGGACCTGATCGTGACGTAAAGTTAATTCGTGTAATTCCTTGGTAAGAATCTTGGAGTAATTACTGAGGATATCTACGTCCAGAAAGGTAGATCCGCCACCTGTCAAGGACAGAACTAATATCAGTTCCATTCCCGAATATGAGGAATCATAGCCCAAGAAAATTCTCTTAACCCTTCAACTCCCATAAGTGACCAAGAAAAGATTTCTCCTTACCAAATCAACGCAGTATCAAACAGACAAGCGATGAGAATAAAGAAAAATATCAGTCAGGGGATTATTAATTGATTCAATAGCAAATCCTCAGAACTAACATCATAAGAATTGTATGGCAGACAGTAAGGAGAATTACTGATGAGATCTTAGGAGTGAAAGGGCCTTTTGGGTTACACCCACTAGAGGAATAGAGACGCCAACCACAGTTACGAAAATTTGCGTCATATCCCCTAATTTGTGTCATTTTGTTTGTGCTTCTGGGACATTCGTTTTCATTGTTGTTAGTTGAGCTTTTTTTTCTTTTGTAGTCGTAAGTAATTATTATTATTTTTATTTTCAGCAAAATATTTATAATCACTTGAGCTGTAGTTTCGTTATTTCCTTATTCCGGTCACTTTGCTTTTGTACATAGTTTCCGAGTTTGTCACCTATTGTGTTTAACCCTTTAACCCCTTAGAGTGACTAGCATCAAAATTCTCCTTACAATATCACCACTGAATCACACATTGATGTCATGAGAATAAAGGAAATGATCACCAACTAAGGAAACTCTTGATTATTGGACAAATTCTCTTTGTCAGCACCTTAGTAAATGTACAGAGAACAGTATGGAGAATAAAAATACTGATGTTAGGGTGTAAAGGGTTAAATGTGTTGACTTTTCTACGTCCCGAGGTTCATTATGATTCATGTTGTTGGGTGTCTGAATGCAATGTCGCTGTTAGGAAAATTTAACTTTCCTTTTTTACCGCCTTCACCGAAACATCGAACTAGTACAAATTTTATAACCAAAGTTGGAGGTTAATGTCTAAACGCTCTTCCCTTTGAAATTTTGGAATTATTCAAAACGAATTGATTGAAATATCAAAACTTTTGCATGTAGTAACTCCTTTAATACACGACGCTCAAAAAATAAGAAATAGTAGTTGTCTGCGAGCGCGAGTAATCACTGAATGGACTGGATAAGATTTTAAACATACCCGAAAAAAGACCACCTGTAGAGTTTCGACAAAGAGGAACATCTTTTTTTGAGAGAGCCCACTAGGGGACATTTCTATTCAAGAGATATTAATAAGAGTTTTGTTTCGTCTAGCCATAGTCTTAACTTCGCTTAACACATCAAAGAGTAACGAGACGAAATAGATCTATTCAACATGACCGCCATAACAGACGTACTATTTTTTCTTTCGTAACACGAACGAAATAATGTGTCATGTCCAGCTTATAAAGAACACAAAATAAATTAGATTCTAGACTTACCACTGATGATATGGCTCTTAACATCTGACAAGATGGGATTGTCACCTGTGTAAATAAGGATTTGATTGACCGTGATCAGATCTATGGCAAGAAATAAAATGTTTTTGCATCGTGTTTTGGTGTGTGTGTGTGTGTCTTGTTATTTATTTAATCATTTATAATTTATCCATTCATCTGTTCATCTATTTATTCATTTATTTTAAGAAAACAGTTAGCAAAATAGCATATTTTAACGAGTTCTTATCTAAAGTTATTTTATTTCTCCACTTCAACACTTTCGATATGGAAATTACGTCGAAGATTCTACTCTGATCATTTTAAATTCGAGAAGTTTCGAGCTATACGTTTACAAAAAAAAAAAAGACGTCGGCTGCTAAAAGATTTCTGTTAAAAAAATCGTTTAGATTATTCCTCATTGATTACACCTCAATGTGTTCGCCGTGTCTAAAAAAATTCATATTTTTTATTCATAAAGGCTAAGGAAGTCTAGGTCAAACTGATTGGGGAAGTGAAACCCGTTGGTCGTCGTTGGTTTATGCTCGTCGTAGTTCGCAGCTAGTTGGAATTTTATGTTGTTGTTTTGCGGAGCCGGAAACTGTCCGGGAATGAACAAAATTTGAATGTAAATGTTATCAAAATCCGAGTTTTCTGAATTTACATTTGAAAACTATCAAATGGCAAACGTTCCTACGTTTCAACAATCAGCTCGTCTCTGATTTAGGAAACTTCCTGTTTGGTGATTATGACGTTAACGCAATTAAAGTGGTTCTATCTTCAGCTTATATCACTGGATTATTCGCTGAAAATGTAAACCTTTGAATTTCATTTTTACGGCATGTTTGCTAAACCTGACGTTTGAATCGATTAGGCAACCCCTATTAATTGATATCGCCATGTCTGCATTCAACAGGTTCGCCAGTGATTTCTTTACGCGACCAGATCGTTCGGGCTTTATTTACAACATAAAAGTGGTTGGAGAGATAGTAAAAACCAGTTTGGTCGTTTATATCTCTAATGCAACAAAACTACTTACTTTTTGTTGCACTTTCCCCCGTCACCATTTCATACAGGCTTGGGTTGAGAATCTGCAAGGCGTCTATAAAGTGGCAAAATGCCTTCTGTCCCTTCATTTCTAGAATATCTAAGAACCTGCCAGCCTTTGACTCGCTCGTCTTCTCGGCTTGAATCAACTCAAAGTCTGCCTTGTCAAAGGAAGATTTGCTGATTAGGTAGTCGAACAGAAACGTTCGATCCATCTGAAGATGTTGTATGATATGCAAGCGATGTTTTGTCAAAATCTCTGCGGACGTTTCTTCTAGTTCCATCGTAAGATGCCAATATTCGGTTCTCAGTAAATGCTTATGAGGTGAATAATACTCACGATTGATGGATCACTCTCACTAAGGCGATGGTAAGCAGAACCGCACAGATCGTAGCTTTTGCACTTGAAAATGAAATCACGCCTGGGTGCTGATCGTGCTTCTATACGTATGGATTTGTATGTCTGATGCGCGACTTTCGTTCAATATACATTGCCCAATCAGAGAATTCACTTTCACTGAAACACAATATGTGAAGAGGAGCGAATCATTTTAATGAACGAACATATGATCAATGAAGCAAAGAAAAATATAAAAAAAGGCTTGTAAATGAACCAAACAATGGTATCGAAACGATACGTTTCGCATCGTGGAATTCATATGAAATGTTTCACACTGTGCAATTTAGTCTGTTTATTTATAAATTTGTTCATTTGCGATATTTAGACAAGCCAGCCCAGTTGAGCGTTACAGCTGGTTTAAGTTGGGGCCGATATTAACAATAACATAGTGAGACCGCCACACCGGGAACCGCAACTGTTTGTAAGAAGTGTGTGCCTTGACTTCCTATGATAATTTATCGCAAATTTTTGTTATGTCTCGTCTCTAATAGGCCACATTCAGATCATAAAGCGTAACAAAAGTGATTTTAAAAAGCTTTCGATCTTTTACCATGTTTTATTTTTTAGGGGAGTCGACGAAAAAATTTTTACTTGAAAAAATACGAGATAGCCTATCATAATTATACAGAAGCAAAGTGCGCGTATCAAGTGCAAAAATAAATTACTCAAACCCTGCAAGTGGCATCTTGCGATCGGTCAAAACAACAGCATACGATGAAAACAATAATATACAATGATACCTTCACATCTTTAAGGCACAAGAAAGTTGAAAGTCCGGCTAAACAGTTCAAGGAATTGTTCAGTCTGGTTTGTTACTTCTTTGCACTGAATTAACCCTCTTCAGCATTGAATTACCTGAAAACTGCATACATCTTAACCAATCAGAACTGAGTAATTTTTTCATGTATCTTATTAAAGGTAAAAAACGTGCACATGGACTCAAATCGCTGGTGCACTACGTTTTCAAACGCATAATTTTTAAAACGAGTCGATGTAAGTTAATTTCGAAACTGAGCATGTGATTCGCAAACATTCTCGCCATCTTGTTATCTGTAGCTCAGTTGAAAGGCATCCGACAGCGGAATCAAATCTAGTTGGGATTCCATTCCAGACGGCGGACTCTGATTTTTTATAAGAATCTTTCGACTTTGCCAAGTGGAATCACAGGTCGCCAATATTTGAATGTTCATCACTTGCTCCCGGCTGATGTATTACTGATGTTAAAACCTAATGTATGGAAAATTTCGTAAACTTGGTCTCAGTTTATAGAGAAAAAAATGCAAAATAAACGCCATTTTGCAAATAATTTTGTTCTGTTATCTGATTGAGGTGATCTGAACTGGTTTCTTCGTCTGTCCGACTCACCAAAAATTGAAAATTTTTAAAATATCTTTAACATCTTTGTTTACTTTAAGACCTCTGAAAGCTCCGTATTCCTTGTGTGTCACTGCTTTTCAATAAACCTTCCACAGTTGACAATCTTACGAAATTTTTGCATCTTAGAAGTTCCCATGATGTTGTTGTTTTTAACAAGAATACTTTAACTTCGTAGCGCTTGACGCACTGACAAGATCATAGCGCCCAGGCCACCGGTCTCAACTCGAACGTGATGTCAAGGAATGACGACACAATGGTTACCATGGAACTAGTCATAAACACATCAGAAAATTTTTGCATCTCGATCGTGTCAAGTGGTTTCTGTACTGAGCTCGGAGTTAAAATGGATTCTTCGCTTTTATTACATGCTTCAAATGAAAAGTTCAGTTACTTAATCAGCAAAGACTTACGCTACAGCAAAAGGTTTGTAGAACGATTTCTGCTGATCTTCACACTGAGAGCCAACACGAATCCCTCGAAGCCTGACATGCGGGAAGCAAATAAGCAATAAGGTGGGCGTTTCCCGTTTGTCACTTTATTGGTTAATTTCAAGTGTGTCCGATACGCTTCGTTATCGGAAAGAGTACAACAGAAATACGCTGCATCAAGTTTCTTTTTTTCCCTCCTCTTTCGCGAGCGCGAAATCATGATAAGATTCAAAAATTTTGCTCATCCACTGCACTTATCAAAAATTCGTTTTTAACAGGCTTTTCACAGTGATAGTTTATTAAAAAAACCACTGAATTTATGAATGAGTTGTCTCCTAAAAGTATATATTGTAGTTGACGAAATTCAAGATTATAAACAAGAGAAATAAAAAGCTCGTGAAAAACAAATACTTTTCATTATGGCAAATCTCTCCTCAAATCACTTTAGTGCATTATAACCATGATAAAAACAATCAGTGTAAAATACTTTTATGAAAAAAGGACTAAAGCCTGACTCTATAATTGGAGACGCATTGAAACGTGTTGAATCAACCACAAAATCTCAAATTTCAAAATTCTATGAGAATACGAAAGTGTCCACGTCAATTTTGAATGTCAAGTTCAAGGTGTGTGGACGTGAGCGGCCGAATGCCTGTGTCACGCGTGCCGCGTGACGCATGAATTACTGAGGAGGGAGAGGAGGAGAAGACAGTAGTTTAAAATATTACATTTAGAAAAAAACATAAAATTTTTACAATCAGCATCGTGCGTTCAGTTTGAGTAATGATTTCTGGGCCTTTCTCGCTAAAACAGAAATTCCTTTCACGCCCTAGGTTATTTTTACTCAATGCACTATCAATTACTTCCCAAACCACATCTAAAAGGATTTAAAGAATAGATTATTCAAGGAATGAATGTTGACCTAGAGTTAGACAAGATAAAATAACTATCGTTTTATTTAAAATGTCTATAATTTACTTTTGATTTACAAAGTGTAATGTACTTCAAGGAAAATAATATATCCTACAAATTACTTCTCCTTATAGTTCTCTATGTTATAGCTCTTTATCTAAAATATTCTGTACCGAAATGACTTTCAAGCGTCATTAGCTTGCTAAAATTTAAAATCGTAAAATATTTCTACTGTATCAATTTACACACCTTCGAGAACAATTTAATTGAGCAATCTTCATTTTTACCAAAAAACAGCAACAACACTGTATTTGCTCGCTGCATTTAAAATATTTTTGTTCGTTTCACTAATTACTACGAAAAACGAAGAGTGTACTCGCTGCCCTATATAGCCATACGGGGTTTGAAAAACCAGCGGGCAGATATCACAGTTATATTTAGCTTGAGGGTCAGGTAAATAAAATGCACACACAACACACGCCCCAACCCGTCAAAACTTACACTAACGTTATCAGCCGGAGGTCAAAAACAGTTTCCGACAAAGACTGAAAAAATTTGCCATTGGTTCAAATTCCTATCACGTGCACTACGTCAACTCATGCAAAGTATTCCGTGATCAAGTCGTGTTCTCTTGAACTGTACCCCATGAACTATACCCTACTTTCTTTTTCATTTTACACATAAAATCCTTAAATCACTCGACAAGAAAATTCCTTGTCATTTTAAAGTCCACTTTCACCTGAGAACTTTAAACGTGCCTCTTGTTAGGTTTACAATTGTCGTTTTTAGGGAAGCTTTGCCGTTGCATTGCTCTTAGGCACGAAGACATGCCCGGTCACACACGCGTGAATGCTGTCCGTTATCATCTCTCACTTTTACGTCTCTACTACGTTTTTAGTAAAACAAGACATCGCGTTCTATCTACCCCTCTACCTTACATTGTACAAACTCGATGCCTTCTTTTCAGCTTACACTATTTCTGCTAGATTCACGGCCTTATTGGTGGGAGTCAGTCCGATGTAACTTTCAGGTCTGGCGGGTACTTGAATTCCGAGACTGGAGAATTTGGGGCAGAAGAACTTCGAGGGCGATCCTCAGCTTTTAGTCTCACTGCACCAGCCCTCTTACGGAAAGGCTTTTCACTCAGAGTGGGCGACAACAGAGCCTCTTTAACTTCTTCTATTTCTCTCTCAGTGCGATCGCCATTGTCCGATAATAGATCAACAGAGAGTTCGATTGATGCCGGCAAATTTTGGATCTTCTTGTATGAGGGATCTCTTGCAGCCAGCTTGAATTTACGGCGATTTGTCTTTTCCGTCTCTTCTTCGTTTTGGTTATCATCGCTTGAGGAAGACCTGCTTCCAGCGGAGCGATCTCCCAAGGATAACTTACTTTGTACATAGTTCAGGATCTTCGAAGGAGAGGAATTGCTTTTGTGGTAGATAGGCCGAGTTGGATTCTTGTGGGATTGAGTCTGAACTCGGGCTCTCTCGGTTGAATTCGGATCCTCCTCGCCTTTAGGATCGTCACCGGGTGTCGGCTCGAACAAATCTGACTCAAGGCTGAGAGACAGACCTTGAGATGATTTTGAGGAATCGGAAAGATTACGCGTTAGCCCATCAGGCAGACCACTGTCGTTGGAACGAAACGAAGAACGCAAAGAATGGCTGTCGAAAGGGTTGTAATTGGAGACACTGTTGCTGACAGCTGGGATAAACATACACTCCAGAGCGTTGTAAGTTGGTGCGCTCTTGAAGAGGGATCTGTTACGATCCAGACTCAGACATTTCTGGGCCTCAGGCGAAAGGGTCTTCTTTTCTGGAACCAGCTCTTCCAATTTCTCATCCAACGACAAACTCTTCTCAGGTTGAACGGTAGAAGTATCGGTTTCCTCTTCTCCACCATCTGAACATGCGCATTGCTCCGTGGCTTTGGATTTCTTCATGGCAACACGCTTTTTGACGCTGTCAATAATGTTAGCCGTCTTACGTCGTGACCTCCAGTCGTAGGAATCTTCACTGCTGTCGCCTGGAGACTCGTCCTCTGCATCAACTCTTCCCTCCAGTTTGGCCTCCTTGGCCTTGCTAGTGCACAAATGGAGACCGTTTTCCTATAAAATATAAAAAAAGTGGAACATTGTCAGATACGTCTTGTTCGCACTAACAGTATTTACAGTTTCATTCCCGTTACAGCTCATTTCATTAGAGCGTCATACTAAAAAAACCAAAGTAATCGTAACGGCCAATCAGACCACAGGAAAGTATCACAAGAAGCCAATGAGAACTTTCAGTAAAAACAAGCGCCCAGAGCCAGCCGGGAAAACGGGGGCGACTGAGTTGCAATCGGTTTTACTTTCGCATCTAAGTGGCCAAGAGGATGGCGCGAACTTAGACTTGAACCGTATCTTCAATAGTTGAGAGTTTAAGCCCATTCACGGTCAGAAGTGATCCACACGTAATTTACTCTTTAAAAATTTGGTTTATTGTCCAGAAAACAGGTAACGAGAATAAGCCATTTTATCAGAGGTCAATGTCTAGCAACTAGACGCAGGTATTATTAGACTGATGCTGAGAGTAGCGTTGAGTTTACATAGCGCCGATGAACACTTATGAAGAAGACTTTAACACGGATTATAAGTAGTGTACACGAAATAAACCGCATGATGATATGTGATAACCAAAACGATTTGATTTTCACAGGATGACTTAAATTCAGATCACTGCAGAAAAAGTCTGACAAAATGCATATCTTCGGGGATCGAAATCGTCCTCACCAGACTCTAACTCGCTGGGCTCCCTGTACCAACTGAGCTATGAAGCCACAGGACGAGAGCGAGGCAAATAATTTCGGGCTCTTTGTTACCGAGGAGTTTGATCACAAATGGTAAATGCGATATACATGTAAATTATAATTTGACCTGTAGATATGACAACAAGTGATGCGCTCACTTGTTCACAACATGGAGCTTTGAAGCTCAATTGGTAGATGCGTCCAACTAGAATCTGAAAGGAATGAGATCGAAGTCTGAATTTTTTCAGATATCTTCTTCTGCAATGACTTTAAATGCACTTAACCCTTGAAGATAGATATGATCCACTTCATCAGATCTGAAGCCTCTTAAAAAGACCAATGATCATCTACGCCAGACGACCCTTTATCTTATTCAACGTAAGCTTTTAATTTTATCTATCAAGTTAGCGCATGGTTTTCTTCCTAATTCAAAACTGTTGTGTGTTTGCCTTTTGTTCAAGATTTTGCCAGTTCAGAACAAATTTACCACTTGATTTGCTTTAAGTTTTAACCAAAAACAATAGTGTTTTAAAGACTTCTGTTCAAGGCAACGCAAGCGACAAAATTAATCTCTGATTTCGCTCACTTTTCTTACAATTAAATTAATTTCATAGAACACTGTTTAAAATCTCTTTTGCCCCGCTGATTTAAATGATTTTAACCTAGAAACAGATGAGAGGAATTAAACTCCTACTCTTCTGCGTTTGACGTCACCGTCACGCTTAACCTCTCCAATTACAGAGGCCTCAAGCTGATCTTTACTTTCATCAAGTGTTAAATTTTCCGTTTCTTTTTATCTACGAGCTTTGTTGCCTTGCAACCATTTTTTTTGGTGCGTAACAGTGACGTTAAATTTCCGGTTATCCTTCGCACAATAATAGATGCGTCCATCAACTTCTATTCAGACAAGCAGGGTTATTTTTAACGAGATAGTTGTTATCGAGGTAAAGGAGCTGTGTTGTGCCCTGTACAAATGCAGAGTTAACAGATCGTGCGTTCCTTTGATGTACATCAAAATAACTGTCCTAAATACTGCAGTAAATGCTCTTTTAATTTAGAGGTCGGCAAGTATTGTTTGAGCTATCTAAGTATGGAAATTAAAACTTCTCTTTTTTACCCCATACATTTTTCGGATCAATATCAGCATCTGGGCAACTGCCCACCTACCCCTCCCCTAACCCAACAACAGTCAATTGATAACAAATTAGGGTTAATGTTGGGTTAGGGGAGGGGTAGGTGGGCAGTTGCCCAGACACTGATATTGATCCCATTTTTCCATTATGTGAGCGGCCATTTTTAAAGCATCAATCGAATTTTGCGTCCGCCATTTTGTCTGAAATTTCTGGTAATGCTCCATGGCGACAAAATCTTAACTTCCTTGGTAACTGACCTACACGACCTACACGAAACAGAGCCAGTGAATTTCCAACTAAGCTTGTTGCTAATCCTTGCTAAAAAACGGTTTTAGGCGTTTTCGCAAGATAGGTCCCCCGCCTTAACCACTCGGCTCGTTGCATCTTTAACTGGTATCCACATAGTATCAGATCCTCATGAACAGGTAAAAGAAAATGTATGCGGGTTATCAGTAAGAAGAATTTTCTAGCTGAAAGTGTTGATGGTGGTCTGACTTACGGTATAGTCGAATGGGGTCTTGACTTACGGTATAGTCGAATGGGGTCTCCTGGGATACTGATCGGAAAGAAGCAGAAAAGTGCTCTAGTGTGTCTAGTTTTCCGGTTTATCTAAGTTGTTATTTTCACTTAGCATAAAGTGCAAAAACATGCTCCTGTTCTAACAGGACATCGACTATTACTTAAGATGCAGAAAAAGTGGCCATTGAATGAGAAAAGCATATTAATTCTGATACCATGAATATATCAAAATCATTAAATTAATCACTTAACACTGACCTTTCCAACGTAGGGATTTTCGCCAACATCCGACGAGTTTCTTTGCAACTTAACTTTCCTAAGCTCTTCAAGCTCCATCTGAGTTTCGTAGAGGCGCTCCCTGACACTTTGAAAATCTTCTGAAGTTCTTTTGAACTGCAGCTCAAACTGGCGACTGTGCTCCATCTGCCTCTTTATGGCTTCGTCTCGATTACGAATAACTTCGGTTAAACGCACAGTGGCTTCATCCCTTTCCTTCCTCAGCTGCTCCCTTTCTGCCGAAGTTTCCTTCCAGGCTTTTTCGTACAGGTCGCGCTGCTCTCGATAGGTGTTCGCGGTCTGCTCGAAGTCTTTGCATCGCTTCTTCAGGTCTTCTATATCACGAGAGGATATTGTCAGTTTAAGCTCCAGCTCGTCAGCCTTATCTCGGAGGACTGAGTAATCTGCCACAGTACTTTCATGGGTTTCTTGAGTCTGTTTTCTGTCTTCTTCCACGATATCGTAGCGAGCTTTCAGAGCTTCTGTCCAGCACTTAAGCTCTTCCAACTCCCTCAGCATTTCATCCTTTTCTGATTTAAGCTTTTGGTTGGTGAATTGGAGCTGGCGAAATTTCACTTTCAGTTCTTCGGCCCTTTGAATGTTGTCTTTCTGGATTTCCAATTTCTCCGTCAACTTCATCGATTCCCGTCTCTGGTTATCATAATTTTTGGAAATCTCGGTAAAGCGGTTCAACAGCTCGTCTTTTTTCATCATGGTTTCCTCGAGTTTCTCTTTTAAGTTGTCCACTTCCTCTTTGGTGGTGAGAAGCTTCATCTGAAGAGCTATTATAAAATGTGTCCTCTCCACCATTTCTCTGTTCTTGACTTGGCAGTGAAGGGCTGCCCCGTCCACCAATTTCTTGGCGCTGGAGTGCGATTCCATCAGCAGAGCCTCCGTGTCAAATTTTCGCTTTTCGAGGTCTTCAATCAGCCGATCCTTCTCCTGAAGTTCGCACGAAGTTCTGCTTAAATGCTTCTTCAGTACCTCGTTTTCTTTCAGGATTGTGTCGTAGCGGATCGTCAAATCTTGTAGATCGCTTATTGTTCGCTTTAAATGATTGCTCATAATGTCCAAGTCTGGGGCTCGACCATTGGATCCTGCACAGTGAAGAGTGAAAAACCCAATATGAGAAAACTACCCGATTGCATTTGCTTCGCCTAAAGCGAAAGGGAAAATAAGAAACTCGCTCTTCATAAACAGGAATATAAATGTCGACGACCGGATGGTAAACCTCCCTGGGCGGTAAAAACCCCATCTCGAATGATGTCAGAATTAATGTTATTGCCGATGAAAAGGTTAGATCTAGCGTTGAAGATACGGTTACGGAAAATAATTTACAGCAATCGAATGAAAGCATATATCTAAGAGCTACTGGTCGGTTTGGCTACTGTTATTCTGGATCAACCGATACATGATACAAAATTAAAACACATGCCCTTGGAATTCTTAAAGTGTGAGTTGTGTGTTTTTATCTTCCGGGTTTATGTTTCAATAAACAAAACAAGTTTGCAGCCAGACCAGCACTTCAATAAAATAACCCTAAGATCGTTTACTGAGAAATGTAGTTACACTACAGGGTTACAATATGTCCAAATTTAACCGGGTTGTGGCATGTAACCAGGTAAGAGTTCTAAATTAAACAATAAGAGAAAATTCATGAAAAAATCGACTCAAAGTCAAATGCATAATGAAGCTACAGTTCACTGCTTTAACATGTCACTTAACACGTTCAAGTTTAATCCTTTTAGGCATATTGGTTGTAAAAAAAAAAACAAACAGCACCACAAACGCCTGTCACACAAGTTTAGGCAAAATGAACTGTTGTTATCATATCCAATGCCTTTTTTTCATGTTGAATAGGTTGTTAATAAACCTTAGCGGTACAATGAAGTTTGCAACTCAGTGCCATTGAGGAGATCTGACTTGGTTACCATTGACGTTAAAGATGCCAAAATTAGTAACAAATAATTCCTAATATCGGATTATGAACTAACTGTTTATGAGCTAAAGATAAGCCTCAATCGAATCGATGAATTAAAAGAGAAAACTGTATTCCCCCGAAAAGACAGGAAGTTTAAACACTAGTATACCATGTATATCTTCTTGAAGTGCGGCTCTTGTCCTAATAACTTAAAGGAATGTGAAAGCACTTGTACTGTATATAAACTGTGCCTGAGGGAACATAAAAGAAATGACTAGAATTCGCATCCTTTTACTTTTTGGTTGAAAAAATATCCAAAATGGACGAACGAAGCCTATTCCAAGAGTCTCTATGCTGTGATGCGAACTCAAATGAATTTGAGCCGGCAGTGGTATGGGTATAGCACGGTAGTGACTTAAACGTCGAAATTAAATCGCTTGTACCAAATTTGCACTATTATCAATAAGACAAAAGAAAATTTCCATCCATCCGTTTAATTGTAAATTCACTAAAGCTAGTGGTGAATAAAATTAGGCATAGCTAGTCGTTTGAAACAAGTCACGCTACTCCTCTGAAACATGGAAATACCTCCCTTTATACGTAGAGGTGTCAAATGGAATTCAGTTTGGCGTACTGATTCTTTTCAAACGTTTCATTGAGTGAGTTCCCCTAATTAGTCGTATTAAAGTCTTCAGTTTAGCTTTGCAAGGCAATAGTGCTGCGTAATTTTCGCTAATCCTCATTCGTTTTTTCCTAACAGCAACGAATTTATTACTCTCAGAACTTTAGTACTAAACTTTCACAGCAGTTGTAAAAATGTTTCATGTTTTTTGCTTGAGTTAAGTATCATCACTGAGCCATATCAAGTGGATGGAAACCATCACTTAATGATTTGATTCATCAAGGTCAAGGGATTCCTGTGTTTCATACCACAACAGAGCGAAAGAGGTTCTTGAACAAAACATCCGCCGGCACAATTCACAACACAAACCAAGGGGGAAAACACCGATAAGGGGTAAAAAGAGAAAAAAAAAACACCAAAATTATTGTAGCCATAATTAAACACAAGGAGGCGATTGCGTAGCTCAGATTTGAAACAAAATTTTCAAACCTGTAAATTTACCTAAGTACAATTTTAAAATCCTTTTAGTCGGCAAGTTTGGAGGGTATTTATTTGCTCCAACGTTTCTTTTTAGTATATTACCGAATGAACCGACCTTTGAACCTTTTAACTCGGAGACACGAATTCAGCTTTGAGAGAGGGAAGAAAAAGGTTGAGTTGGTAAATAGCAATGCCGCAACGGAAAACTAGCGCACATGCGTGCTGGATATGGGTGGGGTTTTCCCTTTTTAGCGGATATAGGGTGAGGTTAAAACTGTTGAATTAGGCAGAAAAAAAAATGATGCTCAGTCAGGTTTGAAATCCGCGACAATGACGTAGTTTACAGATTCAGTTATTTCACATTTTGTACGTCGTCATCGATTACGCTGTGAAAATTTAGTTTAAATTTGGGGTCACAAAAGATCCTGATCAGTTTATTGAACATGAAATGCCAATTTTAGTTCGCTAAAACTCATAAGCTTGCCGCGAAAGATCAAGTTACCTGCTAATCTGTTCGACCACATTATTTGTATGTAAACTCTGTTGGCTAATTGAGATTTTGAAACGTCACAACTGCTTTATCTTAGTGTTTAGTTGGGAGAAAATACATCCTCCTCAATTCGGGTAAGTATTGGCGGCTCAACTATAACGGTAAATCAAACGGCAAACAAACCAGTTAGGACGTGATTGAAATTTTAATTTTTTCCTACCCATCTAATCCGTGGTAACATTGTTTTGTGTAAAAGAGAGCTATTTGGAAACGACACTTCAATACCGAAAATGGGATGATTAGCTGAATTAAAGACATAGACATAAAGAGGTCGAGGAGCGAAGACCTAATAAGTGAAACTACACAAAACTTTCAAAGAACGGAAATGTTACACACAAATAGTGCAATATATTGGCACCATTCTTGAGAGAAAAACACTAGAAGGATCGCGATACGTGCGGATAACGTCATTTCAAAAGAATTGTCTGATATAAATATCCGAACCTTGCCCAGATTCACCGAAGAAATGAAGCTTAAATGCAAGAATTAAGTGGTAATATTTGCTTACAAATATCAGACACAGACAATTTCTCAAGAAATTCTCGTGTAATGACGAAGTTGACTTTCAAATCTAGATGTCATTAAGCTCCGGAAAATTAGCAATACTCATAACAAATACCTCAGTTATATTCATGTTTACAAAAATAAGACAAGGATTAATCCAGGCCTTATTGGGAAGTCTATGCACCAGTATAAAAGAAATACCGGAGATCCAAATGGATTAATGGATAACCTTTTAGCAAAAAATTTTCCGGAAATTTCGGCACGATAATTCGAGAAAAAGGTGTAGTTCGTACATTTTGAGTTTCCTTTTTCGATTCTGTAACTAATGTAATCGCGAAATCACACTTGATGATGACAACCGTAAAAAAATTGTGTAGAGATTTAGCTGGTTGGCACAGTGATGGGAAATCGGATAGAGGAATTTTTTATACACCTTTTTCGATCTCTTGAATGAAGCCCAAAAAAGTTGGAAATATGACTTTTTTCAAATGTTCTGTTCTTTTCAATCTTTTTAAGTTGCCATCGCCGAACGGGCAAAGTTAGGGGCCCTTCTCTGTCCTTACTTTGAAAATGCCAGAGAAACGTTAGCGACAGATTTTCAAAAGAGGAAAAGATTAAGCCCACAACCTTTACGTTTACTCTGACATGGTACTTTATCAAAACGAAGTATGAACAAATATTTAATTTATACTAGAATAAGCGATTGGAGACTTAACCTCTTCATTTCTCGACTTTCAATTTTCTGTTTTGCCTTTTTTTTTAAGTACGACGTGCCGTCGAATTTCCATGTTCCTCGCAAATATTTTTGACAGCCATGTTTTCTGGCAATCGTTGGGTGCGCGGAAAATTGGTGGCGACCAGAATTTGCGCGGGAAATTGGCGCGGTCACTCGATGCTTTCCCGCCACTTTGAACCAAGCATAACCTGGAACTGATGAACTTTCTTTTTTGAAATAAGAATTTGGCAAAACTTTTGCTTGAAATGATAAACCAGATCACAAGTGTTAAGGCCACAAGGATGCTGCAAATAAGCATACCTACAGTAGTGAAGTTCTCCATCATTTACACGTAAGAAAAATGAACAGTTGTGAAACAATAGAAACGAGTAAGTTTTTAAAAAGGCCTTGAGAGTAGATGTTCTTTAACTTCAAGATTGTACCAAAATCCTATATATTCGTTCTATAAACTTGAGATAAGATATTTTGATATCAGAAAGGGATTGATGGTTGATAGCGCAGTGGAATACAATGGAAGACTGATAGAGACAAAGGAAAACAACGACCGCTTCGAGACAAACAAGATTATTAAGGAAATTTGCCAAGCGTTAAATAATTTTTAATGACATTATGACTTATCAGTTATTTTTCATAAAATCCAATTTTCTGTTTAGCGAAGTTTGACTCATGTTGCAAGTTTTTTTGTTTCACTTTTTCTCAACTACTTGAGCTGGGTTTACAAAAAAAAATCGGCTGATTTTTGAGAAAGCTTTCATTAGCTTTTACCACAAGTTTTTTTGAAATATACTTCAAATTCTTGACATTCTGTAATTGATAAACTGTACACCTAGAAGGCAATACCCTTCAATCTTATTGAATTATAAATGTGTTCAGGTGAAGGTTATTCAATTAATTAGGCTCATCTGTTATTCTTGAATAACCATTTATAGCCATCCAAAAAATAAAACAAAAAACAGGGAACAGGATAAAATAGAGATAACAACTCTAAGAAGAGCCTTACCTAAAAAGAAGTTTTCCCTTTCCATCATGAGTGGGCTTGGTCCTGCAATAGATAAATAAAGTAAAAGCTCAAATGAGTACAGTATGTAGAAGTTATGCTTTGAAAATTTGGTATACATTTGTGTGCATCCACAAGAAAAGGAGAGGGAGTGATGAAGAGCAAAGGACTTTAAAAAAGGTCTAATTCTGACCATCAAAATAGAGATTTCTCTCACGGTAATAGCATTTATGTTTATCTACTCTGTTGTACTGCAGGACAGAAATTGAAAATTGGATAACACAAGCCAATTCTAATCCAATTTGATGAGAGGATAAAAACAAGACTAGAATTCAAGGCAGTGATGAACAGTGTAAGTATCAGTTCACAAAATCTCAAGATGATTGATATCTATATAAAATGACACCCTTGTAAGTAATAGGTAGTTTTTAAAAAGTCAAATAATAGAAGCAAATGTTTAAAAAGAATGCTAAATGGTTTAAAGGATTTAATCACAGTTTAGTTTTTCCCATAATTTCCAAGTAATAAGCAGTGAGATGTGAATTTCCCCCAAAATTTCCCACAACTGGAGAAACATGCATCTCATTTGTATTAATCATGATTCATAACAAGTGAATCTTCAGGATTGAAGTTTTTAACATTCATCACTCCATAAAAAAGAGGACATAAATATGAGGAGGAAAACTTTCATACTTGCATTTACATTTAATTTTGTCAGCTTGGTAATTATATGTGTTATTTTTACCCTCTGTATCTCCTTGTGAAACAAAAAAAGGCAATGGGTGACAACTCCCTCATGGGAGGGAATGGGATGCATGGAATCTTCTTTACAGGGGCCCAAATCATGGATCTTCATTGTGTTGGGTACATTTAGGATGAGTCATCAAACATTCCTTCAAGGCATTGTTAGAAACACACATGCAAAAAGATACAAGTGTAACATTGCTTTTGTCATTCCCATCAACTGAGATGAAAATTTTCAATGTTTTCCTTGGTACCAGATGAGAGTCCTCTTTTATTAATTTGTATCTTTGGGGGTCAACTTAGAATTAAGCCACATGCAATAGGCCTCTGTGAGAGATGTGCTCTAAAATTCCATTCTGCATTCTCTCCTTTTTTATATTCGAGGTTTCTTCCTAGACTGCACAGGATCCTAGACTAGTATCTCTATGGCATTTTTGAGGCATATTAGGTTATGCATCTACTTTCATTTGTTTATTTCCTGACATAGAAGAGGGTCAACCACAAATATTGAAATCACAATCAAATTTTTTTTGTAATGTTTGCAGAAAATGTAAGAAAGTTCTTTGGGTGTTTTTAGCGATAAAAAATATTCACACTTGTGGGATATGAGATATGAAATGAAAGGTAATGTGATGTGAAGTGGTAATATCAAACATGCTCTCATGAAAAATTTTCGAATGCTAAATATGAAAAGCTGTTTCTATTTTTGGTTAATTGTCAAATGTAGTCTAGACACCCTTCACTTTTATTTACAATGTTTAAAGAGAAAAAAATGAGTGGTTTTATAAAAAAACCTGAAATATAGTTGTGGTAATCAAGAAAATTTACATTCACATCAATGATTAATTATGAAGGGTCACCTTTAAAATGTTAGTAGCACTTCTTGAATAAAGCACAAAAATTATAAAAAAAATTGCTCTTGCTTAATTCTTGATAAATGAACAAAGAAACAAGGAAAAAAATAAACAACAGAGATGTTGGTGTTGAAATAAAATAATAAATTGATCAAAAAACTGATGAAAAATTAAATAAAGAAGCAAATGATAGCAAATAAGCAATTATGCAAAGGAGAAAAAAAAACATATCTTTCAGTGTGCAAGCTGAAACATTCTTTTTGAGAAAGGAGCAACACCACAAGGATTGCAGTCAATTTTAGGTGAAATGCAACACCAAACTGTCCTCAGTTACTAGCAGTAAATCTGTGGTGGATGTCTCAGCTGAAATATCTATAGCTAATAGTATGACTGTTAGCTAATAGTATGACTGTCTGCAGGGGCATGCCTTACCAACAGTTTGTTTGTCTGTTCAGTGAAGTTAAAAAAGAAGCTAGGTGCATATTTTGTGGCTACTGTCAGGACACCCTGTTGAGTAAATAAATGTCTCATACTTCAAATGTTTTCAGCATGAACCATTTTATAAGGGAAATTTTAGATTGACTCCTATTCTCTTTGAGCGTGGGTGATGAAAGCATTTCCTGTTCACATGATAGAATATTTCTTTTTAAAGTATAACAATGTGTTGTGTGTTTAAAGTATAACAATGCGTCAGTGTTGAACTGAAGTCTAATTTTTGAAGTGAAAACATTACATCTGAAGGAAGTTGTAGGTGGAACTGAGGTAATAATAGTGAGGTTCAACAGTAATAATCATGACAATACTCTCTCATTAAGACTTGGCACAATTATTTTTAAGACTACCGTATTGTTTTTTTTTGTCTTATTTAATTTCTGTGTGTAGTAATAATTTCTCTTAAAGAAAACATATTTTGGTATTTTTAACATAATAATTGATATTTCAAATGGGAACATAATAATAGCAACAGCACAAATCAGTATTACTGTTCAAGTTTGAAAGCCCTCTAAAAAATATCACTAAAAAACCATGTGTATTTTGAGGATTTCATTTTCTTGATAAATTCAAGACATAAATAGTCAAAAAATTAATGGATCAATAAAAAGTCATAGCAACTTATAACGACAGAACGTACATTTGACATTATCGAATGACTTGATATTAATTCACCGAAATAAAAAAAATCTTACTGTCTTGCTTGATTAAAGCACTAGAAGTCACTGGTGAAAAAATTGGGGTAATCAACTTAAAATTCTCTTTTTGTTTAATTTCTGTGTTCAGCTATTTGAATGTATCGTGATGTTTTGACAACAAATGTGATTTGAATATCAATATGGGAAATCTTTGATCTACAAGTTTTCAAAGAATGAAATTCCACTAAAAAGATTGCCATTGCCTAAGATAATTGGGTTTTGGAAATTTTCTTGATTTCATCATTGTAATCACTTTAAAAAAGGCATGAACTGAAAATTGGTGGTGATCGATGATTCGCAAGGTTGTAATTTCGCTCACATACGTCTTACAACACAAGTCAGCTGAAGGGATCGAAAACCAGCGTTCCTACATGATAAATCCATAATATGTATTTTGGCTACAGTAGTTGTATCTTGAAATAAATCCAACGAATTTCAAGAGTCTTTTACTCAGTGCTATGGCCAGCTTTTCCTTACGTTATTTTAAGTCCACTTAATATTGCCTAGTAAACACCACCCAAAACAGATATAGACACGCAATGAACTATACTTACTTGAGGTAGCCTTTTCTCCTGTTATTATCTCGAACAAATGCGGGTTCAGTAGTTGGATGGCATCGATAAAGTGTGAATATCCTGTCTCTCCTTTAGTCATGAGGATGTCGAGTAATTTCCCAGCTTTCTGTTCACGAGTTTTTTCTGCATTAACAAGATCACAATCTCCTAAGTCGAATACCGCCTTACTGCGAAGGTAGTCAAACAAAAAGGTTCGATCTAGCTGTAAGTACTGCACAATCTCCACTCGATTCCTCTCCAAAATATCTTCAAAAGTCTCTTCGCCCATTTCCATGCTCGGCAAATGATTCAATCATACAGAAAATGGATCGATGCACAGTTCTACTTCAGCTTATATCGACCACGTTAGCAGACAGGAAGCCAAACTACTCAAGCGGAACGTAAAGTGACCTCGCTATGATCAAAACTCAACTTCTCTTTCTACAGGCGAACCGCACTCAATCACATGATCTCCGCGGAGTGGTACAATAAACCATATGATGATGTTCCCCACCGGATAGCAATTTACGGACCGTTCACCGATCGAGCCGAAAAAAAGAGGCAAATTTACTGGTCATTGAATGCAGTGTTATGTCCTTAGATAATTCATGTCCTCGATTCTCGCTCAGACATTGCAGGTACACCATCAGCGTAGGTGTGGGTGACCTTGCTTTGTATATGTATGAAGAAATGTATATTGTTTTATTAGAAGAATAGAAGTTCCGCATTTCGGTATCGCGTGTGGAAGTTGTATCAGTCGAAACCTTCTTGGAAACCAAGCTTAGACGACGTTGGAACAGCTCCAATTTCCAAACTGCTCAGCAAATAGATAATGGATTTCTGTTTTTCTTTCGGTTACACCCTGTCAAATTAGCATATAACAAAACGCAACGACGGTCTTCTTTACGGGTAACTGAAGAACGTAGCCAACCGGTACAATCTGTCTGGTTTCTGAAAACAAAATAGGGGTCAATAGATGTCTAATAATAATTCGAGCTTGTTTATAAAACAAAACGTGAGGAGATGAATTTGAAACTCACGTACACATGCTCACGAGATTTGAATACGAATGAACGTACTAGATTGGCACGAGAATGAGCTTAGTGGTTTTTGAATTTTCAAGATGATTTATCACAGTTTGTGTAAACATTTTCCATCCTGAACCATCCACGACCTGTATTGCATAGCCATCCTGGACAACAGTACTTATTCAATATATGCTAATTCTTGACACTCTTGTAACTATCTTAGTTGTAAATGGGTAGAAAATTTCAATGTTTTAATAAAAAGTCTAAGAACGATTCATTCGAGAGTCAACGCTCTGTACATTTAATCCTACGAAATGATGACAAGGCGGCGGGCGGGGGAAAGGGGGAAAGGGGGAAAGGGGGGGGGGATGGGGAAATCGGACGCCAAATGACCACACACCTATATGCAAAGCATCGTTTTTTTAATTTACCTTTTAGGATTTTACCCGTCTATCATTTACTTGAATCATGGGCCGGTTACATAACCAATGGATTTTATGCAAAGGGTTCAAAGTGTTGATGAATGTGAATAGGCTGACGTTCAGAAAACACATTTTTTCAAATAAAATTAAACTTCACTCCATCAGATATCATACCCTTTATGGTAGTCACTTCCATTTCGACTAACCCCATTTCCTTCGTTGTCCCGCTCTTTCAATCTAGTTTTCCCAAAATAGTGACCAATTTTAGACACTACGTGATTAGATCAGTTACTCCCTACTGTGACAAAATTTACTTCGTCAACACTTTGCAATCTGATTTTAGGACCTTCGTGATGCGAAGTTGTCTGTACCTAGGAATTAACGCAAGCTTCTCACTGTAACCAAGGTGATAAACATGGACATGAACATGTTTGGTGTGCTCAGCTTCAGAGGAAATACTGGGGAAGGGAAATAACCCATTGCTTCGAGGACATTTTGAACTAAATGGTGGCCGTTACGCTAGTATGGTCATCGAGGAAGTCGTTGCGCAATATTTGTGTCAGACTTCTATAAGTGGTCTCCCTTACGTCAAAGATAAGGACGTCTCCTTGGAAACTGTCATAATTTCAATTATTCTACTTTCATTTTTCGTCACCTGTTGTTCAGTATTCAGTTCATGTCAGGTTAGAGAACACAAAGTATTAAGATCATGTAATATAATCAAAACATTTCAACTTAATGATTAGAAAACGTATTTCTCATTAGATCAGATCTTTGCTTCCTTTCTAAAAGTAAATCTCGAGTGGAGGTGCGTGTCTTAGATGTAGGAATGGGATAAAAATGGGTCTCACTCTAAATCCATCATATATGAAAATATCTTTAAAAAATATTCCATGAGCCTTAACGACTAAAGAATTAAGGAGCCTTAAAGAGGTCAAATAGTAACAGTCTACAACTTACGTGATGAACTAGTCAAGGGCGGATCCGTTGTAATTCTGTTTTGCCATTAACGGATTAGACATTGTCATCTTTCCAGGGAAATGACCTTTTTAAGACATTAACTATTTGCTGATGCGTCGGAATTAAGTGCAGAATGTTTTTCTAGAAGAGTGTGTACTTCCCTTTACGGATATCGGCACTTTCCTTGTACTTCCTTGAGAGAGAACCGCTAGCATCACAAGAATGTGCTTAGTTAGTAAAAGCCGCTAACCGTTATCTGAAAGGCACAGGTTCGAAATAAGTCCTGTAGTTTATTTTTGAGAATCAGTCCGTTTAGTATCCGCAATCTGTTGATAGAGCAGACGACAAGAAGTTCAGTTTACATCGTTTCTGTTTTCCGTTTGTTGTTTGTCCTAAACGTCATATTTAACCTGTCATTAGTCTGCTAGTAAGTAAGCTTAAACGGATGACTTTAAACGAAACGAAGGAACCTAAACCGTCTGATTTTACTCAACTACCCCATTGAAAAAACTCTGTTATAAGATGGCAAAATTGCCTTTTTCACGTCTATTGTGTATACTTTTGTCAAAGAGTTCAAACAGCCTGCGAGGGAAGGCGAGCAAATCAATTTTTGGATATTTCCTTACTTAACTTTTTAATGGATGAAAGCTAAGCTGAAGGCTTAAGAATTTGACTCAGACGGTTTTTAAGGTCTTTTAAATACCCAAAGGGAGTTGAAAAGCGATCGTTCAAAAATGCAATTTAAGAATTGTTTATTACCATGGTTATGAGACAGACTTTTTAAAAACAACTGGTCACTATACGAGTAAAATAATTGTCTCATCAAAATTACTCTTGTTGAGGAAGACAAGTAATAAGCCTTCGTATCTTAATGGTGACAAGGACGATTTGTTGTTTGAAAAATTTTCAACGCTGCGGGAAAAGAAATGAAACTGAATGAACTGTCAAGGTTTAGAAATAATGAAGTTTAATGATCATGAGAAGAGAGGATAGGTAAAAGAAAAGGTCTATCATAAAGCCATTAATTGGCAAATTAATCAATTGGTTACTCGATTAATCAGTCGATCTATAATTGGTTTGGGGGAAGCAAGATGATTGCTTAGCACTGTTTTGAATACATACAGCGCCCAGAAACTGATCTAAAGTGTCATTCTATAAATTCTCCTTAGATTACTTCTCTTACATCATTTTTTCGTGTGACTATAAGTTATATAAGTCAGGCCGTGATAGCACGTGCTTAAAAAATTACTGACTGCGAGGAAAACTACGCTTGGTGCGACAGAGTTGTCAGCTCTTAGGGATCTGTTGCAGCCCAACAATCTAACAAGACGCCAGAGAGCAAGGAGACTAGAAGTTTTCCAACACGGACGGTCTTGATGCACTAGCACGTCCGAATCTTGAGCGTAATCGCAAACACACTTTCGATGTAATCTCGAACTGGAACAATACCATGCACTCTCGTAATGTAATCAGCTAGCACTCTAAATTTAAAGTTCCACAAGAGATTACAAACTGAGTCTATGTATCAAACTTAGAAGCACCTCACTCACCCGAGTCGTTTTTAAAATATAAGCTAATTGTTTAGATGAGAGATAGAGCCCTTTGAGAAACTGAGTATTTCTTCAAATTATGTTTGAATTAAATCACTAAATTGAAGATTAGCACTTCCTTCGAACAACTACATTTCAACGTTTCCATGCAAACATTAAAAAATTACCTCACTTCTTCACTTCGCGTAATCAAATAATGTTCACATGTTTATTGTCCTCAGTTTCTTTAATAAATTTCCTTGACTTCCATTTAGTTCTATACTTATGCAAGGTAATCTGTTGACGCTTGGTTTTTCTGTGACGAAGGAAAATCCAAGTGGAATAAGTGTTCTATTTATTTTTCAAAATATTCTTGAATGCTGAAACCGTTCCTCTTCAATGGTTTATCTGAACGTTTCTACGAGAAAAACTACTCCATCGATGTGTCTGCTACACTAGTAGTTACCACTGAAGTCCTAAAACCAATAGCGTAGAAAAGTAAGCAAGTGATCACAGCTGCTTAGCTCGCGTAGGGGTAACATTCGAGATTATGGTACTCAGCCGAAGCCAAGAATTAAACGACAGCTCGGTTAATGAATTGTATAGGGGAACCTCCTTAGCCCATTCAATAGACAGGTTCTCTGAGCGTCGTTAACAACTAAGTGAAAAGTTCAAATATCTATATCGATGACCTCCATGTTACCCAAACTATTGCACAAGCAAATATTTATTTTTAGAAAAATTTGAAAAACCTGTCACATCTGAATAAGGCGTTTCGTTCGAGAGAATCAGTTGATATTCTCTTATTTCGCTCATTTAGAGAAAAGCTCACAGGTAAGATTAAGATGACGAAAATATGTGATGAGAACGGCGCTTAACCATTTGGATTTTCAATATGTGTCCCAAATATTAATTCCTAGTCTGTAGTAAACGACTTTTGTTCTATGTCAGTGTAAAATGCGTGACTTTCAAACTTGCGTGACATTTGCGTTACAGTTGGCCTTTGTGCCATTTGATTCCTTTAAATAGTTTTTCTCTCCCGCTTTCATTAATCGCCTGTTCATCCAAAGTTAATTTATAAAGTGTGATTGGCGTATAGGGACTGATATGTAAGTTGTTTTCGCTTGTTTTGTTGTTTATCTCGTTTCGAGCAAGCTCTTTCGTCTTTATTTGTATATATATTTTGTGTTTGCCGTAGCATTTGGTTCATTTATTAGTTCCTTTATTATGTTAGATTCATTTACGCTGTTAAGTCGCCACGTGTTTAATTGAATACAATCTATTATATAAGTCCCTTTTTTTTTAATTCGCTTACAGTTTACGAGATTGATTAAAGTTATGTCCCTGTAATATATCCCCTGGATTTGGTTGGCATTTTTCTCCGGTCACGATTTTCTTGGTATTTCATCGAGCCTTGATGTTCGTTTGCCGCAACAGTCAGTGTTAACAAGAGTACTGAAGACCGCCGAGGATGTTTAGATGACTTTCGAAAGTAAGATTTCCTACACAAGAAAACATCAGGGACTTCTCGCTTCCCTTTTACAATTATCTCAAAATTAATGGACAATTCAAATGCTGAAAGGAACTCTGATATGTAGTTCACTTGAAAATCTTTTATTTATGTCCATTTGGAGAGACTCCTGTAATCGATCCCAACAAATGTATTAAAGTCTGTGTCAGGCGCACACCCATGGGCCCCTGGCTAGTGTTTGCCCCCCTAATTCTAAGTGTCCGTTTTATAAAGGCCCTCGGAAGTCGTGAAAGCATAAAAAGCTTACATTTTCGATCCGTTACAGTGTAAACGAAACACGATATTGGCCACTTTATAACCCCTGATATTTGTCTCGACTTACAGATCTTACCTCCAAGTGTAGTGAGGACATCCTTAGGACCTTCTGAAAGTGAAGAATGACATCCTACTCAATATGAATGAACAACATGTAATCCTTCTAGTGCTACTCGATCTTAGTGCTGCTTTCGATACAGTCGAGCATAATATATTGCTGGAGGCACTCAATACGCTGGGACTTGAGGGCAGGGTGTCCAAGTGGTTGCGATCGTACTTATCAGGACGCAGTCAGAGGATGTTAGTCCGTAGGTGTCTCTCAAAGAAGTTTGATTTGAACTGCGGAGTACTCCAAGGCTCCTGTTTAGGACCGCTCTTGTTTACCATCTATACGAGCTCGTTACTATACGTCGTCAAAAAATGTCTTCCATCTGTCCACTGCTATGCAGACGACCCAACTTTACGTCTCTTTCCGCCCCGCAGATGAGACAGGTCACTTGGATGTCATTACTGCTATTGAGTGTTGTATTACGGCGATCAGGTGTTGGATGCGTGAGAACAAACTATTGTTGAACGAGGAAAAAACTGAGTTTCTTTTAATTGGCACGGAGCAGCAGCTTGCCAAAGTTGATATTGGACACATTAAAGTTGGCAAAGTAAATATAGCTCCGCAGAGAGTCCAGAATGCAGCTGCACGCCCCATATACCAGGAGAGCAGATTTTGTCATATCACACCTCTGCTCAAGTCATTACACTGGCTGCCTATGAAATATCGCATGGTTTTTAAAATTATCTTAATTACTTTTAAAGCAATACATGATCTCGTCCCGGCCTACATAAGTGAGCTGATTTCTGTTAGAGACACCGGAAGATATGATTTACGTTCCAATGACGGCTTACTCCTTGCTCCTTGCAGGGGTAAAACACTCACCACGCTCGGCGATCGATCTTTCCATGCGGCCGCCCCTAAATTGTGGAACGATCTTCCGGGCTCTATCAGAAACACCCAATCTTTAAACAAGTTTAAGAAGGCCATTAAGACTCTTTTATTTGCAAAGCTTTTTAATTCTTTGCATCTAATTTTATATTTTTACATCTTCTTAGAGAACATTTTTCTTTTTAGTTTTTAATATCTATGTAAGGTTGAATTTTTAACATTTAATTGTAATGCGCAATTGAAAATTCTTATATTGATAATTGCGCAATATAAGTCTATAAATTATTGTTATTATTATTATCATTAGTATTATTATTACCATCGGTGTTGACCACCTATCAATAAAGAATCAACAGCTGAAGACCCGTCTTGAGGAGATGAAAACTTTAAAGGCGCCTGAAGCATGTTAAAATTCGAGGCAAATTGAGAAAAGGGATACACGAATGTGCGAATGAAAGGCATGCATATGATCTTGTTTTGCTAATGAAGATATTGTCCGCTGAGGAGAAAGCCAGACAGTTGAAAATTCAAGTTAAAGAAGGAAGAAGAACGTACAATTACTCAACAAGCTGAAAAAACTGTCACAGATTTTTGAAGAGGAACAGTGGCAGACCATGAAATTATCAGAACTGTTGTCCTGTAGCAAAGTAGTTTCAAAACGTTCAAAGACCTACTAATTGGACTCGCGAACATGTAAATGGAGGGGGAGCAAGCTATCTCGGAGTTGCTTGAACTGAAGAGCTGGGCTGAAGCGTTGATGCCTGTTTCGAAATTGTGGAAAGAAGCAAACAACAGTACCAAGAGAGGTACGAATCGAACGCTGCAGAAATAAGTGAACCGAGGGAACGACTTATTCGAACCGAAGAATAGTTGAAGTCTTTGACGATGGGAAGAGAACATTCCCCGAATTTATCCAATTTGGTGAGCTCTTTCATAGTAATTTTTAGTCTCCGTTTTCGTTAGGATATAGGTGGCCACTGAAGTGATTAGCCAACCGTGGATTAATGCCCCATCCAGGGGGTATCCATACTCTTAGTCTCTTTGTGCTTTGGAAACCACGAAAAACTCTAAAAGTAATGGGGTCATCGAGATCTTAAAACTTAACACATACACATTTTAACTTCAAGAGCTTAAAGGTATTTGTTATTTTTTGAAAACTCTTCCAGCTGGTGATCTTGGTTGAAAACATCAGTGAAGTGTGGTATTCATCTATGCTTATGATGTGAATTATAAATAATTAGCCCAGTCTTACAAGTGCCTTTCAGCTCATACCTATATTACCTTGCATCTTTTTCCTAGTCATTGAGAAAGTAACACTTTCATAACCTGATTGTTGAGTGGATTAATCATAATATCACTTGATTACCGGTCGATCAATGATTGATTTTGGGGGAAAGAAAATGGTTGTAAAGCATAATGGCATGCTTTTTCCCGCCAGAAATGAAATTGAATACGTATGGGACACAAAATATGCCATGGGTACTAAAAAATCTCTTGCAACTCAGTATGTAGAATTTTATTTCATGTAGTTATACTGGAAACAGCACCCACAAACTGATCTAACGAGATCAGTCTATTAAATACTATTCTTGAGATACTTCCTCTTCCTTGCAGTCGCGTGGTAATGACTTTTGGGGGTTAAAGCATGCATCTTAATAAATCACTAACTGCGGGGAAAACTATGCTTGTTACGACGGAGTTGTCAGCTCTTAGAGGTGTTGGGATCTGTCACAGCCAAACGTTCCAACGAGACGCTAAAGAGCTAGAAGACCAGAAGTTTTCCAACGCAAATGTTTTTAATGCACCAGCACGTTATTTTGAGTGTAATCGCGAACACACTCTCGAAAGCAATCTGAGGAGTGAACAAGACAACACCAACAATGTAATTAGCAAGCACTTCACATTTAGGTTTTATAAAGCCTAAACCACAAAGCTTTAAGCGCCTTTTGCATTTTCTGGTTAATAGCTGTATTTTAAATTAGAAATAATCGACCTTAGCGCCTAGCGAGTTCCCCTTGACCATTTTTTTGTGCATTGATAGTGCGATTTAGCGGCCAGAAAGCGCGCGGCCAAAACGATCATATTACATGGCTATGACGTAGAAAACTGTGAAGACATGTCGGCAATTATGGTGGAGAAGAGAAATCTAGAAGGAAGGACGAACGTATTGCGTAGCCGGAGCGCCAAATGATTTTAGCTACAAGAATAATACATATAAACTGGGTATTTCTATACATTACTCACGAAAGGATGTAGCTGTATGGCCAAAAGGGACGCGTTTCGATCGTCGAAATCGAGGAGATTTTACTCTTCAAAGTCGTCGGCCTTATGTTCCGGCTTCGAAGACGCCTGTTCCCTACACATACCACTGGTCAAATCAGGGGAAGATAACCAATGAATTGAGCTAAAATGAATGCTGATTATGGGGCCTGTTCCCACACCGTACACGATTGTTCAACATTCTTTTCGGCTGACATTTCACAAGCGAAGAATGGTGAGCTTCCTATTGTTGTTTATCATATAAACTACGGTGTCATTTAAGGATTTCCAGCCCTGAGAAAAGCCGTAATAACACACGTGAAAAAACATCGTATTTTTTCACGTGCGTTTGATGTCGCCAATTAGCTGCTGATACGTCACTTGCTTTTCGCGCCACTCAGTCAGGTTGATGAGTGAACGGCAAAGCCTTCACCATTCTCAATCCAAGGTCGTTTTTTCGGGATTTTTTCGGATTATGGCTGCTAAAACACTGAAAAATCCGTATCGTTTACAGACAGTAACGTTCAAACTTTGCAAGAGGGGAAAGAAAACCAAAATACGGAAAGAAAAACCGAAAGTTACGTATTCAGTGGCTTTGGTAAAGGCATTTCTCGCGGCTGAGAACGAAAATCGACAACTGGAAGACTTGCCACAGGCCTATTTTGGCCGTGTACCTGAAAGATTTCTTCCGTAGGTGAGGACCAAGTCAGTAACTGAGAATTATTCATATTGAAAATTATGCCCATCGTTTTTGTAGTGTTTCAACACATCTTTCATCTTGAGCCTTAGCGCAAACGCACTTTACGATTTTTATTCGCGGATTGTCGATCCTGATTCATAAAGTTGACTTTTCTTGTCAGTAAAGGGCTATTGTGTTTATATGATAAAAAAAATAATGCATGGTTGCTTGTAGATATGAAATTTCTCTTCTCGTGTTCTACTCGACATCTCACTCGTGAGCTATCGAGTTAAACACTCGAAGAGAAATTCCATATCTACGCGCACCCATGTATTACTCTCTAATTATTACGCGCTTGAGATGTACCTATACTCCTTGTCTTCAGTTCCACATGACTACATTTGCGCTTTTCTTATCGCATGAAAATCCTACCAATTGCAGTTTCCATCGTATTCTAATAACAGATTTACCTCATTTGTAATGAAATCCAAGCCCTTTCCTGAGCTGACCGATATCCTGTTGCGTGAACAGTGCGAAACCCCTGGCAGCTGATACTGGCATAAACACAAGCTCCAAGGGCCGTGTATTCCCCTAAAATCTATCCACGAGCCATCAATTTCCCCCTGCCCTCAAGAAACTAAACGTAACAAAAGTAGCAATGTCATTGTGATAACAGCATTGCAACGAGATAAATAAGGAAATAATTTTTTTTTTAATTAGATGGTAGCGAAGTGCTGCGTGAAAATCAATGAGTTCGAAATATTCATTTAAAATACCAATGTCAGTTATTTCCTTTGAGCGGAATGAGTCATATGGCAATTCTACACTTAAACTAAAGAAGTTTTTCTCTACTGATTAAAATCCCTATTTGAGATTAACTTGAATCAGATGACTATAAACTCACTCGTTTTCCGTTTGGTTTGACCGGCTCGACGATCACGACCATAGCCTCTGCTCTTGCAATCTCTGAGGAAAGGAGCAACTTGCAGTGAAACTGCCCGATGACTTCTAGAAAAAAACCATCGTGCCTCGTTATACAGCTGATTCTTTCGTCAAAAGTTAGCTTTTGGTTTACCAAGGGAATATCTCTTCAGCAACGAAACTCTAGAGCACTGACCGATGGGAACCTTCGCCGCACATAGTGCGAAGGAATAAAATGTTATGGCAACAGAAACGAACACAGCTACCCATTCTTAACATTGATTTCGCCATATAAAACAAAACACAAATGCAGAAAACTTAACATTCAGTAACGGGAGTTTTGTGTTCTAATCTTAACCTAGAAACCGCAGGCGAGAAACCTTCTTTGTCAGTCTTCGTCGAAATCTTCGTTTGATGCAACGCGGTTCTCCTTCGTAGGGCTGAACCATACTCGCAACTTTCACTTCTTCTCTACTACTTGAGTATGATATATCACAACTCTCGGTAGAGCTTGCTGACGGATATTGTTTCAAGAGTATTTCAACGCTGACTAATACATTATTACAAGAGATGTGAGAGATTTGCAAGTGTCAACTAAGAGTTTTCACAGTTTTCTACTTCATCAGCCGCTAATTCGTTATCAGTCCACGGGACACTTATAGGACCGGCTGAGCGGGTTACACCTACCTGGGGTCCCCCACCTCTATGTAAACAGGCCCTTAATATGCCAAGCCTCCAGACAAAGGCGCTGGTGGTAAAGCCGATTAGTGATGATAATTTTAGAATTATCCCACCCAATTGTATGGTTAGTTAGGCATGTGTGCTCCGAGAAAGCTGAATTTTCCTTTTTGCAAAAGAAAACCACTTTTTGATGCTCTTTCAAACGTGTACCAAACTGACGTTTGGTCTGTCCGATGTATTCGTTGTCACAGTTATGGCAAGGAATAGAATAAATGGCGTCGGTTCCTTGTCCTTTCGTGACAGGTTCCTTAGGTTTGGCGAAAGTATGCCCATTAAGTCTGAAAAGGTTTTTGAGGAACTTTAACGTTGTGGCTATTCAAAATTCTCTTGATGGGTTCCGTAACACCCTGGATGTAAGGAATAGCAGCAAAATCAGCCGTTGGTTCCCTTTCATCAAGAGTGTTACTAGCTGTAACTGGTTTTTGGCCGTCACGGAGAAAGGTTTTTGTATAGCCATTTGCCTTTAGGACATTAAAAACATACTTCCTCTCCTCAGCCTTCGAATCGAGAGAAGATGATAGACAGTCAGCCCTCCTGAGTAAAGTTTTGGCTACAGACTTTTTATGGCAAATAGGGTGGTGAGAATCGAAAGCGAGGTATTTGTCGGTGTGGGTAAGTTTACGGTGGACACTTGTCTCTAAATTACCCTGAACCCCTCTGGACACATTTAAATCAAGAAAGAGCAAATATCTATCCTTTTCACGTCCAAGGGTGAATTGGATCGACGGCTCTAAAGAATTCAAATGCGATAGGAGGCGCTCCGCTTCATTTCCGGATACCACAGAAATAACATCATCGACAGATCGTTTCCGGAAAAAGGGTTTAACCGGTGAAGTGGTTAAGGCCCCTAGTTCCACGTTTTCCATTATCATGTTGGCAATGACAGCAGAGACGGCGAACCCATAGTTGTACCAAAAACTTGTTGATAGTAGGTGCCGTTTTATGCAAATTGCGTAGTTTTGAGGCAAAAAGA